AAAGTCCAGAAAAGAAGACTCACAGTCGGCCGATGCAGTCCTTCATTTCAGTGTTTCCCAACATTTTCAACCTGCTCACCCTTTTTATAATCCAGGCTGTTCTCTCTTCTTGTCCCTTTTCTTGTTTTCCTCTCTATGTTTTGTACTCAGCTGACTTTTCATGCTGTCTCTAAAGGAATGAACGATTTTTTCCAAGCACTAAGCTCACTTAGCTGATTGCTCCTTCCTGTGTTTCCAAAAAGGTGACGGCAGGAGGCGGGGTTACCAATCTACTTGCTCTGGAGAGCAGAGTTCGCTGCTTTTAGATGTTGTCTCCAAAGTCTCCAGTAGCAGAAAAAAGTCTCTAGATTTGGCGCTAGGAGCTTTTTAGAAATCAAAGTGCTAGAGGGGTCTGAAAAGTGGCTAAATATAGCGACTAAAGCGCTAAGTTGGCAACACTGCTCTTTGCATGGTTTGTTTTCAAATGGTTTGCTGCTGTCTGTTTGGACCTTTCTGAACATGTGCAGCAAATGGACTGATCCAATATGGTGGACACTGAAGGGGGGGGGGCTGAGACACACTGAATATTATCAGCGTTCTGATGGCATTTTATCAAAAACATAAATAATGTGCAGAAATCAGGAATAGCTGCATTAACCATGCATGTAAACAGAGCTGTATGGGGCCCCCAGGAACTTGGGGCCCTAGGCAGCTGCCTGGTATTGCCTGATGGTAAATCTCCTCCTGCTTAGATCCAGTGATGTTCTCTACAAACCAGAAAGCTCTTCCTGCTCCCCATGCAGCCCAGACTGTTAAAGAACCAGACAGGATTTGACTTCATGTATTTTTGCAATAAAATCATCCAACAGAACAAAATGGATGTTTCTGTGTGTTTGGAGTCAAACAGGCTGAGATTGATGACAAATATCCAACGTTTAGCAGATGGTAAACAACCATCAGCATGTGGTGACCTCAGTAAAGCAGCAGTTAGCAGTTAGCTTAGCCTTCTGCTATTGAGATGCATGTAAACTCTGATGGTTTTTCCAGCACCTCTAGTCTGTGGTGATTTAATCAGCTTCTTAAGCTCGGGAGAGGCTGGTGATGCTGAGGGATATGGGGGTGCAGCAGGAAAATATGAGCAGTGCAGATGGCTATAAAATGTATGATGGAGGAGCAGCTTGTGGAACAGATACAGCCAGTTCTTTAGTTTTTAGGACTTCATTTAAATCTGATTATCAGATAAATCCGTCCCTGCGGTGACGTTGTTAAAGGGAGAAGTTGCTTCTCCATCCGTCCGTCGCTGGGAAAGCTGTCAGTCTCTCCTGTTTCCAGTTCAAGAACAGCATGAGATCTGCACCTCTATGGAGACCAGCTCCATTCCTCATTTAGATGTCTGTTAAACCTGAGGACCTCAAATACTCTCCTCGGCAGCTGATCCGGGTCTGAGCCCAGAGGTTCTGGTGCTGCCAGTAGAAGTTCTGCTCCCAGGTCCGTTACGCCCAGGCTGCTTAGAGTGAACGGAGAGAGGATCTCAGTCCAGATCCCCTGAGCTCCTCCTTCCCTCCACCTCAGACCTGCTGCTTCCTGGAGGACAGTAATGAGTCAGACGTCAGGTGATCAGCTGCTGGGAGCTGATGTCCTCCAGGGCTCTGAAAGGTTCTCCTAGTTGCTCCTGGTTGCTCTCTGACAGGAAGACGATGAAGATGTTGGTGGTGTTTGGGATCCTGCTGCACGGTAAGATCACCTTCCTCTCTCATCATCATCATCTCCAAATTCTGACCAGACTTCATCAGCGGATGATTTTCTCTCCATCAGATATTTTAACAGCTTTTCCTTTCAGTTGATTTAATGTTTCAAGTAGAAAATAAATCATTTTATTGATCTTTTTTGTAAAGTTTGTTGTTCTGGGATCTGTCCTTAACGAGTCGGCCGTCTGATCCGGCCTTTGGACCCGCCAGTCTGGCCCCTCCCTGCTCCTCTGTCATATTTCCTCCTGCTTTGCTCTTATCAGACTCATAAAATCACAGAGTAAACTTTAAAACTAAAACATAAACGCGAATCAATGGAATCCAACTCCAGTCCTTCATGGAAGGTAGTTTGTAAGATTTAGAGCAAAGCCCTGAATGGAAGTTAATTTATATACCGTGGTTCATTTCACTGGCAGGTCCATTCAAAGCTGCACAGGAGAAAAATTAAATCACATTGCAGCAGCAAAGTGACATTGAAATCATTTTAGTAACATATTTACATTAAAAAATTAAATATATAGACAAATGGAAGTAAAGTTGGATGGAAACTTAACTAATGCCAGTTAGTTAAGTTAGTAAAAGGTAACGATATACAGACATGTTTTAATCCGGATTTAAAGCAACTCAGGCTTTTAGCTCTTTGCCAGTTTTCTGGAAGCTTATTCCAGATCAGTAGAACATTGAATAGAACTAAATGCTTCTTTTCTGTGTTTGGTTCTGGTTCTGCAGAGTAGATCCAATCCAGAGCTGAGAGGTCTGGCTGTCGACCCCCTGCTAAGCAGTCTGAGATGTATTCTGGAGCTCAGCTATTCAGGGATTTCTAGACTAACAGACGGGTTTTAAGGTCTATTCTCTGAGCTATAGGGAGCCAGAAGAACTTCAGTACCGGGCCGATGTGCTCTACTTTCTTTTACCCCATTTACACTACCCTTGAAAAACCGGTCCGAGACCGGTCTGAGCTCAGTAACTGAGATAACTTATGGTGTGTAAATGGAAAGCAAACTGAACTGAACCGAGATAGACACAACCGAACCGAGCTAACTGCAGACCAGTTCCAGAGGTGGGCTCGGCTCGGTTTTTCCCTGGCTCGGTTCTCTGATAACAAGAGCGCATGAGCAGAACGCGTCATCTCCATCTGGCTGCACATCGCGATTCACACTCCATTCCAGTAGTTGGCGCTAATGCCCCTCCAGAAGTTGCTTGCCAACCAACACAAAACAGAACAAGATCAACTAAGTTAAGCCGACTTTCTCAAGTAAATCCACAAAAGGTTGCCGTCTTCGCCTGACCCTCCGCAAACACCGAAGTACAGCAACAATAATTAAGCATTACTTTCTGAATGTGACGGGTGCCGCCATTTTGCTTTGCTTGATTCCCTCCTTCTTCGTCTTCTTCTTGTGTTTTATGGCGGTTGGCAAACAGCTTTTGGTGCATTACTGCCACCAACTGCTTGATTTCCTCCCTCAATACTGGCAGTAATACAGCAGATTGTCACTAGTAGGCAAGGAGTCGAGGAATCGAGATAGCGTGACGTGTAAACAGTCGTCAGAACCGAGCTCGGCCTGGTTAACTGATCCGAACTCTCACCGATCGGTTTTTCAAGGGTAGTGTAAATGGGGTATTAGTTCTACTGAGACCAAAGGCAGCAGGGTTCTGGACCAGCTGCAGCTCTTTGATCCACTCAATGATCTCCTTGGCTCGTATCAAGTTTAACAGCATTCTGCCAGATGACTTAGCTGATCTTGAACAGAAACACGTTTTAAACGCGAAGGCCATGATCAACATTAAAACTTGTCCTTTATTGACGTGTTTCTGTGTTAAAAATGTTTCTGATAATTGAATCGGTTGGCTAGCTCTAGTGGTGAGTCACCCGTTCTGCAAATAGGAGGCCTGAGTTCTTATCCCAGCTGGGGGGAATGAGCTGCCAGTGTGGGTCCTTAGGCAAGACCCTTCACACTATGGCCTGCTTTGGGGAGTGGGGGCCTGGTGGTTAGGGCATAGAGCTTGGAATCAGGAGATTTTAAGTTCAAGCCCCACTCCCACAGACTGCCACTCTGGGTCTCTGAACAAGACCCTTAACCCCACACTGCTCCCCGGGCGTCGCTCAATGGCAGCCCACTGCTCCCCAAGGGGAGGGGTTAAATGCAGAGTGTGGATTTTGTTGCTCTGTACTGTGACACTGGAATGACAGTAAAACGCTGGGGAAAAGAGAACTCCCAGTTTACCAGAAGAATATGAATATATTAAGTACCCTTAAATCAAGGGTAAAACAAATTCATTATTATCAGTTGAATGATTATAACTATAATTTGCTTACTGACCAGGGCTCCTAGTATCTTACATAAAAGGTTGGACTCCTGGACCGGCAGTTAAGAATTCAGTCTTTCAACCAATTTAGTAATTTAGATCAGGGGTTCCCAACCTTTTTTGACTTGTGCTCCACTTTGAGCATTTTGTCTTACCCTGAGCTCCCCTATCAGTCAAAACTATTGATATGGCTGGAAATTATGGGGGAAAAAAACATATCAATAAAAAATTTTTTATATTGATCAATATCGATAATTATCTAAAAGGTTTAAAACCATATTCACCTTCAGTTAGAAGCACCAGGCCAACCCTTTATCAGAAGGCAAGTACTAAAAACAGAAACACATCAACAGATGCATGGCTCAACACAGGAGAGCGCCCTCCTCTGGACAAACTCTGCTGTCCACCTACACCTTAAAGACAAAGGACATTCTTTGGAGGACCAGAATGTTCACATTTTGGACAAAGAAGACAGTGGTTTGAGAGGGGCGTGAAGGAAGCCATCTATGTTAAGTAAGAAAAAACAACCTTAAACAGAGGGGGGGGGGGGACTCTCGAAAATCTTTAGAGTTGATTCCTTCCCATTATCACCTCAGTTCCCATCGCAATGTTTAATAGGCTTTTCCTTTTCGAGAGCGGGTACAGGGTTGTGCATGTGCACTTTTTTAAAAGTGGAAGGGCGGGTCTTTTTTAAAACATCGCGAAAATCCTCCACTATACCTTTAACAGCTACCCCAATCGAATGAAATCAAATTATAGAGCTTTGCTAGGGAGTTTTCTATTAATTAAATTCTATTTGGTTTATTTCTATAGCTCCATTTCACAACAGATGTCATCTCAAGGCAAGGATAAAGTCGGCCCAATCGAAAAATTCTCGCACGACTGGAAATCGCCCTGAAAATCGCATAGTATACGCCCGGCTTTAAACACACCATCTTACTATGGCGGTTGTCTCTGTTCTAACAGTGTCCCTGGAGGTCCAAGCTCTAGAGGTGTTTGAAGGGGACCAGTTTGTTCTTCTGCCCTGTAAGTCTCCCTCTGTGGATCTAAAGAACGCCACAGTGGTGTGGAGCCGGTCCGACCTCAGTCCTTCCACCGTTCACCAGCGTGGACCAGAAGGAGATGACCTGACCGAGCAGAACCAGCTTTACACAAACAGAACCTCCATGAGGAGCGATGCCCTGGACACTGAAGACCTGGGGCTGAATCTGACCCGTCTGCAGGTGTCCGACTCTGGAAACTACACCTGCAGCAGAGACGGACTGACACTGAGGACTGTTAACCTACAGGTCAAAGGTCAGGAACTAACCAAGCAGCTGCTGCTTTAAGAGGTGAGACGTTGTAGATGAAAATGATCTTCATTGTTCTCCACAGAACTTTTTCCATTGTGGGCCAAAGTTCTCTTGGTTCTCCTGGTCCTCCTGGCTCTGGCGATCGCTGCAGGCTTGCTCTGTCATTTTCGTCACAATTTTAAGAAAGGTGAGTCTGTGAGTCTCTAAAGGAGGAGTTTAAGTTTACCTTGGGGTCTTGTTCACGAATGAGGGGAAGATTGAGCGGGAGATCGACAGGCGGATTGGTGCGCCGCCTGCTGTAAAGTGGGCAACCTGCCAGTCCGTTGTGGTAAAGAGTGAGCTTAGCCAAAATCAAAGCTCTTGATTTTCCGGTAGTTGTACTTTCCTAACCTCATCTATGGTCATTAGCTTTGGGTCATGACCTAAAAAATGAGATCTTGGATACAAGCAGCCTGAGGAGCTCAGTCATCCGGGGAGGACTCAGAGTAGAACCACCACTCCTCCTCAATGAGAGGAGCCAATTGAGGTGGCTCAGGCAAATGGTTAGGATGCCTCCCTGGTGAGGAGACCCAGAGGGAGACACGGGACAACAAGTTTCTTGGCTGGCCTGGGAACGCATTGGGATTCCCCCAGAGGGATCCCTACCAGCAGTCTGGTGTGCTTTAAGGACAGGTGTCTTCTGGCTTTTCCAGAGGACCTTTTTTTCAAACAGCCATAATGAGTTTGGCTCAGTATTAATGCAGATGGTCAGTTCCAGGTCGTGGTGATATCTTCTTCTCCTTCTTCTTCTCCCAGGTTACAAAATAAGGCTTCTGGAGGACTCCGGTGTGAAGTCTGTCCTGTTGCCTTGCAGGACCACTGTTCCCTTCCCAGAGGACGCTACGGTTGAGTGGACAGACAATTACGGCAATACGGTCTACCTGCATCAGAACCGCTGTAACAAGCCGGAGAGGCAGATCCAGTTCTACAGAGATAGAGTTACAATGCATGAAGACCGGTTAAAGACCGGGGACCTCAGTCTGACTCTGAAACACCCAACACGTGCAGACTCAGACACCTACACCTGCACCGTCTACAGCAGGAAGAGACGAGTTCTGGTGAAGAAACAGGTTCAGCTCCAGGTCAAAGGTCAGTGGACTCAATCTGATGATTAGTTGTGATTCATAGTGTCAAGAGGCCTCCTAGAAAGATGCTGGTGAAGATTGACAGTCATCCAGGTCATAGTCATTCAAAAAAAAAAAGTTAAAAACAAGGCATGAGCCAGATTCAGTTTCACCTGCAGGCCAATAATGACCTCAAATACTCCCAATTACAAGAATTGGACCCGTTTTGTTCAGTTTGCATTCCAGATCTCCCTTTCATTGATTTCATTAACCACAAAAAATAAATATTTAAGATTGAGACACAACTCACCACCTCTTTGAATCTTAAACCCCAACCCCCCTCGTTGACCAAGGTGTTGAGCACGACCGTGCTCAGGACCTTCAAATCAGTACCCAGTGGTAACCCTACCACAAATGGCAGAATTTCCACTGGTATAATTGTGGTTCAGAAGTAACGGGTTTGTCATGATACTGATGCTACTGCTTATATGTCACACAACAAGGCTGTATTGTACAACCAGACAATATTCATATCAGACACTACAAGTTTCTGAATTTCAACCAATCCATTCATAGTAGCTAGTTCATGTTTGCATGCTTGGCCAAATTTGTGGCAGTGCTATTACAATAAAGCCAACTACAAGACAGCGGTAAATCTGCAGTCTAATTAAAATACTATGAGGTAAAACGTTAAAAACATAAGGACATCTAAAATGACTGAACTTACAGTTTATACATACCTTGATATTGATGGAGCAAACAGACATCTGGCATTACAGAATCCCACCTACAACTCAAAACATAACATTCTTCCAACATTTCAGGTGATTTAAAAGGTGTTTTGGTCTTTGTCGTCCTCTCAGTCCAACAGGTGAAGGTGGATTCAGGGACAGATGCTGTCCGTCTACCCTGTGAAACCACAGTCCAGCTGCTGGCTTCTACAGTTCAGTGGAGGGACAGTAATAACAGGCTGGTCCACATGTTGCAGGATGGTTCAGACGTTCTCGAACATCAGGACAACATTTACAGAAACAGAACAGAGATGGACAAAGACCTTTTAAAAACCGGAGACCTCAGTCTGACCCTGAAGCGTCTCACATATAAAGAAAGTGACGTCTACACCTGCACCATCTACAGCAGGGGGGGAGACGTTCTGATGAAGAAGCAGGTTCAGCTTCGTGTCAGAGGTCAGTGGTTCACATCTGTTAGTGTCTATCCTATAAAGGTTTTAGGTTCTAGATATTACTAAAAAAAACAAGTTTCCTGTAAAGTACATTATGCTTAATGTCAAAGCTGAACATTTCATTATCCTGACAACTATGATCTTAATTAATTAATTAGTCAGCCTGCCTGTCGCGGCCTGCAGAGTACGATGTGATGTTGTATTCAATAACTAGCCACACATGCATTAGGTTCACAAAGGTCCACAGGCACAGGCACCATCCACCTGGTTCTGGTGAATCCCAAAGCATAACTGGACTAGAATGGAGTCACCGTCCAGCAAAGTCCCTTCTTTGTGATCTTTGTCTTTTACAGTGTCTTTCGAGTAGATTCTGCCTTTTGTCTCCAAATGTGGAAACCAGATATATGATATGAAAAAATCAATAAAATAATATATAAATTAACTCATGATTTCATATAGTTTCTACTTTTTAGATTTCAATTATAAACAGGCAGTTCTCCAAATTCACTTCATACAAGGGGAAGGGTTGCAGGATGAATCCAGATACCCAGTTTAATCAATAATGTTTAACCTCAATAGAATTAATTAAAGAGAAGTTGCAGACAATAGTTACCAGTTAAATGATGAAGATCTGCTTCCTCTTTGTTGATTTGCAGACTGTCGGCTGGAGGTGGAGAAAGGGGCGGAGTCTGTCCTGCTGCCATTCAAAGTGTCTCCAGAACTTCTTATCAATGCCAAAGTTGAGTGGTGGCGCTATGAACCTGCCCCAAAGCTGAAGATTCATTGTTATCGAAGCGGTTTTGATCAACCCTACGAACAATCCCAGTTCTACAGAACCCAAACCGAGATGAATAACGACCTGCTAAGAACTGGAGACATCAGTCTGACTCTGAAGAGGCCCCTAGATGGAGGAGACGAGAGTTACAGATGTGGAGTCTGGAGGAATGGGAAACTGCTGGGGTGGACAACAGTCCTGCTCAAAGTCAAAGGTTTGTTAACAGAGCTGAGTCTATTCGTCTAGAAGAGTTGATGGTTTAATAGAAAACTTCATGGTTAAGCAGAACTAGTTCATGGTTGGTATGTGGAAGTTGGTAAACTGTCAATGACCAAGTGTCTGCTGTTTATGTCAATCAAAATGAATCTTTTCAGCACTAAATGTCATATGTGATATATTTCTGTGAGTTCTACAAACCAAAACGCTTTAGATTGTTTTAACCCTTAAAGCTTTCACCACAGTCAGAGATACAGAAAGTCTGGAAAAGAGTGAAAGTGAAAATTGTGTCAGAAAAGGTAGAGCAGCTTTCACACCTGCTTCCATTTGTTCATTCTACATTAATAATAAAAGAATGAACCCAGGAAGGAGAGCATTGAATAGCAGGTCTTCAGGAGGTTGATGCTTGTCTTTAATGAAACGCTGACACCAAATGAGCACATTAACTGAAAACAAAATAAATCATCTGTGTTGTTATTCAATCTTCTAACCTGTTCCATCGTCTAAGGGTTAGAAGCTAACTTCCAGAGATGGGAAGTAATGAAGTACAAATACTTCGTTACTGTACTCAAGTAGATTTTTCTGATATTTTTACTTTACTTTTACTGTACTTTTGCCATCTCTGCTAACTTCAACGTTACTTGGGCTGGAGGCGGGCTGACGTTAGCCCTGGCCGCTGCAGACGGGCTGACATTAGCCCTGGCCACTGCAGACGGGCTGACGTTAGCCCTGGCCGCTGCAGACGGGCTGACGTTAGCCCTGGCCGCTGCAGACGGGCTGACGTTAGCCCTGGCCGCTGCAGACGGGCTGACGTTAGCCCTGGCCGCTGCACACGGGCTGATGTTAGCCCTGGCCGCTGCAGATGGGCTGACGTTAGCCCTGGCCGCTGCACACGGGCTGATGTTAGCCCTGGCCGCTGCAGACGGGCTGATGTTAGCCCTGGCCGCTGCAGACGGGCTGATGTTAGCCCTGGCCGCTGCACACGGGCTGATGTTAGCCCTGGCCGCTGCAGACGGGCTGATGTTAGCCCTGGCTGTCTGGAGAACAGACAAGTCTGCTCTGATGCATGCTGGGTAAAGAGGGAGGGGCCAGAACAACATTCGAGAATTTTGTCCGTTCTCGGTCGGCTGTTTTTGTGACCTGGAACAGTACTAGGGCTGAGGATGATGACGTTTCACGAGGACATGACAACGCAGTACAAAGTACTCATATCATTCTGATGAAACGGGTGCAATGCATTTTGTCTGAGTGGTGTTGCCATATTATGACATCATCAGCAGGGGCAGGGCCCCAGCAGATCTGGTACCTACAGGGGGCTTTGTTTGGCTACAGTACAGCCTTTTAAAATGGGTTTCGGCTAATAAACAGCGTGCCTTCAGGTAAGCATGGCTAATTATGCTAACAGGGTCGGATGGAGGCAGTCCCACCTGCACAGCTGTTCTCATTAAAAAAAGACTAAAAACTCTGAAAATGTGTGCTATGTGTAGCAAACAGAAACAACAATGGAGGTCATCCAGTGGGTGTAATTGCTAACTGTTGCTAGCAAACTGCTTTTCATGCATCTGATTTTGACTGAAAAGCTTTTTTCCCGCCTGCTTTTGCCTGTTTGTCCGATTGTTCTCCATCTTCTCTGCAGGAAGAGTCCAGCTTCAAGAGGAACCTGAAGACATCAGGGGCCGAAGTTGCTCCATTGATATGACTCCACTAATGTTCGAACGGATCGGGTTTTCTGAAATGATCTGAATATAGATCAGGATAAGCAATCAGAACGATGGGAGAGACAGAGTGGAGCGTTCAGAGCTAATGAGCGATCAGTGATGTCAGAGTGATGTCACACGGTAACCAGGAACCAGGGATGATTGTTTCAAGAGGAGAAACCAGTCCATGTTTAATATCTTACTGTCAGTATTTATCATTTCACGCCACATGATAAGCAATGATGTCATTACATTAGTGCCTCTGATTGGTCCTTTCTGCCTTCAGTTTGACTCTGAAATAAAGAGCAAACCAAGGCGACATTATTAAAGCTTTAAACAGCAGACGGTTGATCGGCTTCAGTCGTTTGCTGTCAGTTGGTTTCACGTGGAACCATCTGCAGCTGAAGATCTGCTTAAAGCATCTATGGATTTAAACGTTTATATAAAACACAGTAAAATCTCTATCCTATACTTCACCTGCTGTGTCTGTCCAATAAATAAATAAAATACATCATGTAGATAAAAACGAGAATGAATGTGGAAAAGTTAAAGGGGTGGGAATACTTTTGGCAGCCATAAAATATCTGGAATTAGTTGAAAGAAATCTGTTCAGGCATAGATTTGATGATGCAGAAGATGGTTTGGTTCTCTGTGAGAAAATGGGTCAAAATATTTGGTTTTCTGCTTTGATTATGACTGTATCATATTAAGAATAAGCATCAATAAACGCCTGAAACATTTTGGGTTAATCTTTGTTGGTAGAGGTACAGAATTATCTACATTATCAGATAAGTTGTTTTCATTATCTTTCCTTCAGTGTCTGAACCACAAACATGTTATAATACATAAAGAACCTGGAGATAAAAGAACCAAGGTGAAGGAACCAGGAGGGACTGATCAGAGGCTGGCACTAAACTGAAGACTGACTTAGAAACCGGATCAGCAGCTTTGAAACTATGAGGAACCAGAACGCCCCCACCTTTCCTCAGAACTGATCTGATCTGGACTGGATCCAACAGAACCAGTAGAACAGGACCTGAAGCCTCCACCCAGCAGAGAGTTTCTGCTCCTCAGCAGCTGATCCAGTTCTGCTGGAAGCAGTTCTGCTCCCAGTGATCAGAGAGCTGAGTGGCGTTCAGTTCCTCCCCCCCTCCCTCCCTCCTCCTGTGGGTGAGAGCTGCTGCTTCCTGGAGGTGTAGAGACGGTGAAGTGTTGTCAGAGAGTCAGGAGGTGATCAGCTGCTGGGAGCTGATGTCCTCCAGGGCTCTGAAAGGTTCTCCTAGTTGCTCCTGGTTGCTCTCTGACAGGAAGATGATGAAGATGTTGGTGGTGTTTGGGATCCTGCTGCACGGTAAGATCAGCTTCCTCTCTCACCATCATCCTCACTTCAGTCTCTGGGTTGTTTCTGCGTCTCTCTGGAAGCTGCTCAGATCAGCAGAGGTTTGCTGAGGTTCTGACTCAGCTACGATTTAACTGAAGAGTCGCTCTTCAAAAATATTGGAATTTAATAAAATGATTTTATTCTGTTGCTTTTTTTTTTACTTTCACCAAAACTGAAATGTTATTTCAACACCTTTGTTCATTTTCCCATGAAAACTGACTCATGGTTTAAAGTGAAAGTATTGTTAGTCACTCAGGGATCTGTCCTCTGATTGGCTCCCTGGATCATTGGTCCCGCCTCCCTCTGCCGTTCTTCCTGCTGTGTCTTTGCTGAGGCTCATAAAACCATGAACATAATGTTGTTTCTAAATGAGGAGTGAACCGTAGAGCAGCAGAACCAAGGTCCAACCTCAGTCCTCCAGGGACAGGGGGGCGTGTCCAGCTGTCCAATCAAATCACCTCTATGGTCTCATTGGTTCAAGTTCTACAGAATTCTCCGCCCACCCTGGGTGGGTTGTTTTTGTTGTTTCTGGACATTTTAGGGCGTCTGGGATCCGCCCTTAAGTGGGGGGTACTGTCACAGTCTTGGTTTTGTTATGTTTATTTAGAGTATTCAGCTTTACTTTGCTTCTTGTTTTAGTGTTTAATTTTTATTTTGTTGTTTTCTTATTAGTTCCTGTCTTCCAGGTTTTCCATTTGTTGGCATCTGCTGCCCTCTTGTGTCCTCTATCCCTAGCTCTGTTTTCTGCTCTGTCCTCACCTGTTTCCAATCCTCTCGTTAACCCTCTCTTTGTCTCTATCCCCTTTAAAAGCCTCCCTCTTCAGTTCCTGTTTGCTGGATCCTCGTCTAACGTCTGTCTGCCTTCCTCGTCTCTCCCTGGTTCCTAGAGTTTGGTTTCCCCTGATGTCTCCTTGGTTCTGGTTCGTTTGTTATTTTTGTTGGATTTTTGATTCCTGTCTCAGTTCCTGTGAACCTCATTAAACCTCTTAAATTCACCTCTGCCTACTTGCCTCTGCATTTGGGTCCTCAATCCCACACCAAATCCTGACATGCTCATCCAGGACAGAATCCTATAAGGTCAATGACTGGATGATCTGGTTGATCCGTTTCTATAAGGGGACCTGAGATGACGTGTTGTGACTTGGTGCCCCAGAAACCACCTGAACTGACCTGTCTCTGTCCTCAGCGCCCGCCCTGGTCTCAGCCTTACAGGCCAAAGTAGGAGACCCGTTTGTCCTGCTGCCCTGTCAATTCGATACCTTTGAAGTCACCAACCCCACAGTCCTCTGGACCTTCAGTTCCTCAACCGTCCACCGGCGTCAGCAAGGAGAAGATCAACTACAGGATCAGGACCCGCGGTACAGAGGCCGGACCTCCATGAGGACGGATGCTCTGGCAGATAAAGATCTGAGCCTAAATCTGACCAAGCTGGTGCTGTCTGACTCTGGAAACTACTCCTGCATCGTCAGAGACCACAGGGAGGAAATCCACAGGGAAAGCGTGACCCTGCAGGTAGAAGGTAAGGAGGAGAGCCGCCAATGTTCTGCTGGTCTCTGGACCTTAACGGACTCTAGATGTTCTGCTGTTTTTGTTCTGTAGGAGGTTTTCCATCTTGGGCCACAGCTCTGCTGGTTGTTCTCGGTATCCTGGTTCTCTGCATCTCTGGAGGGGTTTTATTTTGCTTCCGTCAGCATTTTATGTCAGGTAAGATTCAGAAACTACATTACCCACAATGCTGATGGGACTCAGCTCTTCTCAGCTCTATGGTCCTTATCTGCTCCACCAACCTAAGGCAGGAGTGAAACATGAGACTATCTGACGTTCTTCTTCTTGTTCCCTCAGAGTACCGGGTTCCATTGGGTTATAATAAGAAGTTTGTCCTGCTGCCCTGCAAGACCACAGCTTGCCTGTCTGAAGATGTTAGGGTGGAGTGGACAGATGGAGGTGGCAGGAAGGTCCATGTGTATGAGAACGGTTCTGATCTGACTGACGAACAGGACGGGCTCTATAAAACCAGGACTGCCATGGAAAAAAAGTTCAAATCTGGAGACGTCAGTCTGACCCTGAAATACCCCACAGATGAAGATAACAACATCTACACCTGCAAGATCTACAGTCAGGGAACAATCCTGACACAGAAAACAGTCACCCTCTACATCAAAGGTCAGCGCTTTAATTGCATTCTGTCTTTATTGATTTTTAAAATCTCAAATTAAAAGGTCCAGGTAGAGCTAAAGAGCTGTAGATTATAGAATCTAGAGGAAGAGATCAATCTAAACCATCTGGAATGAAGCTGAAACAGAACCAGATGTGGAGAACATGCAGGGATCATTTCTGGATGACCTCTGCTGTGCTTCAGGGTTCTTCATCAGGTTCTGACCCATAAGATGCTGGGTTGGAATCCATCCTTCATCAGGGGGCTGCTGGGGGGCTCAGAAAAGCGGGTCAACAAGTCTGATTATTTATCATTATTAGACTAGATTATTTAAAGCAACAGAAGATGTGACAGTCGCCATCTCAGGAAGTTCAACCAAATCAAACTGATGATGATGATGATGATGATGATGATGATGATGATGATGATGATGATGATCCTATTGACCCTCACCTTCCTGTCTCTGTTCTCTGTTTTCAGGAGCAAAGAAGGGGAAGTCATCCATTGTGTGAAAGCCCTCCGTCTGTGTAGATGACCTTTGACCTCCTGGATCTCATCATCTTCTCTTCATGGACTCTGAATAAACTCCTGCTGACCATCAACCTGAGCCTACCTCCATGTGGTTCCTGTCAGAGTGGATCAGCTGAGCTGATTTGGACCTCATGGCAGCAGCTGGATGGTTCTGCTAAAGTCCAAACCCAGCAGAACCAGGACTGAACACAGCTTTTAATGCCGCTATCGTCTGGACTTAAAGACTGAGAGGCGTGCTGACAGAGCGGCCATCTTAGGTCAGACCCAAATACGGTGACAGAGAATACACGCCAACTGATGGAAACAGTACTTTATGATTTCAGACACTCTGAATTCTGTAAACTCTCAAATACATTCCAAGGGCCACGTCTTATTGTTGATTGGTAATTTTCCTACATTTAATACATAATTTTTATTTTCTATTGACAGTTAGCTTAACTTCCAGAGCTTCCTCTCAGGAGACCAGCCTTTTATTCTGTCTCTGGGTGCACAAATAAATGTTAATTAGGAACCATTGTGGAATTACGTTTATGACGGATTATCCCCACGTCACAGTTACTGTTTTTCTGGTGTCAAAGGTGCAGATTAGCAGCATGGATGCGATCAAAATCGTTTTTGATCAGGCAGAAATTTGATTCCAATCATCCAAATAACTCGCTTAATCTTACTTTGCCGATCACACAGCTTCTATCTATCTAGATATATTCCATTTCACCAGACGGATCAGGAAACACAACTGAGCAGAGACTTTCAGTCCCGCCTGTCTAACCCCCTGGTTTCTTCCATCATCAGAGCCGATGCATCTGTTCTAAATTAAAGCAGATCTTTTGAATATAGCTAACTAATTGATAGCTATTTATCGAATGTGAGAGAGATTTATCAGCAACAGACACACAGAAGAACAAGAACATGCTAGCAGCAGGCACGACGGAGAACAAATGTCCTGAATTTGCGACGTTAATTTGCAGCATTAATGCAGCAGGATGTTAAGTAGTTTGTTGCTGCCTGTACCCGTTGTAGCCAAGCTAAGGTCACCCGTTGCCCCCCGTCAGGTCTTCTCCAGCCCTTTGTCACTGATCTGTCTATATCTGATGGGAACTCTGTCATCCTTACTATTGTGGACCGCTTTTCCAAGATGGTTCACTTAGTCCCATTGCCCAAACTCCCCTCTGCCAAGGAGATGGGCTCCATCCTGGCTAAAGAGGTATTTCGTCTCCATGGTCTGCCCTCAGACATTGTCTCTGACACGGGTCCCCAGTTTGAGGCCCACTACTGGCAGGAGTTCTGCGCTATGCTGGGTTTCTCAGTCAGCCTCTCCTCTGGTTTCCACCCCCAAACCGATGGCCAGACGGAGAGGCTCAACCAGGAGGTTGAAGCTAAACTTCGTCTCATCCTCAATTCCGACCCCACTAAGTGTGCTTCTAATCTGCCCTGGGTGGAGCATGCTATAAACTCCACACCCTCCAGCTCCACCAGGCTCTCCACCTTCTACATTGTGTAAGGGTTTCAGCCACCAGAGTTCTCCATTGAGGAGAGGGAATCCAGGGTCCCTTCTGCCCGTCTCTCTGCCCTAAGGTGCCAGCGTGCCTGGAGGAGGGCTAGGAGAGCCCTCCTCGTTTCCTCCCAGACCCAGGCCAAGGGATGCCAATCGCCGGCAGGTCCCAGCCCGGCATTATCAGCCAGGTGATAAGGTCTGGCTCTCCATAAAGGACCTTCCCTTTAAGGTGGAGAGCAGAAAGCTGGGACCCCGCTTTATTGGACCTTTCCCTATCTCCAAGGTGGTAATCCTTTGGCGGTGCGTCTTCGCCTGACCCGTTCCATGAAGGTCAACCCTACTTTTGATGTCTCCAGAGTCAAGCCGGTCAAGACCTTGGATCTGACCCGTTTCTGTCCTTGGACCTGCCTACCAGCCTGACCCAGTGAATCCTTTTGTCAATCTGACCCTGCCAGCTCGTGAGTACCGGATTTCCCCCGTAACCCTTGTGAGTTCTCTGAGCCTCCCTGTTAACAGATCTGGACCGGACCTGGACCCCCTCTCTTTAAAAACCCCTACCTGTGCTGCCGCCAAAAATCTGTCTCTGTGTGTTTGGACCCCGGACCTCTCTGGATAACGCCCCTGGATAACCCTGAACGGAGTGCCTGCCTGCCTGTTGGCTGCACAAACAGTAACCCCCCACAGCCCTGGACCAAGTCAGCTCCTCAGACTCGGAAGGGTTTCTTTTTTATTCTATTTGTCAGGTTGGGTTTGAACTACTCCCTTTCCCACCCCCACCACCCGTCTTGCCCCCCCTCCGCTGGCTGCTGCCTTGGCCCACTGGACAACATGCTGTAATTTATAAATGTTTTCAGGTTGGGTCTGGATTAGCCAGCAGGTGAGCCTGGATCCAGATCTGGTCCGCTAAGTATGAGACTCAAAATGAAACAAGTCAAAGAAGAACAAACAGATGTTATTTGGACATAAAATATTTGTCTCAATCCACAAACAGTCAACAATAAACTATTTTTCCAGACTTTGTTGCTTTAATTTTTTTATAATTGTTTTTTTTTGTATAAAAAAACTGTAAAAACTCCTTAAAACGCCTAAAATGACCGTGGCTGGGATAATTATAGGATTTCACTACATCTCCCATGATGCTCCTCTCCTCCCGTTGCCAGGATACAGTACATTCTCTGTTGCTCAGGCAGCCACTCTGACGAACCCTGTTTGGCGACAGATAAACTGGTTTTAAACTGGTTTTAAACTGGTTTATTGTGGCTGTTCTCCAGTGTAAACCAGTGAGAGGTTAGCTGTTAGCTCCAGGCTGGTTATCAGCTGGTATTCTGCAGGTTTAGACCTTTAAAAGTCGCTGTTAGCCGTTAGCTCCGTTAGCTCCGGTTAGAGCTGAACTTTCATTTGTCTTCAGAGGGTTTATGGACCAGAACCGGTCCTTTCACACCGTTATCTGGCGTTTAGAACCGGAACCGAAGCTGCTGTGACCCAGAGAGAGGAGAGCCGGAGCGGAGCCGCCATGGAGCGGGGGAAGGAGGCCCAGCTGCTGAGGAACCAGCCCTACGATGAGAGCCTGGAGGTGGAGGATGGAGAGGAGGTCCCCAGCCTCTACAGCCCGGCCCCCCGGGGACAGAGACAGGTACCGCGGGTTAGAGACCATCATTTACTGCCTGGATGGATGGACATAATCCCATCAGGGATTATTAATCTGTCTCTGTCAGCCAGAGGCCAGCAGGAAGCAGCTGGAGCCAGAGGGGCCAAAGCCAGGGGCCAGTCCCAGCCAGGAGGAGGAGGAGGAGGAGGAAGACTCTGAGGAGGATGACACAGATGAAGATGATGATGATGATGATGAGACCACAGAGGCTGTAGAGGGAGCCTATGACCCTGCAGATTATGCCAACCTGCCCGTTACCACGGAGATCAAGGAGCTGTTCCAGTACATCACCCGGTGAGGACCGGTCCAGAGAGCAGAACCTGTCCGCTGGGCCCAGAACCGCCTACAGCTTTCTATAAGCAGGTTCTATGTGTTCTAGCTCTATGCTCTGACCACTCTGGTAGATGTTCTGTGGTTCTTTCCTCACAGCCTGAAGGAAAGAACCACAGCCTGCTGCTCTAGATGTTCTAGATCTTCTCTATAGATCTTCTCATCAGGGGCCGTATTCATCAAACTCCTCACAGACATTTTTTACTCTCTGCTGAGATTTACAGGAATTTCCTCCGACTCTCAAATTTAAGATTAAAAGCTAATCTCTCCTCCTCCTCCACCTCCAGATGTTTCAGAACCTCCAGATGTGTCTGTAATGGTAGGAGCTGCCACTAGAGGGCGCTACCGAGCCGACAGAGGTCTGTAGAGGTTTTGGTTTTTGAGGACTCAGAGCTGATTGGACAGAGCGTCTATAATCTGTGTTAGGGACGTAATCCCAGCAGGAGCCTCCTGCAGCAGAGCTTCCTGCTGGGATTAAAGCCGCTGCAGCATGGGCTGATTTCACTACAGTTCATCACTAAACATCTGGAAACATCAGTGAGGATAAATTAACTGGCTGCCTATAGACAGGGGTGGATTCAGGAATTATGGGGCCCCAGGCAAACACAGGCAGGGGCCCCTCTGTATGGAGAAGAAAACACCTGGTATAATTAAGCTTGATTAAAAGCAGGACTCACAATTTACCCCCAGAGATTCTGTCACAGGAATCAGGTAAAATATGTTACTTTATTAATTCAATATGAAAGTAAAACTATCCAACCACTTAGTAAGAAATTTGTTCATTTTTTAGCAACAATGATTTATAAGGAAAAAAAAAATCTCAAAACCACAAATAATCAATAGTTCATTCAACAGTAATTCAGTATAAACAGATCAATAACCAGAAGTCCTCTATAACCTTTTTATAAGTTAGACTCAGAACACTGAATTTATTCCAGCAAAAACACTTTTAATAACTGAAAGCAGAAACTGCCCGTTCTTTATATTAATAATAATAATGTCCACAAAGGAGTTCCACATCCTCTGAACTCAAAACAAAGTCCTGGGAGTGTTTAAGTCTAAAGTCCCGTTCCAAAAAGAGAAATCCAAACGTCACACCCCCCAAAAAAGATAAGAAAAAATAGTGGTAGATCCAAAATGGAGTCCAGATTTCACTGGGAGCGTCTTTCTTTCCCCTCGGTGGCGTCTTCCTCCACCAGGCGGCGTCCTCTAAATGTAAACTCCCATCAGTTTGTAAATGTCCGTTCTGCGGCGCTGGGACCAACTTTGAATCGCTGTTTTATCTTCTTTTATTTTTAACTAGTTTTTAACATTCAATCAAAACAAAAATCTCCTGCTGCACAGATCTGACGGTCAGCGCCTTCCTCTCCGGTCAAGCCGCGCCGACGCACACGCCCCTTTTTATTAACTGATTTTCTCCACACCGACAAAACAATGCAAGTGTCCCGCATGCGCAGTAGAGGACGCAATGACATCACAGGCCACATGCTCTTTTTTTTCCAGAAGTAAACATGGACGGCAGTGCCGGTGAGCATCTAGCGATCTTTTCCAACCATAAAAACTAAATCTTTTCAATATGTTTAAACATAAATACTGCTCTCTGTATCATCATCTGCCATGGTTGTTGTTTTTCTTGCTGCTTCTGTGTAGCAAGAATCAGAATAGTGACCACTGTCTGGTATTAATGACGTTCAGATCGGATGAATCCAACCTGGCCGTTCAGACTCAGGTCGCATTAAGATCAGATTCGTATCGGATTCAGGACCACAGAGCCAAGGGTTCTGGGTCACATTGGAACAAATCGGATCTGTGTTGTTCAGACAGCCATGAAAAGATCAGATCCAGGTCACATATGGGCTAAATAATCGGATTTGGGGCACTTCAGCCAGCAGTGTGAACTTAGCGTTACAGTGACATCATCTAGAGTCCATGTGCAGCACCAGGTTCTGCAGCAGAGTCCCACTGATGATCTAGACTTTGGTCACTGAATGAGACTCTGGAGGAATAACCCTGAAGTCCAGATTAGAACTAGGATTGTTTTTGCTCATTAAGTCGACTCTTAGAGAGTTTTTAGGACCGATTCTAAGAAGTTTGATAAAAACGGATCCTGATCATCAGTTTCCTCAAAGCAAAGATGAATAAATGTTTACAGGAACCCTGACTGGAAGCTCCAGACTATGTGTGACCCGGTACCAACACTGTTACCAGGTTACCAGCGGTTCTGACTGACCGGCCTGTCTCCTCTGTGTTCTCCTCTCAGCTACTCTCCTCAGACCTTAGAGCTGGAGCACTGCCTCAGACCCTTCATCCCAGACTTCATCCCTACTGCTGGAGACATCGACGCCTTCCTGAAGGTACAGAACCACAACACACAGACCGTGTCCCTCACTCCTCTATAAGGACATTTACAGCGAAAAATAAGAATATCTGAAGTTTTTTTAAGGTCACTGTTTGTTTTTAATGTGTCTGAGTTTATAAAGTCTGAGTTGATAACATCAGAGTTTCCAGTTTGAACTTATAACATCTGAATTTATTAAATCTGATCTTATAATGCCTAAGTTTCTATTCCGAATTTATAACATCTGAGTTTATAAAGTCTGACTTTAAAACATCTGAGTTTATAAAGTCTGAGTTTAAAACATCTGAATTTATAAAGTCTGAGTTTAAAACATCTGAATTTATAAAGTCTGAGTTTAAAACATCTGAATTTATAAAGTCTGAGTTTAAAACATCTGAATTTATAAAGTCTGAGTTTAAAAAATCTGAATTTATAAAGTCTGAGTTTAAAACATCTGAATTTATAAAGTCTGATCTTATAATGCCTAAGTTTCTATTCCGTATTTATAAAATCTGAGTTTATAAAGTCTGAGTTTAGTGTCTGAACCAAACCTCCTTCATTCAGTCTCTAACATTAACCATGTGTTCTGCGTTCAGGTTCCGAGACCCGATGGGAAACCTGACAACCTGGGGCTGCTGGTTCTAGACGAGCCCAGTGCCAAACAGTCGGACCCCACGGTTCTGTCCCTGTGGCTGTCAGAGGAGACCAAGCAGCACGGAGCCACGGAGGTAACCTCACCTAGACCTAGACCCACACACACCTGGACCCACACACACCAGGACCCACACACACCAGGACCCACACACACCTGGACCCAAACACACCTGGACCCACACACACCTGGACCCACACACCTGGACCTACACACACCTGGACCCACACACACCCATACCCACGCAAACCCGGACCCACACACACCTGGACCTACACACACCTGGACCCACACACACCCATACCCACGCAAACCCGGACCCACACACACCTGGACCCACACACACCTGGACCCACACACACCCATACCCACGCAAACCCGGACCCACACACACCTGGACCCACACACACCTGGACCCACACAGCTTGACCCACACAGCTTGACCCACACACACCTGGACCCACACACACCTGGACCCACACACACCTGGACCCACACACACCTGGACCCAAACACACCTGGACCCACACACACCTGGACCCACACACACCCGGACCCACACACACCTGGACCCAAACACACCTGGACCCACACACACCTGGACCCACACAGCTTGACCCACACACACCTGGACCCACACACACCTGGACCCACACACACCTGGACCCACACACACCTGGACCCAAACACACCTGGACCCACACACACCTGGACCCACACACACCTGGACCCACACACACCTGGACCCACACACACCTGGACCCACACACACCTGGACCCCCAAACACCTGGACCCAAACACACCTGGACCCAAACACACCTGGACCCACACACACCTGGACCCACACACACCTGGACCCACACACAGCTGGACCTAAACACACCTGGACCCACACACACCTGGACCCACACACACCTGGACCCACACACACCTGGACCCCCAAACACCTGGACCCACACACACCTGGACCCACACACACCTGGACCCACACACACCTGGACCCACACACACCTGGACCCACACACAGCTTGACCCACACACAGCTTGACCCACACACACCTGGACCCACACACACCTGGACCCCCACACACCTGGACCCACACAGCTTGACCCACACACACCTGGACCCACACACACCTGGACCCACACACACCTGGACCCCCACACACCTGGACCCACACTCACCTGGACCCCCACACACCTGGACCCCCACACACCTGGACCCACACTCACCTGGACCCACACACACCTGGACCCCCACACACCTGGACCCACACACACCTGGACCCCCACACACCTGGACCCACACTCACCTGGACCCACACACACCTGGACCCACACACACCTGGACCCCCACACACCTGGACCCAAACACACCTGGACCCACACACACCTGGACCCACACACACCTGGACCCAAACACACCTGGACCCACACACACCTGGACCCACACACACCTGGACCCAAACACACCTGGACCCCCACACACCTGGACCCACACACACCTGGACCCACACACACCTGGACCCACACACACCTGGACCCACACACACCTGGACCTACACACACCTGGACCCACACACACCTGGACCCACACACACCTGGACCCAAACACACCTGGACCCACACACACCTGGACCCACACACACCTGGACCCAAACACACCTGGACCCAAACACACCTGGACCCACACACACCTGGACCCACACACACCTGGACCCACACACCTGGACCCACACACACCTGGACCCACACACACCTGGACCTACACACACCTGGACCTACACACACCTGGACCCACACACACCTGGACCCACACACACCTGGACCCACACACACCTCGACCTACACACACCTGGACCTACACACACCTGGACCTACACACACCTGGACCCACACACACCTGGACCCACACACACCTGGACCTACACACACCTGGACCTACACACACCTGGACCTACACACAGCTGGACCCACACACAGCTGAACCAGCAGAACCCAAACCGTGTGCTCCCTCCCTCTCTCTCTGCTGCAGCTGAAGAAGGTGACCAGCGTGGCGAGCCCTCACACCAACCCGCGGGTGGTGGACAGCTGGGTGGACAGCATCAGCGCCCTGCACCGGTCCAAACCCCCGGCCAGCGTCCAGTACGGCCGCCCCATGCCGGACATCGACAGCCTGATGCAGGAGTGGCCCCCCGAGCTGGAGGAGGGGCTGGGGAGGCTGCAGCTGCCGCCGGCCCGGCTGAGCTGCGACCTGCGGCAGTACGTGGACATCATCTGCAGCCTGCTGGACATCCCCGTCTACGGAAGCAGGGTCCACAGCCTGCACCTGCTCTTCAGCCTCTACCTGGAGTTCAGGGACTCCCAGCACTTCACCAGCAGGGCCTAGCAGGGACCGGGTCCTCCTCTTCTGGTGCTGGTAAAGGGTGGACCAGCAGGGACTGAACCAGAACCACCAACCTTTAGGAACCTTTGCAGAACCAGAGTCCTGCTGTGTGTTTAGAACCGGGTCGGACAGTGATGTGTTAAGAAGAACCATTAAACAGACAGAACCACAGACCCAAACGGGTCAGGGTCCGAGCCTGGATCTGCCCGGCACCGTGTTCTGGTTCTGAACCACCCAGGATCTCATGTTTGATCATTTCTGCTGAACCAGAACCCAGACAGCAGCTGATAATTGCTGCCTGACAGGAGAAAGCTCAGATTGGATCCTTTCAGGGGAGAAATCTCACCTGGTTACCATAGAAACAATAACATATCTTTGCTCAGCGCTGGTTTGGTTCCTCTGCCGGTTTTCTGTAGAGCAGGAACCATTCAGCCAAGGAGACGATATTATCCACACCTTCTGGGTTCTAGAGCAGCTCAGTGTTTCCGTGGCAACACTTCCTGTTTAGAGGAAACCTTCCATCCTCCTTAATGAACTAACCCACCGTTCTACCAGGGCTCAGTCCTTCTACACATCTTTCTCTCTTCTGAAGCAGGATCATTATGGAATTCAAGTTTTTTTGGGTTAAAACTGGCATTTTTACAAGAATAAACATGTAAATCTATGAGTAAAAACACTCAAATTTACCAGATTATAAATGCAACAGGAAACATTTAGCAAATGTTGGAGAATAAATTGGTAAATTAATAGAAAAAAAGAGATTATAAAGATGCAAAGGTTTTATCTCATTGATTTGTACTTTGGAAACTTCCATGAGGAGGCCATTGAACCGTCTCATTCCATCTCTAAACCCCCCCCACCCCGAAAACATGTTCCTCCTCCTGTTAATGAAGTAACTGAAAACAGTTTAATGGAGTCATTGCAGCGTCTGCTGTTGAAGGTCTTTATTTTAAAGGATGTGGTTAACCCAGAGATCAGCAGAGGTAAAATCATTCAGCAGTCCTTCCTCTGACATCCATGTTTCCATGGAGACTCCTGTGACTGTCACTATGTGTAAAGCTGCTGCTACACTGCAATTTCCCAGCTTGGGATAAATAAAGTACATCTATCTATGTCTGTCTGTCTGTCTGTCTGTCTGTCTGTCTGTCTGTCTGTCTGTCTGTCTGTCTGTCTGTCTGTCGGTCGGTCGGTCGGTCGGTCGGTCGGTCGGTCGGTCGGTCGGTCGGTCGGTCGGTCGGTCGGTCGTCCGTCCGTCCGTCCGTCCGTCCGTCCGTCCGTCCGTCCGTCCGTGCAGTTAGCCTCGCTGCAGGCAGTTAGCCTCGCTGCAGGCAGTTAGCCTCGCTGCACGGAGTTAGCCTCGCTGCACGGAGTTAGCCTCGCTGCACGCAGTTAGCCTCGCTGCACGCAGTTAGCCTCGCTGCACGCAGTTAGCCTCGCTGCAGGCAGTTAGCCTCGCTGCAGGCAGTTAGCCTCGCTGCAGGCAGTTAGCCTCGCTGAACGCAGTTAGCCTCGCTGCGTGCAGTTAGCCTTGCTGCGTGCAGTTAGCCTCGCTAAATGCAGTTAGCCTAGCCCTGGAGCTAAATAATCCTATAAACCTGTCAATCAGCTGAACTTTCTAACAGGCGACTGTGACGTCAGAGCTGTGGAGGGAGGTGGTGAACAGATAAAGCTGCTTTCAGCTCTGGGTGAAGGAGAGCTGCTCCCCACGATGCTCCTATCTTAGCCCAGAAAATCCAGGATTAGTTTACTGGCTAGTGGCTAATATCAGAGAGATTTTAATATCGGACCAATATTGATATCAGAGCGATATTGATATTGGATCGGCACACCTCTAATTTTTTATTTATCGAATCACATGATCAGGAAACGAATCAAAGCTTTTGGATCTATTAGATGTTTTATTGACATGTTGATGATTATCAGGCGTTAATAGGAGTCAGTGATTCATTGAGTATGCTGGGTGACATTTAGACTCCTGATGGGCCGAACCGCTACAGCACAACCCCCCCTCTACTAAAACCATTATTAACAGTAGAAATAAGGTTTCTAGATTCATCAAGGTCTACTTTCTTACTGCTTAGCTGTTGGTTTATATATTTTAATTTAATTCTATTCATTCTATTTCTATAGCTCCAATTCACATCATGTCATCTCAGGTCACTTTATAGATCCAGATCAACCAGATCATCCAGTCAGATTGATTCAAAGTTTTCTATCTAAGGAAAACCAGCTGATTGCATCAACAGAGATTGAACTAACAGATTCTGCAGAGTGGAAGAATAGAGATAGAATGAAGCAGAATGATGAAAAAGGGGTCCCTATGTCCTCCAGCAGTCTAAGCCTATAGCAGCATTTTAAGGATAAGAGGGTGAACTATATATATATATATATGTGTGTGTGTGTGTGTGTGTGTGTGTGTGTGTGTGATGAATAATCTGAATTAATTGTTTAAATCTAAACATTGTGGTCTTCATTATTTCATCAAACCGTGTCACCCCATGTGAACCTTTAAGATCTGGTATAGACATAGATTAGGAACAGACTTTCTGGAGGAATATTAAAGAGATAAAATTACTAATGTGAGGGAAAATTATAATTTATGACTAAAACTTTATATAATGAGAATTAATGGGGAATATTTTCAGAATAGCCACAGTTTGCGGAGCTATTTCAGTCCTGCAGTAATAGGGCCAGGTTACATTATTTTAATAATTTTTATTCTTCATGAGAATAAAGTCATGAGAATGAAGCCAAAGGGATAATAAATTAAACTGGGAATATTCCAAAAATAAACATCTTATGCATATAAAGTATATTCTAAGATGAGAGTCCCTCTGATGCTGTTTAATAGTGATGCTTGGGGCATGCGTCGAGCTCTAACAGCCAGATCTGTATCGATGCGTGTATCGATTCAAGAAAGTCAGGTGACCGATACAGGAGCTGTTTCAGATCACTGATCACTATTTATTCACTGGATTACTGATTGCCCAACAAAAGTGAAGCCACTGGCCGCCATCTTGGTACTCCTCAATCCCACAGAGAGAGAGACAGTAAAAATGCCTCCCTGTTCAGCATTTAGCTGCAGAAACCAGCAGTTTTCTGGCTGCAGGAAGACGATCCACAGGCAACTTCCCACTCAGGGTCAGTGTGTGCAGACATGCTTATCTGTGTATATATATATATATATACAGAGTTATTAAATTAGTTCATTAAAAACGAAAATATGAAATAATACATTAAAGCAAACAGTGGTTTTAAATATGATTTAATATTATAGGTCATTAAATCAGTTTATTCTGTCCAATCAGCTGCATGCAGTGTCTATAAATGTCCAGCAGGTGTCAGTATTCAGTCAGAAAGTATCAACGCAGCATCCATACAGTTTGGCTTCATGATGCCTCCATAACCATCACTGATCATTAACCATCACTAGTCATTAACCATCACTGATCATTAACCATCACTAGTCATTAACCATCACTGATCATTAACCATCACTAGCTGGTTAGTGAGTGTCTGAATCAATCAGCAGATGGCCCAGAGGTCAGAACCAGTCCCTCTATCTCTGCCTTCATCCCAGCAGCTTCTAGCCTACATTACCCATAATGCACCTCACTTAGCCCGGGCTAACATGGCGGTGGACGGCTGCATCCTGCATAGGACCCTGTCCCGGTCCATACCAGCTCCGAACCAGGTCAGAACCCCGGCTCTGTTCAGCCAGGCGGTCCAGACGAGCTGGACGGAACCAGAACCGGCTGTTAGCGGTCCCTATCTCCGCATTCTGAACCCGAACCAGACTCCCTTTAGAAACCAGCTGATTTAAGCTGGCTCGGTTAGGTGACCATGGCAGATGTTCTGTTGAGTTCTGTTGGTTTCAGGTTCTTATAAAACAGATTGAAAGCAGCTGATCGGCTGTGATATAGCAGCTTATTCTGTTCTGGTTCTTTTTATCAGCTGAAGTACAGTCAGGTGATGGACTGCAGCAGTTTAATTATCAACCACAGAAAACATCAAAGCAGCCCGAATAGTTTCCTAATAGATGAATTTATTCATGCCGAATAAACTGTGTGATGCTAATAATACAGTTCATTGATTAGCAGGTTTGCATCATTGTTTACTGATGGGTTCAGAGTCTGATTGTCTTAAATTCAAACATTTTCGAATGAGGTTTTGAATGGGGACCCAGGAGGACTGTCCCTACACAGAGCTGACAGCTGATTGGTTAATTCATCCGTTCATTCTCCATCTTTTATTTCTGTTTATTGTTAGAATAATTTAGGGGGAAATCTGAGTCAGTTTGCACCTCAATGTTCCTGATTTCATTTTATAACCAAGTTTTAACCTTATGCTTTATTTGATGTGACATTAGTCATAAACAAATCTCCCTTAATTAAAAGTTCAAATACTGTTTTTTTAATGTGTCCTGCTTCCACTGCCTGTTCCGGTTGTTCCGGTTCTGACCTCTGTTCAGACCACCTGACCTGCAGACCGGGTTGGTACCAAACACCTGCTGGGAAGTTCAGTTTGGTTTCCAAAGCAACGGAACAGACTGAGAATAATAAAAGCTTGAAGGTTGAACCCTAACCTGTCTCCATCCTGTCCCCAGGCGTCCTCGTCCTCCCCCGTGGTCTGCAGGGAGTCTCTGTACGTTGTGGACGTCCGGCGCTACAGCAGAGACCAGGCGTCCGCCGTCTACTTTCCGCAGGCCGTCCTGAGTGGTGAGACGCTGAGGTCCCAGTGAGGACAGCTTCTGTCCTCTGGGACCCTGACCTCCGCCTGTCCTCTGTCTCCAGGTGAGGACCTGTATGACGTCACGCTGACGGACGGGGACTGCCGCCTCCAGGTGACTCTGGACCCCGGGCTGAACCGGCTGGTGGAGAGGCGGGTTCTGAAGCCCGGGTCAGCGCTCTGTAACGCCACCTTCAGCGCCGCGCTGAGCGCCCAGCTCCCAGAATGCCCTGGGGCGTCAGAAGGCAGAGACAGGTGAGTGCCTCCAGGTGAGGAGCAGGGTGGTGATGTCACCAGAGGAACTGAATAAAGCTCCGCCCCCTGCAGCTACAGACTGGTGAGCCTGCAGGTCAGAGACCCCGATGAGGAGGAGGAGGGAGGAGTCAGGAGGTCCGGGGTGGACTGGGACTCTCTGCCCTGGTTCCGATCATCAGGACCAGCAGGTGAGACCAGAAGCAGCAGCAGAACCATCAGTCCTGTCCTGTCAGCTGATTGGTTCCCGGGTCCCTCAGGTGTCCTGGTTCCGCTCAGAGCCAACAGGAGCGTCTTCCTCCCCCTGTGGAACAGTGTGGACCCCAGCGGCGAGGCCTGGACGGAGGCTCCGCCCCCTGAGGACAGCCCGGAGGATGAGGAGGAGGAAGGTAGATGCATCACAGCACAGCTTCCTCAGCGAGCTGCTGATAAACAGTCACATGACCTCCCGTTGCCAGGGCGACAGCCGTCTGTGACCGTGTCTGAGCTGAGGGACGGCTTCCTGTCCGGTCGCCGTGGAGTCTCCAGAGGCGCCATGCAGCTTCAGCTGATTGTTCGCATCACGGCCAAGTCTCACCTGATGTACTACGGAAGGACGGACAGGAACTGTGAATGTCCATATAAGGTCAGTGATGCACGGAGGATCAGGGAGGGGGAGGAGTCATGCTGATGTTTTACTCATCCCCACTAAATGATTAGAGGTAACCAGCCCAAACCATCAGCCCTCCACCGCCGTGCCTGGCTGTGGGGTAGGAACCATGAAGGTCTATGGAGGAGTTCTGGTTCTGGTGGACCAAGCCTTTAGTCCTCTGGTCTCCATTAGCCTGACGTATTTAGACCCTGTTCCTTCCTGTTTAGCAGCGCTCCATCAGAACCAGTTTGGTTCTTTAACGGTCCTGATGTTGGGTTCAGTTTGTCTGCATGATGAAAACACGCTACCAGAACCAAACTGAGGTCCGGTTTACCTCCCTCTGTCTTCCCAGGCTGTGCTACAGGCGTGCGACTGGACAGGAAGTGTGTGTCTGGTTCTATGGAACAGCATGTGTGTCAGCTGGTACCGCCGTCTGAAGCCCGGTGACATCATCAGCCTGAGACGCTACCGGGTCAAACAGCACTACCAGGCGGAGGCCGATGACATCGGTAGAGGACTAGGATTAGTCTGGGTTTGGACTGGGATTAGTCTGGGATTGGGCTGGAAATGGTCTGGGATTGGACCGGGTTTCATCTGGGATTAGTTTCAGTTTGCCCCTGGTTTATTGTGGGTTTGGACAGGCTTTAGTTTAGGTTTGGACTGGGTTTTTAGTGTGAGATTGAACCGAGTTTAGTCTAGGATTGGACAGGGTTTGGCTTGGGATTGGACCAGGTTTAGTCTGGGTTTGGACCGGTTCTGATCTAGGATTGGACTGGGTTTAGTGCGGGATTAGACCAGGTTTAGACTGGGTTTGAACCGGTCCTGGTCTAGGATTGGACCGGGTTTGTTCTGTGTTTGGAGCCTATTTAGTCGGGTAATGGACTGGGTACAGTCTGGGATTAGACGGGGTATAATCTGGGATTGCACCGGGTTTAGTCTAGGATAGAACTGGGTTTAGTGGGGGTTTGGACCAGATTCAGTCTGGGATTGGACTGGGTTTACTTTGGAATTGGACAGCTTTTAATGTGGGATTAAACTGGGTCTATTTTGGCATTGGACTTTGTTTAGTCTGGGACTGGATTTGGTTTATACCAATTTGGACTGAGTTTAGTGTTGGTTGGACGTAATATAGTCTGGGATTGGACCGGCTTTAATCTGGGATTGCACCGGGTTTAGTCTAGGATTGGACTGGGTTTAGTGGAGGTTTGGACAGGGTTTAGCCTGCGCTTGAACATGAGTTTTTCTGGGTTTGGCACGGGTTTAGTCTGGGATTTGACCGGGCTTAGCCTGGAATTGGACAAGTTTGTCTGGGTGTGGGCAGCTACTGGACTAGGATTGAGCCAGGATTAGTCTATGATTTGAACAGGTTTAGTCTGGGATTGGACCAGGTTTAGTCTGGGATTGGATCGCATTTATTCCGGGTTTGGACTGGGTTTAATCTGTGATTTGACTAGGTTTAGTCTGGGTTTGGACAGGGTTTAGTCTGGGATTGGACTAAATTTAGTATGGGTTTGGACTGGGTTTAGCCTGGGATTGGACTGGGTTAAATCTAGGATTGGACTGGGTTTAGTCTGACAGGTTCTGGTCTAGGATTGGACCCTGTTTAGTCTGGGTGTGGACCAGTTTTGGTTTGGGATTGGACCAGGTTTCATCTCGGATTTAACCAGGTTTAGTCTGGGTTTGCATCAGTTCTGGTCTAGGATTGGTCTGGGTTTGGAATTGGTTTAGTGTGGGATTGGACCGGGTTTATTCCTGTTTTTGCTTGGGTTTAGTCTGAGATTGGACTGAGTTTAGTCTGGTTTTGGACCGGTTTTGGTTGGGGATTGGACCAGGTTTCGTCTGGGATTGGAAACTGTTTAGTCTGGGTGTGGACTGGTTCTGGTCAAGGATTGGGCCGGGTTTACCCTGGGTTTGGACCAGGTTTATTCTGGGTTTGGACTAGGTCTAGTCTGGGTTCTGTTCTGGGTTTGGACCGGGCTCTAATACATGTTTTTTCTCAGAACTGGGTTGGTTGTTGTTGTGTTTCAGAAATCAGTGTGAACAGCAGGAATCCTGCAGCTCAGATATCCATCCTCCATGACGCCTCGGTTGCCCCTGACTACCTGCCCCCCGCCCCGTCCTACAGCTTCTACAGCAGGTGGGTCTGTCAGAACTCCATCCAGAACCAGGTCCAGACCTTCAGGTTAACCTGCCGTCCCTCTGTTTATACTGAGCAGTCAGGAGCTCCTGGACCGTCCTCAGGGGACCCTGTGTGATGTCATCGGCCTGCTGACCTTCACTGGGCGCTCGGAGCGAGTTAGGAGTAAAGGTGACACGCTGACGATGATGGAGATTGGTTCCTTCCTCTGAGACCAACTAATCTGAATATATATTACTGTCAGATGGCCGAGGGGCGGGGCTTCTGGAGTATCGCTGGCTCCGATTGGAGGACGGCAGCAGTGATAAACCAATAATGGTGAAGCTCTTCTCCACCTCTCAGCCTGAGACACACCTGAAGCTCCACCCGAGTAAGTCCGAGGACCTCCAGGCACCTTGATAAATGCTGTGATCGTAGCTGCTAGCCACACTGATCACTTCCTGGTAGAGGGTAGAGTCACTTCCTGGTAGGTAGAGGGTAGAGTCACTTCCTGGTACGTAGAGGGTAGAGTCACTTCCTGGTAGGTAGAGGGTAGAGTCACTTCCTGGTAGGTAGAGGGTAGAGTCACTTTTTGGTAGAGGATAAAGTCACTTCCTGGTAGAGGGTAGACTCACTTCCTGGTAGGTAGAGGGTAGAGTCACTTCCTGGTAGGTAGAGTCACTTCCTGGTACGTAGAGGGTAGAGTCACTTCCTGGTAGGTAGAGGGTAGAGTCACTTTTTGGTACGTAGAGGGTAGAGTCACTTCCTGGTAGGTAGAGGGTAGAGTCACTTCCTGGTAGAGGGTAGACTCACTTCCTGGTAGGTAGAGGGTAGAGTCACTTCCTGGTAGGTAGAGTCACTTCCTGGTAGGTAGAGGGTAGAGTCAGTTCCTGGTACGTAGAGGGTAGAGTCACTTCCTGGTAGGTAGAGGGTAGAGTCACTTCCTGGTAGAGGGTAGACTCACTTCCTGGTAGGTAGAGGGTAGAGTCACTTCCTGGTAGGTAGAGTCACTTCCTGGTAGGTAGAGGGTAGAGTCAGTTCCTGGTAGGTAGAGGGTAGAGTCACTTCCTGGTAGAGGGTAGAGTCACTTCCTGGTAGAGGGTAGACTCACTTCCTGGTAGAGGATAGAGTCACTTCCTGGTAGAGGGTAGAGTCACTTCCTGGTAGAGGGTAGAGTCACTTCCTGGTAGAGGGTAGAGTCACTTCCTGGTAGGTAGAGGGTAGAGTCACTTCCTTGTAGGTAGAGGGTAGAGTCACTTCCTGGTAGGTAGAGGGTAGAGTCACTTCCTGGTAGGTAGAGGGTAGAGTCACTTCCTGGTAGGTAGAGGGTAGAGTCACTTCCTGGTAGGTAGAGGGTAGAGTCACTTCCTGGTAGGTAGAGGGTAGAGTCACTTCCTGGTAGGTAGAGGGTAGAGTCACTTCCTGGTAGGTAGAGGGTAGAGTCACTTCCTGGTAGGTAGAGGGTAGAGTCACTTCCTGGTAGGTAGAGGGTAGAGTCACTTCCTGGTAGGTAGAGGGTAGAGTCACTTCCTGGTAGAGGGTAGACTAATGCCCTGTTCGAATTCATGGGCGGCGTCCTCAGAAGGCCAGATTCGAAGTACGATTACGTCATAGCGCGGCGCTGAGGTCTGGTCGGATTCCAAGACTCCTCCTTATGCGACCTTAAAATGCGTCCTTCTTTTAGCCCGATTTGAAGGACGGGTCCGATGTGGAACTGACTCTATCCTCTATGGATGGATTTTATTAAGTATTTTTAAGGATTGCTCTCTGATAATGAGTGTTATGATCTATAGAGGAAAATGTGTTGTAATGTGATTTACAAAAGAGAGTAAAGGTAATATTTTGTTTTTTTTTTATTAGTTCTATGTTAAGTTTTATTTATTTTCATTGACAAGAGTTTTTTGTGAAATCGTTGCGAGTGGTTCATTTATGTTGTGTCTAACTAAAGGCTTTTGTCATAAACTTCTTTTAAAGCTCTTTTTCAAACTATTTTTTTATAATTTCTCCAAACGTGAACATTTGATCAGGTATTATGTGTCTTACATTTCTTTCATGTAATTAAAATGAGATCTAAGGCGCCTCCTATTCATTCTGACAGCAGCTGGTCTGACCCAAGATGGCCGCCCTCTTTAGCACGTGGGCCAGCGTCCAATGAGGCGTCTATGTATATAATATCTATGGTTCAGCTGGTAGCCTCTTTAACCTCTGATCATCTGGAGTCTGAGGAAGATGAAACCCCGCCATCCGGTTCTAACTGGTTCTCAGCTCTATCTGTGGTTCTAATGGAGGGTGGAGGCAGCTTTGATTCACGCTCTGCTCCTCTGGTCTCCATGGTAACCTGTGGGCTGTCTCTGTCCTCAGTGTCTGTGGTCGTCTGTACTCGGCTGAAGTCCGTCACCTCTCACCCCGCCTCTCTCTATCTGACCAACACCACCTTCACTCAGGTGTACTGCACAGGTAGGCAGACCCCGGCATGTGGGTGGCATTTGTCTCTGTCCACCTGACCCCTGTCCTGACCTCTGATCGGCTGGCCGGCAGGCCTGGGCCACCACTCCCAGATGAGCTACCGTAAGCTGCAGAAGGTCCGAGGCTTCCTGCGGTGGCTGAGGAGTCAAGACGACCAGCAGGTGATGAGCAGGGCTCTGATTGGAGGATTCTTCACCTACCCGCCTCCTGTCGTCTCCCTGGAAACGTTCATGAAGGAGAGGAGGGGCGAGCTGAGCTTGCTGCAGGGGGCGGAGCTTCAGACGGAGCTGGAGAGGCTCTGTTACCGAGAGCGACGCACCTTCTGCCTTCAGGCGACCGTTTCCATGGTGACCTACAGAGGAGAGGTGAGGTCAGACCCGTTGACGCGAACCGGGCAGGTAAAGACAGGAGCTGAAGTGGTTCTGATGTCCCTCAGGAGGACCGCTGTCTCTTCTGGAGGGACAGACCTTCATCCTCCTCCTCCTCTCCCGCCTCCTTCAGAACTCCCTCCTCCTCCTTCTCTCCCACCTCCCCGTCCTCGGCTGCCAGTCTGTCCACCCCTCGTCCTGCAGACCTCCGCTCGCCACGGTGAGTCCTATGTCTGACGTCGGCAGGCGTCTCTGCGGACACCTGGACTCATGTCTCGGTATTGGTCCCTGCAGGACGTCCAGGAAGAGGAGGAGGCTCCCCCTGGAGACGCCCAGCAAGAGGTCAGAGTGACGGCGGGGGGAACTGCTGCTCTGTGTCTGTCTGTCTGTCTCTGATTGGTTGCTTGGTCTCTCCAGGCGTCCTCTGCCTTCCGTCCCGCCAGAGGACAACAACAGGACAGGTGAGACGCTCCTGGTTCTGAGCAGGAGGTTCTGATGGCTGGTTGGACTACAGCTCCCATCATCCTCTCTGTCTCTGCAGTCATCCTGTTTGAAGCCTCCATGGAGTTTCTAGAAAACGCCGCTGATGAAGACGAGGAGGAGGATGATGATGACTGTTCGTCCTTCTGCACCGCCCCCCTACCCCCGATGGTCCCAGCTGTCGCCATGGAAACCCTCCCACTGCACTTCGATTACGATCGCAGGGAGGAACAGGTGGCTGCCATATCGATGGGAGGCGGGGCCGGAGCGCAGAGCTTTGGCTCCGCCCCCATGGATTACTACACCATCAGACTGAAAGGTAGACCCACGCCGAGAGGGGAGGAGGGGGAGCTGTGTCTCAGGGTTGTCATGGTTACCTGTGGTTGTCCCCTCAGCTCTGTCAGATGGCGTGCTCATGGATGCAGTCTTCCTCCCTCGCCTCTCCTCCTCCTCCTCCCTGCTCCGTCACGCCAACACCTGGACCTCCATCCTGTCCCACGGAGCCTTCTCTCCACACACACCGCCGCCGTCTCCAGGTGAGTGCAGAAACAGATCCTCCGTTCATGACCGTCACCGAGGATGACGCCGCTCCTCTGATCTCTCCCTCAGCTGACCTCATCGCCATGGCGCCGCAGCTGGCCAATCAGAGGCTGGTTTGCGTCCTGGAGGCGTGTCACCTGGGCGGAGCCAGGACGGAGCTGGTACTGACTCGAGGCTTCCACCTGAAGGACTAATTTATTTATTTACTTATTTATCTTGTTGAGGGAGCTCATTTCCTGCTGACGAACAGAACCTGAACCAGAACCTGAAGTCAGCAGAAAATCAGCAGAACCCTGATAAACATGGATAAACGTTCTTATTCTGGATAGACATGGATCAACGTTCCTATTCTGGATTAGGTCTCTAGTTCAGATTACCCACCAGGTTCTTTACTGGACTTGGTTCTGGTCTGTGGTGTAGATGGAGGAAGGTGGACCTTGGTTTGTTGTTCGCAGAGGATCCGGACCTCTGAAGTCCTGGTTTCATGATGCCTTGAACTCTTAAAAAGGTTCCCTGGTCTTTAGGAAGAGAAAAGGCCCTCAGTACCACACGTCCTCCACCGTATTTAATCCCCATGTGAGTTTTAGCCTGACAGAAGAACCAATTCAGGTGAGTCTCATCTGCCTGAAGGTCCACATTCCAGGTAGAATCTCAGAGACTTGGGAACCTCCTATGTGACATGCTGGGACATGGGTTAGTCTAGGATTGAACACGGTTTAGTCTGGGCTTAGTCTTGGTTTGGACTGGGTTTGATATGGTTTTGGACTGGGTTTAGTCTGGGATGAACAAGGTTTAGGCTGGGATTAGTCTTGGTTTGGACTGTGTTTAGTCTGTGTTTATACCAGGTTTATTCTGGGATTAGTCTTGGTTTGGACTGGGTTTGATCTGGTTTTGGATTGGGTTTAGTCTGTGTTTGGACCAGGTTTAGTCTGGGCTTAGTATTAGTTTCAACCAGGTTTAGTCTGTGTTTAGACCAGGTTTAATCTGGGATTAGTCTTGGTTTGGACTGGGTTTGATATGGTTTTGGACTGGGGTTTATTCTGGGATGAACCAGGTTTAGGCTGGGATTAGTCTTGGTTTGGACTGGGTTTAGTCTGTGTTTGTACCAGGTTTATTCTGGGATTAGTCTTGGTTTGGACTGGGTTTGATATGGTTTTGGACTGGGGTTTAGTCTGGGATGAACCAGGTTTATTCTGGGATTAGTCTTGGTTTGGACTGGGTTTGATCTGGTTTTGGATTGGGTTTAGTCTGTGTTTGGACCAGGTTTAGTCTGGGCTTAGTATTAGTTTGGACAAGGTTTAGTATGTGTGTGGACCAGGTTTAGTCTGGGCTTACTATTGGTTTAGACCGGGGTTAGACTGTGTTTGTACCGGGTTTAGTCTGGGCTTAGTATTAGTTGACTAGTAGGGCTTCATCTGGAATTGGACCAGGTTTAGTCTGGGATTTGTGCTTGGTGTGGATCGGGTAAGTCTGGGATAGGACTGAGTTTAGTCTGGGATTAGTCCGGGTTTAGTCTGGGCTTAGTCTTGGACCGGTTGTAGTCTGGACCAGGGTTATTTTGGGATTGGACCGGTAGGATAAACCAATGGTTGTCATGGAGACCTGGTGCCATGTCTCAGAACGGATTAGAGGCGGGTCCAAATGTCCCCAGAGAGACCAGAAGTTTCCTGGGATCTGGTCCTGGTTCTGGATCATCCTGGTCCTGGTTCTGGATCATCCTGGTCCTGGTTCTGGTTCTGGTTGGTCTTCCCTGTGGATCCTGAGCTGCTTCTAACAGCAGACTGTGGATGTTTTCCTGGTTTTAACACTGTTGATGTTTTCCTGCCATCTTTAAGCTGTGAACGTTTCCTGTGAATAAATCTGTTTCAGCCCCCCCCCCCCCCCACTCATGTTCCCCTCATACAATCTTCAAAGGGCAAAACAGAAACACATACTTATAGTTTCTTGTTTGATAATCTGTTCAACATTAAATACATCACAAGTGAAAACATTTCCATGGTTTTTGTGGTTTATAGCCCTCGGTAACGCCATCGCAGCGAGCGGTCCATGGCCGTCTGCTGTCCAGGAGGGAAACATTGCCCTTCAGGTGTGGTTTCTACCTGGTTCTGCTCATGGCTCCTGGTTAACTGACTGTCATCCATGTTGTTTTGGAGCCTGGATCATAATCATCTCTCTGGAGCTGTGACTAGAATAAACTGCAGCTAGCTAGGGTTCCTAGTTTAAAAAAATAAAATATTTATACACCAATAAACGATGCTTTTAATCAGCTTTATTGCCATTTACTAAAGGTGTAGAACAGAGAAAACAAGCCGTTGATATTTTGGTTTATCGGATCCAACTGATGCTGTGAGATCAGGACCGATGATTAAAGAGTCTGCTGGGATTTTATGCTGGATCGGTTTAGACGCCACAGATTATCCAGCTGATTTTTGTCTAATCGATTTACTTTCCAGATGGAAGTTTGACGTAAAACCAGATCTTTCAGATAATTAAACAATTATTTTCCCGATGCAAAGCCATTCCCACAATAGACCAATGTGATTATTTCAGAGTCATTATGAAGGACGTTATCAGGGATGGAGGTTAGACTACACTGACGTCACGGGGCGATTTAGAGCATCCACAAAGAGCAAAGAAAGGATCATCTACCGTCACACACTATAAAACTGCTCTAGATGCACTAATTTACTGGGTTAAACCAGGGGACGGCAACATGCGGCTCTTTAGCGCCCCCTAGCGGCTTCCTGGAGCTTTTTCAAAACTTTATGAAAAATCTATTTTTCTGTTGTTTTTTTTTTTTATGTTCTGTGCAGGAGGTCAAAGAGACATTATGTCGTGTTGCCTCATGAGGCTGATGGAAGACTTTTACATCTTTCCAGCTCCAGACTAGCTTCGTGAGACCATCCTGATCTCGCGAGCTTTCAAGGTTTCACTCGCAGATCAGTCTGGAGACTCCATTAAAGAAAATTTGGAGCCGTTCACCAAACGAACGTCCAATCAGCATTGGCTTTGAGGCGGGTTGAGGTGTGACGCAACGAGAAGCGCGACAGTTCAGTCTAAAGAACATGGCGGCCGGTATTTTCGCCCCTTCCCAAAATTACTTCAACGGAAGGTTTCCAGATGGATATGAGGAGCAAATCCATCTGGCGGAGTCGGGTTAGCTCCAGACAGATTTATTTTTTTTTTTTTTGGTCCATTATGGCTCTTTGAGCAGTTCGGGTTGCTGACCCCTGCGTTAAACCAACTGGAGCTCCAACCACCTGCTGCTGTTTTTCTGCTCAAATGTTCAGACAATGACCCAGAAACTTCTCTGGACCTCATTCTGCGCTGCACAGACTCTCTGTCTGCACCAATGAAGATTCACTCCCCCATGATGCCAAACGCTTCAACTGATGACCGACTGATGGTTTCAGCTGTTTGTCCACCTGTCAGGGCATTGGGACGTTATCTCCAGACAGCCCGGATCGGTATCATCGTCTAAGTAACGTACTCTGTTCTGATGCAGGAAGACGCATTATAGAACATAGATGAGACACGCTTCATGCTCATTTCCTGCTGGTTAGCCCAAACTGAATCAGCTCCAATCATCACATGATAAACAGTTTGACAACAGCTTAAAATAGTCTTTATTGGACAAATGAACAAGTTTGTTGGACAATCTTAGAGTCTAAAAACTCTGGTTTAACTGATAGAGTGAACATGGGGACAGACTGAGGGCCACCAGCCTGGTCTTTAGGACGTTAAGCTGCGCGGTACGTGTCTCTGGCAGATGTAGCGCAGCCTGCTGGAGCAGTGCAGGTCGTTGAGGCGGCCGTCGCTGTGAAGGTGGGCGCAGTCTTCGTCTCCGGCACCCAAACCGTGACCGGTCCAGCTGTCGGGCTGACCGGGCTTCCATCGTCTAGACAGCAGAGACACAAAGCAGACCTATCAGTAGGTCTTCCCTCCTGAGATCCAGACCTAGTTAGGAAGCTGAGGCAGAGGCATTTCTTGCAAGAAATAAAGTTCAAATTAATTTAATGTCCTCAGATGGAGAGATAAGGTTCTGACTGGGCAACCTCAGTACATTTATACCTTACAAAACGAAGAAGGCTGTGGACGTTTGGAGCAGACATACCTCAACATTTATTTACTCCACAGTTCCAACTAGTCTAGATCGACAGTTCTCTGGACTTTCTCAGGGTCCAGAAGGTCCTGATCACTTCCAGATTATGAAACCTAAACCTGACCTTTAAATCATTTATACAGATAAAGGCCATTTCTCAATCTGTGTACTTGTGCGTTCTCATCTGCTTGTGAAACGTCATTAGCCTTAGCACTAGTGCTGTTCCAATTCACAAGAACCGCAGACCGAGAACAGACAAAAATGCTGGTTGTTGTTCTCCCTATTTAGCGAGCATGCGTCAGAGCTGGCTGCAGGCGGAGCCCGCGCCTCTTCAGCTCTCCACAACCACTATTGAGCATTTTTCCTTTGGATAAACTTTACATGCACAAGTTTACCCTCACAAACAACTACAGGGTCTTGGTTCCAGCTACTCAGAGATTCACTTCCATACAGAAAGCCCATATTCTGATCTTCAGGTAACACAGAGTACATGTCAGGCTTAATAATACTACTAATACTTCAGTGATAGTATCTAGGTGTTACTTGATTGTATGTCTCGTACCATGTCTGTTGGTTGTGCTGTTCTTTTTTAATCTCTTTGTAGATGATTAAGCAGACAGAAAATGTTTTATCATTATCTCCTCTTTCTTTCATCTTTTCTCCTTTTTTCTGTTTTTTCCTCTTCTATTCTATTTACATTGCATTGTCCATATAATCTGTAAAATTGCATAAATGAAGAGGAACACTGTGGCAATAGCCGTACTTATTGCGACATCCCCAGACAGGACACTGTTCGGAAAAAAAAAAGATAATTTGAGGCGAGAATATTATACTTTAAACCATCACTATTTGGCCCATTTACCGATTTAATGCATAATTAAAAACAAACATTTCCGAAGTTGAGAGGACCACGGCTACCAGCGGACCTCCGAGGCTAACGGCAGCCAGGGCTAACATTAGCCCGTCTGCAGCGGCCAGGCTAACATTAGCCCGTCTGCAGCAGCCAGGGCTAACATTAGCCCGTCTGCAGCAGCCAGGCTAACATTAGCCCGTCTGCAGCAGCCAGGGCTAACATTAGCCCGTCTGCAGCAGCCAGGCTAACATTAGCCCGTCTGCAGCGGCCAGGCTAACATTAGCCCGTCTGCAGCAGCCAGGGCTAACATTAGCCCGTCTGCAGCAGCCAGGCTAACATTAGCCCGTCTGCAGCAGCCAGGGCTAACATTAGCCCGTCTGCAGCAGCCAGGCTAACATTAGCCCGTCTGCAGCAGCCAGGGCTAACATTAGCCCGTCTGCAGCAGCCAGGCTAACATTAGCCCGTCTGCAGCAGCCAGGGCTAACATTAGCCCGTCTGCAGCAGCCAGGCTAACATTAGCCCGTCTGCAGCAGCCAGGGCTAACATTAGCCCGTCTGCAGCAGCCAGGCTAACATTAGCCCGTCTGCAGCAGCCAGGGCTAACATTAGCCCGTCTGCAGCAGCCCTCTCTCAGCATAGCTGCGTGTGAAGGACCGCTGGCTGTGATGGTGATTTTTTTTGTTTTATTTGGGAAAATATTAATTTGATTTGTCTGAGTGTGTCCATCATTATTCCCCCTCTGAATAAAAAAGGTCATAATTTATTATTATCTAGAGACTATTATTAACAGGAGGTGAAAAGCACCTCTAGACTAGCCGGGCTTGTGATGACGTCACGAGTACTGTTATGCTCCATTTTACCCAGATTTATGCTGCCTGCTCCCGTTCTCCCCAAGTCCAGACTTTGCTGTGTTCTTCTCAAGAACATACTTGGCGAGGACAGGAGTCCGTACTTGTGTTCTTGGGAATTGAGAAACGGCCAACATGTGGTGAATCAGTGTTGTGTCGACATATAACCAAGAACCTGAGAAAGAACCTCCTCTTCTTTATACTCTGGTAGTGGCAGTAATGTTTCAAAGTCCTTGAGACCACATGGGTGAATATGAAGCCCCGCTAGCGATGTTCTACCTGCGGTTCATCACGTAGGGCGTCTGGTTGACCCACTCCCACCTTCCTGACTTCTCATCCGTCAGACCCACCCAGTAGAACGTACCTCCAGTGTGACGGAACACAAAGTCCTGGACCACAGAGACAACAAGGCAATGAAAGTGGTGTAGAAGAGTTAAAGTTTTTACGCAGACGACACAATATTTACCTCCACTGTTAAGAATAAAGTGAGAACTAGTGAGCAGATTTACCCATTCATCATCGCTCATCATTATGACCAGGTGGGACTCGTGTCCGTTGCACCAGTCCCGAGCCTCGTGCCAGGACAGAGCATTCCTACTGAACAAGTAGCAACTGGTGCTGAAACTCTCCCAACCGAGGGGACAGCAGCCATCAGAGAGAGAACCTGAGGAGGCAGAGAAGATGGCGGTGTTCACACTGAACCCATTAGGACTTTGGAACGGAGAATGACCCAGAACCCAGAGGGAGGAACCCTGCTGAGCGTTTGCACTGCCCACCGTTGTTAATGTAGCGATCCAGGGTGCATTTCAGCTTGGCCACCGTCCTGCCGATGGTGTCCAGGGTAGAGAGCTGCTTCAGGGCTTCAGACACTGAGGAGAAACAGAGTCAGGGTCCATCAGAGGGTTCTGGAGGTTTCTGTTGTGTTTACGCTCCTCGTGGTTCACCTGAGGTCAGCTGCTCCTTATTGCTCTCCACAGAGAACTTCAGCCTCTGGACGTCTTTACCTGTGTCTGCAGCAGACGGCATGGGACAGACTCAGTTAGGGTGCGGACAGCCCTGGTTCCAGGTGACCTGGACAGGTGTGTTACCTTTAGTGAGCTGCTGGGTGGAGGAATGCCACTCCGTCTGGTTGGACACGGTTTTCTCCAAAGACCAGAGACGGCTCAGTGTGTTGGAGTCTGCAAACAGTCGTTGCCCCCACAGGGGCAATTAACCACCAGTTAACTAACAGTCATGTCACATGACCTCAATGCAGAGAAACTCTAGTCTGGGATTCAAACCCAGGACCCTCTGGTTGCTAGGATACAGTGGAGCAAACCATCATCCATTCATCATCCATCCATCCATCCATCCATCCATCATCCATCCATCATCCATTCATCATCCATCCATCCATCCATCCATCCATCCAGTACATTCCAGCATAATCCAATAATCCAGGTCCATAAATTAAAAGGTGTTTACAAAGATTAGTTCCAATCTATAATCTGGTTCAGTTGACAGGATGAAGGAAAACTAAGCCGGGTTTTACTTTCTGGACCAGGACTATCCTCCCTGCATACAGGAATGTTAATCTGCGAGGGCATATCTCCATTAAATTAAACTATAAGCTGCAAAAGAAGATCAAATAATATCCTGACGTCTAATACTGCTGTGGTCCAGCCATGTTCTGCTTCAGTCCCTGTTTATGCTAGGTTCCTCCACAGCAATGTTTGCTTTGTGTTGATTAATTGATCTCAGTGATCATCTCTAACTTGCCACCTAAAGCAACTGTTCAGTTCCTACCATGGTATCCCCACCAACAGTTCTAGTACCAGGCTTTGGGTAGTGGCAGTAAAACCGAGGTGTTAATCCAAATGGAAATGTTGGCTGAGGTTCTTCTCAGTACCTCTGAGGTGGCCATGTCTGAATACATATGTCTAAGGCTGACCTTCTGAGTTTTAATAACTAAAAATCAACTCACATTAAAAGGTGGACTCTCTCAGTTACTTCCAGCAGAATATTAAAGAGTAGAGAAACCATCTGGAAGTTTCCACATGGCTTAGACCTCCTCATCCCCATTCCAGGAGAGGGGCCCACAGGGACATAAACCAGGAGTTACTGGGAAACATGGATGTACTCACTGGTGACTCCGACTGCTATGATGAAGATGAGGACAAAAGCAACACCCAGGCCAGGATACAACCACCGTCTGAACCTGGAGACACTCGAGTAGGACATGGGACGGGGCTCTGATGGGCAGATGGACATGATAAATACCAGTCATCCCAGTCTTGGACCAGTTCTCACTCTCGGCAGGTACCTTTGTTCCAGAAAGAGTTGCTCTCTTCGTCCACCTCGTCGTGGTATTCAGTCGTCATGGCGTTTTTCCTCGTCTTCGTCTCTTAGAACAACGCAGGCTGGCAATGGAGCAGGTGTCCGTATGCGGCGCTGCAGGTCAATGGCCAAGGGACGTACTTTGGACTGAAAAACATGCTCTGTGTGTGTGTGTGTGTGTGTGTTGGGGGGGTGGGGGGGGGACATCATAGCCTAAAGAGAAACCTGACCAAAGACAAACAGTGAAGCAAAGAAAAGAGGCTCTGAGAGGAACTGAAGCATGAACTTTCTAGATGTTGCTTTAATGCCACCACACCATAAAACGTCTCATTGCATAAAAATCATCATTAACATCAACTGGTCACTCTAAGAGTTTGGAACTGGTTCCAGTCCACAGCAGCTTCTCCCTGGTGGTCTAGGTGTGCGAGCCGCGTTTCTGGCAGATGAAGCGGAGGCTTGAGCTGCAGTGCATGTCATTGAGGAGTCCATTTTGATGAAGATGTGCGCAGTCTTCATCTTCGGGGCCCATTCCGTGGCCCGTCCAGGCGTCGGGCTGCCCAGGTACCCATCGCCTGGAACCGCACCATAGTTAGCTACCTGAAAACAGCCCTGAGGCTAAACAGAAGGAGACAGTGTCCGCCTGTACCTGCGCTGGATGGTGTAGGGGGTGTGGTTCACCCACTCCCACTTCCCAGTCCTCCCATCAGTCAAACCCACCCAGTATAGCAAAGGAATTGAGTTCTTGGTCACAAACTCCTGTGGAACAGAGAGCAGACACTGAAAATCATATGAAATCCTGATGGAAGAAAGAGCTGTTACACCCTGGGTCAGAACCAGAACTCAGAGCCATCCTGGTTGGTGAAGAAGATGAGATCTGGAGGTCAATTTAAGTCCAAAGGTCTCAGAACTTAGTAGTTCCTCCCCTGACCTCATAGAACTGGTCCTGGTTTGAGATGCTGTTGATGATGCTCTGGAGAGGGAGGAGCTTCAATCAGAGCCACTGGTGTCCCACTAACTTCTTAGGCTTAACTTTTTAAACAGTTTGTGCTCATGATGATCTATACATGATAAACGTGACAAATATAGATTATTTAAAGTGCTACTATCAGGAAGTCCACAAACTGTAGTTAAAAGCCTTCAGCTGATCCAAAATGCTGCAGCCAGAGTTCTGATGAAAATGAAAAAGAGAGATCATATCTCTCCTATCCTGGCTTCTCTTCATTGGCTTCCTGTTAAATCCAGAATAGAATTTAAAATCCTCCTTCTCACATATAAAGCCTTAAATGGCCAAGCTCCATCTGATATCAGAGATCTGATTGTTCCTTATGTTCCTAACAGAGCACTTCGCTCTCAATCTGCAGGTTTACTAGTGGTTCCTAGAATTTCTAAAAGTAGAATGGGAGGCAGATCTTTTAGTTCTCAGGCTCCTCTCCTGTGGAACCAACTACCAGTTTTAGTCCGTGAGGCAGACACCCTGTCTACTTTTAAGGCTAGGCTTAAAACTTTCCTTTTTGATAAAGCTTCTAGTTATAGTTATAGCCATCAACACCTTTGTTTCTAGGTGCTGGAGCTTGGCCTGTTTTCCAGTGTAGGCCTGTTTGCGGCGCTGCAGGTCAATGGTCAATGTGACTAACAGTCAGAGAAACAGGCCTGCAAACAGCATCAGAGCGCTACCTGCTGGAGCTGTTGACAGTTTTCCATCCTTGCAACCAAACTAGCAGCAGTAGTGGAGTTTGGAGATGCTTCCACTTCTTAAATCTATCTTTGCTCTCCTCTAATTTGTCCAGAAGTTCTGCAATTACACTTTTTCTCTCCCTCCCAGCTTTTTGGTCGGCACTAATATAACACAGACAGCCGGAAAGGCATACCAAGGTCCAATCACAGCTGCTTTTTGTCTGCGCACTTCCGCTTGAGGTCTGCATGGGTTTGCGACCGTCTGACGTGTAGTCAGGATTTTTTTGAGGTGGGCAACAAAGGTCAGAGCCTCTACGTGGGGGGGCGTGGTCACGCACAGAGACAGATATGACAGATGCAGAGGCTATGCGTCAGAAATATAAATTGGCCTTTAGCCACCATCAGCAGCACAATTCTTCTCTCCCATTTAAAATATTCTCTCAACATCACCGGTACTGCCCCCTACTTATTATAATTCTGATGACTAACATATGTATTAGCTTCCAAAACTGCGACTCAATCTTTATACCTCAGAAAGGACACAAGCCATGGCCGAAGCGCATCCTCAGTCGCCCTAATTGGTGCTATCCCAATAGTTCTGGCAGTAAGGACCATGAAACACAAGTTTTTACCAGCACCAATTAATTTAGCATACTAACCTCCTGATGTTTCTAGCTCCTGCAGGGAACTATGAGCTCGCCCACGATCCTTGGCGTGACCGACCTTATAGGATAACATAAGGATAAAGGAAAGAAGCTAGGAATGGAAGCTAGGAACGTTCCAGTCTGTCCCTCCTATACTGCTCTGCTTCTGTGCTGATCATTTCTAGCTCTACATCTCCACCAAATCCATCATGATTGCAGCTCAATCCACCGTTTGACCAACTGCATCACTGAGACGACATCATGGATCTCAAATCCCTTACCTAAACCTCCCCTACCTTCAGCCTCACCATTGCTAGGCCTCTCATCTACAACCTCTGAGTTGTTTTCCGCAGTAGCCTTTCCTATGGACATCATGTTCTCCGCAAAAAAAACCTTCTTCCATTTAAATCATATTGCACGTCTCACGTACCCATGACTCGTCTTATTGACCGCTAGAATTGTTGTCGTTGTTAGAGATGCTTCATTGAATCCAGGAGAAGTGGAGGGTTGAGACAGGTGTAGCGATAGATACTGTAGGACAGATGGACAGAGACAGACAGGTGTCTCACCCACTCCTTGTCGCTGCTCAGGATGGCTAAGTGAGCATTCTTGGTCTCACACCAGGTCTTGGACTGGTTCCAGGGTAGAAGCTGTTTGCTGAAGAAGTAGCAGTCCGACCCAAACAGAGTCCATTCCAAAGGACAGCATGGTCCTGATGTGGAGGCTGAGACACACACAGAGACACTCAGACAATGTGGACAGAGGGAGGACATCACATCTCTGCCTGTCCATACCGTTCTGGATGATGTGTTTGAAAGAACATTCCAGAGCCTCCACCTTCTTCCTTAGAGAGTCGAGCAGTGGCAGCTGCTGAAGGGCTGCTGACACTGAGTACACACAGACAGACATGTTCCTGGTTCTGATCCAACCCACTGAGTTCTGAACAGTGACGGAAACACACAGACCTGATGAGATTTGGTCCTTGTTGTCCTGAATGCGGAACTTCAGCTGATGGATTTCTTTAATGGACTCTAGAGGAAAAAATATTCTGGAAATCAGTAACTGCTACACAGAACCAGAGGTTCAGGTTTGTGTGCTTTTATTGTGAAAATCCTGCAGTGTCAATGTCCGGAATTTACCATGAGCCTGCTGCAGAGATGCGTTTAAGGACTCTATCTTGTCGTACAGGATGGAAACCTCCTCCTCTGCAGACCAAAGGCGCGTTGAGGTCTTTGAGTCTGATCGCAAACAAAAAGAGCTGTCACCACAGCTGATCCATATAGACAGTAGAGAACTAGTACCCCTCTGACCCAGCCCTCAGGAAGCCACACTATAATCCACTAGCTCTCCAGGCAGTCCGAGCTTCTGGTTCAGAGGACAAAACTTATACAGACCTAAAGAATCCCTGAGAACAGACCCTGGAGAACCATTGGCATGGAGAACCATTGCCATGGAGAACCACTGGCATGGAGAACCATTGCCATGGAGAACCATTCGCATGAAGAACCATTGGCATGGAGAACCATTGCCCCGGAGAACCATTGGCATGGAGAACCATTGGCATGGAGAAACACTGGCATGGAGAACCATTGGCATGGAGAACCATTGGCATGGAGAACCATTGGCATGGAGAACCATTGGCATGGAGAAACACTGGCATGGAGAACCATTGGCATGGAGAACCATTGGCATGGAGAACCATTGCCCCGGAGAACCATTGGCATGGTGAACCATTGGCATTGAGAACCATTGCCCCGGAGAACCATTGGCATGGTGAACCATTGCTCCAGAGAACCATTGCAACTTTTAGAAATGCCTTTGGTTCAACAGACCTGAAATCAATAATTAGGGGGTTGACAGGTTGACAGGACTCTAGAGGAACTGACTGCATCCTGAGGAGCTAACTCGTCATTTGATTCAGCCGTGTTGGACCATGGATTATTCTAAAAGTTGCAGGATACCTGCCCCCAGGACCCTTTGTCCAGAGGATCAACGCTCCCACAGCCTTGGCAGAAGAGCAGTCCATCACAGGCTCAGAAAGGTCACATGAGGAGAACCCTGCTTAGGTTCATCCTAACACAGCAGCCATTATTCTAACCTGGATGGGACGTGCTCCATGGTTCTAATGCAGAAAGGAGGACTGGCATCTCTAGGTCCGTCTCTACCCCAGGCTGAGGCTTGATGGAGACACCTGATGAAGGCCTCCTCTGAGGCTAACTACTGAGGCTAACTACTGAGCTCTGGATTTAGCTGATGGTCTTCAGCCATCACCGATGGGCATCCTTCATCCAGACATCTGAGAAAGGTTCCTCAGTGAGGTCACCAGGCTGCGGCTTACAGCTAAGAAAAGGAGCTCCATTATCCGGGGGCAGATGAGAGATGTTACACTGGAAGGAGACCCCGGGGGAGACCTGGAACTCTTTAGAATAACAATGCTATAAGATCCTTCAGAAGGACCTGGAGAGACTGGCGTCTACTAGACCATGAAGGTTGTACATCCAGGAATAGAGCTTAGAGTGGGAGGTCAGAGCATGGTTATAAAGCTGACCTCCTGATGATGGAAATACCAAGTGTGAGCGGACTCACTGGTGACTCCCAGGACCAGGATGAGGATAAAGACCACAGCAGCCATTACAGCAGGAAACAACCACCATTTGATCCTGAAGATACCGGCAACTGAGGCAGGAGGACTCTCTGAGAAACAGAAGGACAGACGGATGGACGACAGGTCATTAACAGCAGAAACAGATAAGTGTCTCTGTCCCCTGATCACCTCCCTCAGACCTGAGATCCAGAGGGCGCAGCGGTCCGGGTCCTTCTCCTGGAAGTCGTTGAACATGTTGGAGACGTTCCAGGCTGATCTTCAGGGCTATAAGGTCGATACTCCAGCTGCATGAAGCAGGGAATGACAGGAGGTTAGAAGATCTGCAGAAGAACTGGACCTCCTGTCCTCCTCACTGACCCTTAAGAACGTTGATCCAAAGATCTCACCTGTCTGAACACCTGCAGAGATGAAGCTGCTCCTCACTGACCTGGTAACCGTTTACTGCTGAACTTCTCCCTCTCCTCTTCCTCTTCAACCGCCCATCCAACTGTCTCAAAGCGTCCACTCATCACTTTAATATTTCATCATCTTCATCGGCTCACCCTATGCAGCCTTTCTTAAGTTTCTCATTTCACTGAATCTCCGGAACTTCTCCTTTCTGCAGAACAGATTTCTCAAGAAGGAAGTGATTCTCAGTCCAGTTCCCTAAAGGAACCAAACCAAACCTCCGCAGGAAATACTCTGAGACCCACACATGGTCCGTTAGCGCTCTGCTAGCTGTGTTCTACACTGATTTATGAAGATACTGGAGAACAGAACCAGGAACCAGAACATCAACAACAACATGAGCAATTATGAGCCTGAAGCTTCAGGAGAGGAACACTTTGATTAGAGTCTAAATCAGAAATGAGTCCTTTGCTTGGATGAGAAAAGAAACTTATTTATTTGACCCACAGCAAACCTGTTTTCCTTGAGTTCACCAACAAAACTGATGGGATCGAAGGAACAAAAATTCACACTAAGGCCTTATCATGGACTTTAAACTGTTTCTAATCATCCTTTACTTCATCGTCTCTGAAAGAAAACCAGTCAGTCAGTCTGATGGCGATGACATCATCCCTCTGTGAGGTCATCGTCGAAGTGGAGCAGGATGGAGGGAGTGAAGATGTCCCGGTCCAGCCTCAGACGGTCCAGCTCCGGGTCTTCGTCCACCACGCCGTTCTGGCTCAGTGTCTTGGTCATGTCCAGAACCTCTCCCAGGTGCTTCCAGGTGTAGCTGTGGGCGTGGCTGTTGTAGCGCCGGTAACGGTGCAGGATCTCCACCAGAGTCTCCTCAGAGCACACCTGAGGAACCGTAGGGTTCTGTGAGGCAGGGACGTCTCAGAGTCCTCAGACTTCATTACCCAGAGTGCATCTGGAGGAAGCTCTCACCTCCAGCAGCTGCTCCTGGGACGTCAGCGTGTTGACGATCCGGATCCACCTGACCTTGGCTGACAGCAGCCCCACCTTGTACCGGCTGTCCTTCCACCACGGAGTCCCGAAGTCGGTGGCCCAGTTGGAGCAGGGCCCGCGGGGGGGGATGTGGACAAATCGCCCCCTGGGGGTGTAGTAGCGCTCACAGCAGGTCAGGGGGTCCACGAACCGCCGGATCTGAGGGAACCATAAACCATCTGAGGTCCAACAAAGATCTAAGATCATCAGAGATGAAACCATCTGGAGATCAGCTGGATGCACCAGAGACCTAGAACCTGAACAGAACCTCCTCCCTGACCCATCCTCTGGGTCCCATTGTCTCCATCGTGCTGTTTGCTCTCTAATGTTATCTAGAGAAATCTATTTCAACATTTGGAGCCAACAGAGTGCAGCACTGCTCTAATGCATGCTGGGTAAAGAGGGAGGGGCCAGAACAACACCTGGGGACTTTGTCCGTTCTCGGTCTGCTCTTCTTGTGAATCTGAAGAGTACGTTTAAGATCACCTGAGGGGAGAACATTAAACTTTAAGCTTCACTATATGGAACATTTACTGCATGGGCGTAGGTTTGCATAGGGACCATAGGGACATGTCCCTACCAAAATTTTGAACCGACCTAATCGTCCCTACCAATAATTTGATGTGAACAACACGTTTATAATTTACTATACAGCTTTGCTGCAGCAGTGGCTTCTTTTCCTCTAGCAGCTTCGCTGACTGCGCGCTCAAACTGAAGGCACAAATATCTCTCCGTTCAGCAGCAGCTCCGTCTGAGTGCCTGCCTGTCTCTACTGTCCCTTTAACGTAGCAGCGCACGTGACGGTGGTTCTGAGCAGCTACTGGTTGTTCTGCCTTAAGTTCCGCCTTCTCTCTTCCTGATTGGCTGTTTTCCAGTCCGTGTGCGTGTGTGTGTGCTTGGAGCACAAAACTGAACATTTATTTCATTCTAGAATACAGCGGTTAATACAATTAATATTAGGCTATGAAACTAGTCCCAATTAAAAAACCGAATATCATGTAGGCCTACGCTAAAAAAAAAAAAAAAAAAAAACTTTTTTTCTTTGTATAAAACTAAGCCAGGAATTCTGAAGACTGCTGGAAAAATGGACAAATAAAGGCTGTAAGCATCAACATTTCTGATTCTTAGCCACAGCCCACTAAAAAGAAAAATGTGATGGTTTCCTTTTTCTGATCTGCTGATATTAAGTTGCTGTTACTGTTTTCATTTTTTGATGACTCTTTGAGGGAGTTCAGGTATAATTATTAGCAGGTTTTAGCATAACAATAAGAGATGGCGCCTAAACATCTGCTATTTTTTGTTTAAAAAGCATAATTAGGGTTTTACGTAATAATAGTTCTATTTTATTGACTATTTCTACTTCTAGAAATAGGATAAAGACAAGAACAAAGAGAGGGACATTATTAACATTGATTTTATCTTACATAGATTTCCACACAGTCTATAAGTAAATTGGTGCAAACATTAATGTCTGGTAAATAATGCTTGAATCTGGCTGTTTATTTTGGATATTATAACATTGCAGATAAGATAGTGTTATATTGTCTTTTATAATCATTAAATGTGATGTTATATTTGAATACATTTTGGCCATTCTTAGTGTGGAGTTTGTAGATGATGCCACTAAAAAAGAAAATAGACATAAGGATCTATTTTAACAGTCAGTCAGTAAGTAACATACGATGATACACTATATTGCCAAAAGTATTTGCTCACCCATCCAAATTATTGGAATCAGGTGTTCCAATCACTTCCATGGCCACAGGTGTATAAATTCAAGCACCTAGGCATGCAGACTGTTTTTACAAACATTTGTGAAAGAATGGGTCGCTCTCAGGAGCTCAGTGAATTCCAGCGTGGAACTGTGATAGGATGCCACCTGTGCAACAAATCCAGTCGTGAAATTTCCTCGCTCCTAAATATTCCACAGTCAACTGTCAGCTGTATTATAAGAAAATGGAAGTGTTTGGGAACGACAGCAACTCAGCCACGAAGTGGTAGGCCACGTAAACTGACGGAGCGGGGTCAGCGGATGCTGACGCGCATAGTGCGAAGAGGTCGCCAACTTTCTGCAGAGTCAATCACTACAGACCTCCAAACTTCATGTGGCCTTCAGATTAGCTCAAGAACAGTGCGCAGAGAGCTTCATGGAATGGGTTTCCATGGTCGAGCAGCTGCATCCAAGCCATACATCACCAAGTGCAATGCAAAGCGTCGGATGCGGTGGTGTAAAGCACGCCGCCACTGGACTCTAGAGCAGTGGAGACGCGTTCTCTGGAGTGACGAATCGCGCTTCTCCATCTGGCAATCTGATGGACGGGTCTGGGTTTGGCGGTTGCCAGGAGAACGGTACTTGTCTGACTGCATTGTGCCAAGTGTAAAGTTTGGTGGAGGGGGGATTATGGTGTGGGGTTGTTTTTCAGGAGCTGGGCTTGGCCCCTTAGTTCCAGTGAAAGGAACTCTGAATGCTTCAGCATACCAAGACATTTTGGACAATTCCATGCTCCCAACTTTGTGGGAACAGTTTGGAGCTGGCCCCTTCCTCTTCCAACATGACTGTGCACCAGTGCACAAAGCAAGGTCCATAAAGACATGGATGACAGAGTCTGGTGTGGATGAACTTGACTGGCCTGCACAGAGTCCTGACCTCAACCCGATAGAACACCTTTGGGATGAATTAGAGCGGAGACTGAGAGCCAGGCCTTCTCGTCCAACATCAGTGTGCGACCTCACAAATGCGCTTCTGGAAGAATGGTCAAAAATTCCCATAAACACACTCCTAAACCTTGTGGACAGCCTTCCCAGAAGAGTTGAAGCTGTTCTAGCTGCAAAGGGTGGACCGACGTCATATTGAACCCTATGGATTAGGAACGGGATGTCACTTAAGCTCATATGTGAGTCAAGGCAGGTGAGCAAATACTTTTGGCAATATAGTGTATAAAAGGTTGTTTCATTTAATCCTTTTATATTAAAAAAACACTTTTATACATTATATGGTTATATAGTAAACACAGATATCCAGTTATAAGGATGCAGGGCAGCTTGAAGGTGAAGCAGCTGCCCTTCAGTGCTTCAGGTGACGTCTAAATGATTTTAATTACAAAATAAACAGCAACTTTTTTATTTATATACAATATAAATATCAATTAGTATTTGATATGGCTGGATTTAGGGAACGTAAACAATGAGCAGTAATGTTTCAGCACAGCTTGAGGGAGAAGTGTCCGAACCTTCAGGGCTTCAGGTAAGGGTTTTTTTGGTTTTGTTTTCAGTAGGAGTAACTGGATTCTGTGATCGCTTTTGGAGCTCACAAACGATGCCACATGGATTTTAATATAGTTTGGCTGATTAACATGTTTGTTTCGTTGAATTTTATCTCCACTTCACATGTATTTAGTAAGAAATGTTATGTTAAATGCAATGTTACGATAAAATTAGGACAGCAACTAACAATTATTTTGCAAATCGATTAGTCTGTTGTTAATTCTTTCGATTAATTGGATAGCCAAAGGTTCTTTAAAGAAGATTATTAATGACATTAAACCAGGTAAACTAAAATATTTCCTCTTGAAGAGTTCTGGATGGAAAGTATTGACAGACAAAAACATTTTATAATCTTATTTGCAAAATGTTTATAAATTTATTTTACAGTTTTGGTATGATTACTGATCTAAGTGGGTTACTCTGTCGGGGAAAGCCAGATTTTACATTTATATAATGTTTTAGAGTCTCTATACTCCATTTAATGATGAATCACTCACTAAATTAGTTGACGATTATTGAAATAATCAATTAATATGATTCATTTTTTTCAGCCCCAGATAAAATACATGAAATGGGCTACACAGAGTACCTACAGCCCAGATGTTCAACTTTTATAGTGAAGTTATTATTTTAATGAATGTATTATTTTGCTTGATACAGAGAGAGAATAGCAGGTAAATATAAGAGTGGGGTTTAACTCTGCACAATTCTATATCTTCAGAAGAAAATACTGTATTTACTTTCTCTCTTAGTGGTTCAAATGAAACCATTTACAGAGTGGAAAACAGTCCTAATTCCACATTCATCAGAGCCGGTGATACTTCAACATTGATAAACAGCATCTAGTGACTGTAGTGCTTATAAAATCTTTATTAATGTAGCAAAATGCTCCTTTTCTCTTTAAACAATGAATTCCTCTCATCAGTACTGATGCTCACGTCAAGCATAAAAAAGGGCATGCATATTGCATAGCACCAATGACACCAGACCAATAGTGTCCCTACCAAAGTTCAAATCAAACCTACGCCCTTGATTTACTGATTTAATAGTATAAAAAAAAAATTCAGGTGTTCAGAGGTGCACTGCAACCAGCAGAGCTCCGAGGGTAACGGCAGCCAGGGCTAACGTCAGCCCGTCTGCAGCGGCCAGGGCTAACGTCAGCCCGTCTGCAGCGGCCAGGGCTAACGTCAGCCCGTCTGCAGCGGCCAGGGCTAACGTCAGCCCGTCTGCAGCGGCCAGGGCTAACGTCAGCCCGTCTGCAGCGGCCAGGGCTAACGTTAGCCCGTCTGCAGCGGCCAGGGCTAATGTTAGCCCGTCTGCAGCGGCCAGGGCTAACGTCAGCCCATCTGCAGCGGCCAGGGCTAACGTTAGCCCATCTGCAGCGGCCAGGGCTAACGTCAACTGGTCTGCAGCGGCCAGGGCTAACGTTAGCCCGTCTGCAGCAGCCAGGGCTAATGTTAGCCCGTCTGCAGCGGCCAGGGCTAACGTCAGCCCATCTGCAGCAGCCAGGGCTAACGTTAGCCTGTCTGCAGTGGCCAGGGCTAATGTCAGCCCATCTGCAGCGGCCAGGGCTAACGTCAACTGGTCTGCAGCGGCCAGGGCTAACGTCAGCCGGTCTGCAGCGGCCAGGGCTAACGTTAGCCTGTCTGCAGCGGCCAGGGCTAACGTTAGCCCGTCTGCAGCGGCCAAGGCTAACGTTAGCCCGTCTGCAGCGGCCAGGGCTAACGTCAGCCTGTCTGCAGCGGCCAGGGCTAACGTCAACCCCTCTGCAGCGGCCAGGGCTAACGTCAGCCTGTCTGCAGCGGCCAGGGCTAACGTCAACCCGTCTGCAGCGGCCAGGGCTAACGTTAGCCCCTCTGCAGCGGCCAGGGCTAACGTTAGCCCGTCTGCAGCGGCCAAGGCTAACGTTAGCCCGTCTGCAGCGGCCAGGGCTAACGTCAGCCTGTCTGCAGCGGCCAGGGCTAACGTCAACCCCTCTGCAGCGGCCAGGGCTAACGTCAGCCTGTCTGCAGCGGCCAGGGCTAACGTCAACCCCTCTGCAGCGGCCAGGGCTAACGTTAGCCCCTCTGCAGCGGCCAGGGCTAACGTCAGCCTGTCTGCAGTGGCCAGGGCGAACGTCAGCCTGTCTGCAGCGGCCAGGGCTAACGTTAGCCCGTCTGCAGCGGCCAGGGCTAACGTTAGCCCGTCTGCATCGGCCAGGGCTAACGTCAGCCTGTCTGCAGCGGCCAGGGCTAACGTTAGCCCGTCTGCAGCGGCCAGGGCTAATGTTAGCCCGTCCGCAGCAGCCCTCTCTCTGCATAGCCGTGTGTGAAGGACCGCTGGCTCTGATGGAGGTTTGATTGTTTTATTTGGTAAAATGTTCATTTGATTTGTGTTTATCTGACTGTGTTCATCATTATTCCTCCACTAAATGAAAAAGTGATAATTTATTATCATCTAGAGTCTATTAATGACAGGAGGTAAAATGCAGCGCCAGACTAGCTTAGCATGTGCTGATGTCATCAGAACGCTGCTGTTCCAATTGACCCAGATTTATTCTGCTCCCGTTCTCCCAGAGTCCAGACTCTCCTGGGTTCTTCTGAAAGAACAGTTTTAAAACATTCTAATTGTTCTGAATTAGTTAAAATCTAATTTGATCACATCCCGAATCCTTCCTGATAAACTTTGGTTCTCAAACATAAATCTAAGTGAAACTGTAATATGGTTTTCAACCATGTTTCCCTTCCTCTCTACATAGTAGTTTAGTTTAGTTGACTTTCATTAGTTTTAGTTAAGAGTTTTAAACTGAAATATGTTTGACTGGAAGCTGAATGATATTCCATGATATTCCATCTATGCTCAGCATTAACTGACCATGATTTGAGCTCCATTCCCTCTTTGTTCTGATATAGCCAGTAGGAGGCGTGTTCGTAAAAATATATAACAGCCTGAATAATATCTGATAAATACAATATTGACCTGCCTATGGGGCGGACAATAAATATATGAAAGTATCACAGCAGCAGGTCAGACGGTCCATGAACCGCAGGATCTGAGGGAACCATAAACCATCTGGAGATGAGCTGGATCCACCAGGTGAGACCTAGAACCTGACCAGAACCTGACCCATCCTCTGGCTCCCATTGTCTCCATCCTGCTGTTTGCTCTCTAATGTTCTCTAGAGAATCTATTTGACCATTTTCAGCCATCAGAGTGAAAATGTTCCTTTGAATCCTGGAGTCTCAGTGGTTCAGATCCTACAGGAAGTTGATGGTTCTGGTAGAACCCAGCCGGACCAACACTCACGTCTTTGGTTTGGGGGTCGAACCAGCTGCTGATGTCCTTCCCAGCAGCCTCCATGATGGGAAGCAGCAGAACGTCTCCTGCAGACACAGAGGTTAGAAACCTGATCAGAAAGCAGAGCTCCCTGTCCACCGTGTCCACGCAGCCGGACCTCACCGTGGTACCGTTTCACCAGTGGGCTCAGGTCCCACACCCCCCCCAGGAAGGACACCCACAGGTCAGAGGGGGAGCGGTGAGAGGCCACCTCAGAGGGCGTGAAGAACTGCGGCCGCTCCATCCTCTGAGGAGGAAACAAACCGTCAGGAAGGAGGTCAGTTAGTGTTTAGGTTGCTATGGCAACCTGTGTTTACCCTCCCACGCTGAACGGTTGGCTGCAGGCTGAGGCTGCTGGGAGTTGTAGTCCTTTGATTGTAAAACGTTCCAATAAATGGTGAACAGCTCACTACTAAGAAAACTGACCTAGATTAGAAAAAGCTTCCTGCGCAGAAATACAGACATAGATCCAACAGCAGGACAGAAAAGGAGAGGATTTCTTTAGGTACCAGTAGGCCAGCGGAGGCCGACCGGCACCACGAAGCTGGACTCACTGTTAGCAGAGGCTGGTTACCATGGTTACCTACCCTGAACGCAGGCTAGCCTTCAGGGTTGATCTGAATCCTAGAAAACGCTCCACCCAGCAGCCAATCAGCTGTTAGGAAACAATTACCATGTTACCCACTGACCCTGAGATCTGTACAGCTCTATGTGTTTGGTGTCTATCTGTAATAGGTTTCTATTACTGTTCTCCTGGGCGGGCGGGTGGTGCAGCGACCCATATGTGGAGGCCTTAGTCCTCCACGCCGTCCACCCGGGTTTCCTGTCAGCCTACTGTTGAAAAAACAAGCCAGTAGTGCTGCAAAAATAATAAATAAAATCCTTATTCCTGTTCTCCCTGCTGCCCTCTGGGAAGAGGCTCCACAGCGTCTGATGCAGGTTCTGCAACAGCTTCTTCCCCGCCGCCATCACACTGATGACTAAAATGAAAAGAAAAATAGCTGAATGTGGAAAAACTAAATCATATCACATCTTATGTTTACATCTGATCACTGCTGATTTTACCCTTGGCTTAGATTTCTCCATCTAGATCTTCTCCTTGTTTATCCTGGTTCTGTATTTCCAATAAATGTGAAGCTCTAACTGCTCCAAACTCCTCAACAGAACATTTGGTTGTTTCTGTGAAATTATTTCTAAAATCCACCAACAGTCGAAGCTTCACAGAAACCAGAATGAAGCTGAAGGTTTATTGGTTCTTATTAAACATGTTTAACGGCTGATAAACAGGAAGTAGGTTTCTAGTGTTTCCTGTCCTGGATCATAACAAACGGCCCTGACTGTTTCATCTGCAGGAACTCCAGCAGTAAACGGTCTATTTCTTTATTTCTATGTCCTGTTTAACCGGTATGGCTCTGTGAATCTATGTCGCAGAGCTAGATGATAGCAGAACAGCTTTGCTTTCACATGAATGTTTGGTAGATATACTAAACTTTAATGAAAGTTTTTAGGGAGTAAAATCATTTACAGCGGAGATGGAAAGGGAGGTGAGAAAGATAGAGAGAATAAGAATAAAGGAGAGAGAGAGATACACTGAAGGAAAACCTGCAGTGATATTAATCTGGTTAGTTTATATCTGTAGCTGCTGCTCAGTATTTAGTCTCCATGAAGGCCTGGAACCAAACTGCTGTGGTACGTATGCATCAGCATGCTCGTTTATAAAGGATCCACAGCTTCTTCTGAAGGTAAATATGCTCAATAGCAGGAGTGGGCGGCCCCAGGCTCGCCCTGCAGGGGCCCAGCATAGATAGGAGGCAACAGGAGCCCCAGATACTGGAAGGACCCCAGATCACTGGCACACGAGGAGGGAGGACAGGGATGGCCCCACCCACCAGAGATCTCCTCTATATAAATCTGTTATCTAAATAAATTATATCTATTTATTTTTCATCCTTTCTTACATTCCAACCTTTTACTATCCTGTATTTGTTCTATAAAGTCTTAATGGCCTTCCCTGGTTCATTTTATAATAGATCAATTAAGCTCAATTTAATTAGTAGATATTGTGAGAAGATCCTTTGGATCAGGATGACAGTAAGAACTGGTATCTATGCAGGATCCTGGAACCATGAAGAGACCTGCAGCAGAGCGGCCCTCACTGCATCACAGGCTGGATAGATATGAGATATTAGACACAACCGCCTGCTTCATAAACCAACAGTAAGCAGGAGGCAGTGATGCTTCTGTGAACTGGATCATCAGAGTCTCTATGAAATAGAAATATGATGAAGTTTCATTTCAGAGGAAAACACATTCAGCTATTTCTGCACATTCAGCGCTGCAGAGCAGATTTTCACCTTCTGTCCCTCTGAGTTCTGCACAGCTCAGAAATCAGACGATCACTTCCTGTATTCATTTGATGCAATCCTGGCATCAGTCATTCTTTGCCTCCATGTTTGACTTTCACAGAGACTTTTTCCTCCAGAGGGGCTGGAACATCTAGAAAGAACCTGTGAGAAATGAGTGAAAAAGGACATAAAGGTTGTCTTTTAGTTTTAATGGATGATAAACCCTTTAGAGGATACGTCTAGAAAGACCCTGGGAAAGAACTGGTCCCATTATAAAAGGTCTGCTTGGAGATTAAACCCTGAGAGGTGAATTATCAGACCTCAGCCAGGTTAATCCCAAACGTAATCTTTGCTAAATGATATAATTAATGCAGAGCAAACAGGACTAGTGTCTGAAAGAGACGGGAGCAGCAATATTTTATTACAGTTTATTGATTGATTTCTATAAAGGATTTAATAAACTGTAATTTCCTGCTCCAAGCTTCCATCAGGGCTGCTGTAAGTCACTGATTAAGCGTTACGCCAGGCGGCTCCTTCCTCTTCCCTCTGATTGCGTCTCTAAACGGGTCCGATTCAGGGAACCCTGGTTCTGATGGACCATTAGAACAATCACAGCACGCTGATGATGCTGTTCTCTTTATAAACAGGACAGATGGAGCCGATATTCAAGATGAGACAGACAGTGGGAAAAGTTCCAAACATTTATTAAAACAAACAAAACAGAAGCCTTGAACCCCAGTGGACCTCAGCAGATGGCCGCTCACACTGAGCCTGGTTCTGCTGGAGGTTTCTTCCTGTTCAAAGGGAGTTTTTCCTCTCCACTGTCGCTACAAGCATGCTTAGTGTGAGGGATTGCTGAAGAGTCAATAAGTCGATGCAATCAGCTGGTTTTCCTTAGATAGAAAACTTTGAATCAATCTGACTGGATGATCTGGTTGATCTGGATCTATAAAGTGACCTGAGATGACATGATGTGAATTGGAGCTATAGAAATAAACTTTATAGAATTCAGTGGAACCAACAGAAGCAGTGTTTCCGTGTCAGACAGCAGCTCTAAAGCCAAGATCAGCTCCTGCTCTGTAATGATGTTTTTACCCACGCAGGAAACATCCACTTTATCTAACTGCTGTTGATGTTGCTGTTTGTATAACCAATCTGATCCTATAATCTGTGATAAACCCATAATCTGTTCAAACACATGCTGTTTTAGGCCCTGCTCCCTCCCCACGCTGTCTCCGTGGGTCTCCCTCTTTCCGTGGAATGTCACACACGTGGCACAGATTCAGATTCTTTTCACGAACTTTCTCCTCTTGGACAAATCCGAACAAAACCCCTTTCTGTCCCCGATTCCATCTGTCGGCCTGCCATTGGCTCAGAGCCTGTCAGTCAAACCTGCTGAACTTCTGATTGGCTGAGCGCAGAGACCCGCCTTTCTAGCGGTCTGTGTTTATTCTGGCAGATCTCGCGGCTAAAAGCATCGCGAGGTTTGGACCAGAGGAAACTGATGGACTGAGATTCCTGCGAGAAGAAGCGGATAAAGTAAAAGTTCTGTTCAACCGAACCGAGCGGGTTCTGATCGGGTTCTGACCGGGAAAACATGGCGTCCAGTCCGCTGCTGTTTCTCGCCGCTTTCTGCTTCCTGAGCTCCGTCAGCGCCGAACAGCGGAGGCTCTCTCCAGGTAAGGCCGCCCTGCGGGCTCCTCCGGCCGGCCTGCAGGAGAACAGTGAGCCGCTGGAGCTCCGGTACCACCGGAAACCTGCTACCAGAAAGTTCTGGTCCGGTTTAACCCGATAATAAAGCAGTTCTAATCGGTTCTGCTGGGTTCTAATCGGTTCTACTGGGTTCTGTTGGGCCCAATTTGAACAGAACCAGGCAGGATAAAAGAGAGATGTCTCCAGTCTGGTTCTGGTTCTGACCCAGGAGAAGGCCCTGAGCAGAACCCGAGGAGTCTGGGTGGAAGGTTCTGGTTCTGACCTGTTGGGACAGAACCAGCAGAGAGGAACGGGTCGCTCCAGGGTTCTGGTTCTGTTCAGTAGAACCAGAACCCTGCAGCCAAGAGGCTCTGTTACCATGGCAACCCGCCTCCTCCTCCTCCAGCTGCTGAGGTTCTGATGGGTCCAGAAGGTTCCTCCTGATGTTCTGGAGGGCCAGCTGTCAGACCCGGTCTGTAAGGTGGTTCTGGTAGCAGAGCAGATCTAGAGCAGGTAGAGTGACTCTGTGTGTCTCTGATAGAGAACCTCCTGGTTCTGACGGCTGCCACCGAGGAGACGGACGGCTTCCGCCGCTTCATGAGGACGGCCTCCCAGTTCAACTACACCGTCAAGGTGAGGGAACCAGAACCAGGAACACGGTTCCGGTTCTGCTGTCCGGGCTAACCGGGTCACCATGCGGTTCTGACAGGTTCTGGGTCTGGGGGAGGAGTGGAGAGGAGGAGACGTGGCCCGCACCGTGGGAGGAGGTCAGAAGGTCCGATGGCTGAAGAAGGAGCTGCTGGAGCTGGAGAAGAACCAGGAGCAGCTGGTCATGTTCGTGGACAGGTAACCAGAACCGGGCCTTTGTTCACAGGTAACCAGAACCAGCTGACCCAGTTCTGCTTCTCTGGGGACTGGGTGGAGGCGGCAGGCTGCGTCCTCCATGGACCCGGTCCACCTGGACTGGATCCTCCACAGTTTAAACGTCTCAGATATCAGATTTATAGTCCCACCCTGCAGAGAGATTAGAATCTGAGCTTAACTATCAGCCAAACCCATTTCCACAGTAACAGATTAAAACCTTTAGATAAACCAAACATTACCGCCACATATCTGACTCTATAACAACTAAAACAACTATTTTCATTCATTTCAGACGGAACTATTCACACATTAAGCTCAACTCCTAATATTCACCACTGTTCTGCACCATTTTTCCTCTGATCACGGAGCAGCTGGTTTAATAAAATAATCAAAAGAATCAAAATAAACGGAGACTTTTAGTGTCTCCTTGTTAGATAGCAGAGCTCAGTCTGTCTTTCCTTCCAGACTGACAATGATTGTTTTTTTCTTTCAGCTACTTTAGATCCCCGATCAATAATATCATTCAGGCCTAGACTCCATCATTCAGGCCTAGACTCCATCATTCAGGCCTAGACTCCATCATTCAGGCCTAGACTCCATCATTCAAGCTCATTTTATAGCTTAGATAAAGTTATATGGATTAGCTTAACAGAGAGTGAGGGCTAAATGCTGCTAATTAGCTGCTACTTATTAGGATATTTTGATCCAGCTGTAATTGACCAATCACAGCCTTCCCAGCTTTCACTGACTCCTCCCACTCCACTCGTTGGTCGTGTTCCATCCTGGTGGTGCTGCTCCCTGGTGGTGCTCCTCCATGGTGGTGCTCCTCCATGGTGGTGCTCCTCCCTGGTGGTGCTCCTCCATGGTGGTGCTCCTCCATGGTGGTGCCCCTCCCTGGTGGTGCTCCTCCCTGGTGGTGCTCCTCCCTGGTTGTGTTCCTCCCTGGTGGTGCTCCTCCATGGTGGTGCTCCTCCCTGGTGGTGCTCCTCCATGGTGGTGCTCCTCCATGGTGGTGCCCCTCCCTGGTGGTGCTCCATCCTGGTGGTGCTCCTCCCTGGTGGTGCTGCTCCCTGGTGGTGCTGCTCCCTGGTGGTGCTCCTCCCTGGTGGTGCTCCATCCTGGTGGTGCTCCTCCCTGGTGGTGCTCCATCCTGGTGGTGCTCCTCCCTGGTGGTGCTGCTCCCTGGTGGTGCTCCTCCCTGGTGGTGCTGCTCCCTGGTGGTGCCCCTCCCTGGTGGTGCCCCTCCCTGGTGGTGCTCCTCCCTGGTGGTGCTCCTCCATGGTGGTGCTCCTCCATGGTGGTGCCCCTCCCTGGTGGTGCTCCATCCTGGTGGTGCTCCTCCCTGGTGGTGCTGCTCCCTGGTGGTGCTGCTCCCTGGTGGTGCTCCTCCCTGGTGGTGCTCCATCCTGGTGGTGCTCCTCCCTGGTGGTGCTGCTCCCTGGTGGTGCTCCTCCCTGGTGGTGCTCCTCCCTGGTGGTGCTCCTCCATGGTGGTGCTCCTCCCTGGTGGTGCTCCTCCATGGTGGTGCCCCTCCCTGGTGGTGCTCCTCCATGGTGGTGCTCCTCCCTGGTGGTGCTGCTCCCTGGTGGTGCTGCTCCCTGGTGGTGCTCCTCCCTGGTGGTGCTCCTCCCTGGTGGTGCTCCTCCATGGTGGTGCTCCTCCCTGGTGGTGCTCCTCCATGGTGGTGCTCCTCCCTGGTGGTGCTCCTCCATGGTGGTGCTCCTCCCTGGTTGTGTTCCTCCATGGTGGTGCTCCTCCCTGGTGGTGCTCCTCCCTGGTGGTGCTCCTCCCTGGTGGTGCTCCTCCATGGTGGTGCTCCTCCCTGGTGGTGCTCCTCCATGGTGGTGCTCCTCCCTGGTGGTGCTCCTCCATGGTGGTGCCCCTCCCTGGTTGTGTTCCTCCATGGTGGTGCTCCTCCCTGGTGGTGCTCCTCCCTGGTGGTGCTCCTCCCTGGTGGTGCTCCTCCATGGTGGTGCTCCTCCCTGGTGGTGCTCCTCCATGGTGGTGCTCCTCCCTGGTTGTGTTCCTCCCTGGTTGTGTTCCTCCCTGGTGGTGCTCCTCCCTGGTGGTTCTCCTCCCTGGTGGTTCTCCTCCCTGGTGGTGCTCCTCCCTGGTGGTGCTCCTCCATGGTGGTGCTCCTCCATGGCCGTGCTCCTCCCTGGTTTTGCTCCTCCAGCTGAGCACTGATAGAACCTCTCTGTGTCTGCAGCTATGACGTGATCTTCGCTGGAGGTCCAGAGGAGCTGCTCTCCAAGTTCTCTGCTCTGGGTCACAGGGTGGTCTTCTCAGCTGAGGGGTTCTGCTGGCCCGACCAGCGCCTGGCCTCTAAATACCCTCAGGTGCATTCTGGGAAGCGCTACCTCAACTCAGGAGGTGAGGCCCTGGAAGCGACCCGGCTGCCGGGTTCTGGTTCCGCCCCGTGTTCAGGTTCTGGTTCCGTCTGACTGTGTCTGTGTTCAGGGTTCATCGGGTTCGCTCCGGACCTCAGCGCCATCGTCCAGCAGTGGAAGTTCAAGGACAACGATGACGACCAGCTGTTCTACACCAAGATCTACCTGGACAAGAAGCAGAGGGTAACTGGACCAGACGCCGCCTCTGATTGGTTCCACCAGACCAACCAGATCAGAACCAGCTCAGCAGAACCAGGGTCTGCTGAGATGGCTCTGGCTGGGGGCCGGATGGGGGCCTGAATGACGAGGGCTCAGGACCCCAATCCTACCGGGGAGGGGCTCGGTTTGGTGGTGGTGATGATGATGATGATGATGATGATGATGATGATGATGATGATCTGGTTTGTCTTTCAGACCAAGTTCAACATGACTCTTGATCACCGCTCCAGAATCTTCCAGAACCTGAACGGAGCTATTGGTAAGAAGCCGTCCCTGCGCCAGTTGTTCTGGGCCGGTTCTTGGTTCTTTCCAGTGTAGTGGACCTTTTCAGAACCAGACCTTCTGCCTTCTTCATCACTTTGAGCTTCAGCCGGTTTTTCTCTGTGAGGTTCTGGTTCTGATGGTAACTGGTTCTAAACTTCAGTGGTCCACAGAACCTGTTCTGACAGACCCGTGTTTGGACCTTATGTCCAGCGGGATCGATAGTTAGCCTCAGAACCAGAACCACCAGTTCTAACACGCCTCTCTGTCTGACAGACGAGGTGGTCCTGAAGTTCGAGAGGGCAAAGGTCAGAGTGAGGAACGTCGCCTACGACACGCTTCCTGTCATCATCCATGGCAACGGACCCACCAAGGTAACGGCCAATCACAGGCCTCCATTCAGACCAGCTGACCTCTGGGCAGGAAGTGAAGCTTCCCCCTCAGCAGTCCTTTTAACCAGAGAAAGTTCTGGAGTCGGACCTTCCTGTAGAACTTTGACTCGTCCAACATCCCAGTAACGCTGCAGTGTCACCCCATTAGTTTCCCAGAAACCTCCCAGCAATCTCCCAGTGTCGTCCTAGTAACGCCCCAGTATCGTCCTAGTAACATCCCAGTATTGTCCTAGTAACATCCCAGTATTGTCCTAGTAACGCCCCAGTATTGTCCTAGTAACGTCCCAGTATTGTCCTAGTAATGCCCCAGTATTGTCCTAGTGACATCCCAGTATTGTCCTAGTAACGTCCCAGTATTGTCCTAGTAACACCCCAGTATTGTCCTAGTAACATCCCAGTATTGTCCTAGTAACATCCCAGTATTGTCCTAGTAACGCCCCAGTATTGTCCTAGTAACGCCCCAGTATTGTCCTAGTAACGCCCCAGTATTGTCCTAGTAACACCCCAGTATTGTCCTAGTAACATCCCAGTATTGTCCTAGTAACATCCCAGTATTGTCCTAGTAACATCCCAGTATTGTCCTAGTAACGCCCCAGTATTGTCCTAGTAACACCCCAGTATTGTCCTAGTAACATCCCAGTATTGTCCTAGTAACGTCCCAGTATTGTCCTAGTAACGTCCCAGTATTGTCCTAGTAACGCCCCAGTATTGTCCTAGTAACGCCCCAGTATTGTCCTAGTAACATTCCAGTATTGTCCTAGTAACGCCCCAGTATTGTCCTAGTAACGCCCCAGTATTGTCCTAGTAACGCCCCAGTATTGTCCTAGTAACGCCCCAGTATTGTCCTAGTAACATTCCAGTATTGTCCTAGTAACGCCCCAGTATTGTCCTAGTAACGCCCCAGTATTGTCCTAGTAAAGTCCCAGTATTGTCCTAGTAAAGTCCCAGTATTGTCCTAGTAACGCCCCAGTATTGTCCTAGTAACACCCCAGTATTGTCCTAGTAACATCCCAGTATTGTCCTAGTAACGTCCCAGTATTGTCCTAGTAACGTCCCAGTATTGTCCTAGTAACGCCCCAGTATTGTCCTAGTAACATCCCAGTATTGTCCTAGTAACGTCCCAGTATTGTCCTAGTAACGCCCCAGTATTGTCCTAGTAAAGTCCCAGTATTGTCCTAGTAAAGTCCCAGTATTGTCCTAGTAACATTCCAGTATTGTCCTAGTAACGCCCCAGTATTGTCCTAGTAACGCCCCAGTATTGTCCTAGTAAAGTCCCAGTATTGTCCTAGTAACATTCCAGTATTGTCCTAGTAACGCCCTAGTATTGTCCTAGTAAAGTCCCAGTATTGTCCTAGTAACGTCCCAGTATTGTCCTAGTAAAGTCCCAGTATTGTCCTAGTAAAGTCCCAGTATTGTCCTAGTAACGCCCCAGTATTGTCCTAGTAAAGTCCCAGTATTGTCCTAGTAAAGTCCCAGTATTGTCCTAGTAAAGTCCCAGTATAGTCCTAGTAACGTCCCAGTGTTGTCCTAGTAACATTCCAGTATTGTCCTAGTAACGCCCTAGTATTGTCCCAGTATTGTCCTAGTAACGCCCCAGTATTGTCCTAGTAACGCCCCAGTATTGTCCTAGTAACGTCCCAGTATCGTCCTAGTAACGTCCCAGTATCGTCCTAGTAACGCCCCAGTATTGTCCTAGTAACGCCCCAGTATTGTCCTAGTAACGCCCCAGTATCGTCCTAGTAACGTCCCAGTATGGTCCTAGTAACGTCCCAGTATTGTCCTAGTAACGCCCCAGTATTGTCCTAGTAACGCCCCAGTATTGTCCTAGTAACGTCCCAGTATTGTCCTAGTAACGCCCCAGTATTGTCCTAGTAACGCCCCAGTACTGTCCTAGTAACATCCCAGTATTGTCCTAGTAACGTCCCAGTATTGTCCTAGTAACGCCCCAGTATTGTCCTAGTAATGCCCCGTAACGTCTGTGTCCACAGCTGCAGCTCAACTACCTGGGGAACTACGTCCCCACAGCCTGGACCTACGAGAATGGTTGTGGGGTCTGTGACGACGACTTGCTGCTGCTCAGCGACGCTGCGGTACGTCCCTGCTGCTGTCTGTGTCCCTGATCTACACTGACGGGTCTTTCAGTGTGTTCTGGATCTACGCTGACGGCGCCGTCTGTGTGTTCTGGATCTATGCTGACGGGTCTTTCAGTGTGTTCTGGATCTACGCTGACTGCGCCGTCTGTGTGTTCTGGATCTACGCTGATGGGTCTTTCAGTGTGTTCTGGATCTATGCTGACGGCGCCGTCTGTGTGTTCTGGATCTACGCCGTCTTTGTGTTGTGGATCTGTGCTGACGGGTCAGTGTGTTGTGGATCTACGCTGTGTTTCAGGACGAGGAGCTGCCGCTGGTCTTCGTGGCGGTCTTCATCGAACACGCCACGCCCTTCATGGAGGAGTTCCTGGAGCGGCTCAGCACCCTGAACTACCCGAAGACCAGGATCCGCCTCTTCATCCACAACAACGTAGGCCCCGCCCACAGTCAGGATTCTGTAGCGTTCTGGTCCGGTTCTGCCTCGCTGACCCGTCCCGTCTGCAGGTGGTGTACCACGAGCAGCACGTCCAGCGGTTCTGGGAGCGCCACAGGACTCTGTTCCCGGACGCCGTGATGGTGGGACCTGAGGAGGGCCTGCAGGAGGACCAGGCCAGGACCATGGCCATGTGAGTGAAGCCGGTTCTGGTTCTAGGACTGCTGGGTCCGATTCGGACCTTGGGACCAGAAGCTAACCCTGTCCTGTGGTTCTACAGCGAGGCGTGCAAGAAGAACCCGGACTGTGATTATTACTTCAGCATAGACTCGGACGTGGCGCTGACCAACCCGGATACCCTGAGGATCCTTATCGAGGAGAACAAGTAGGTTCTGGTCGGTTCTGGCCGTGACAGCGACCCGCTAACGGGTGGCTAACGGCTCCGGTTCTGTCCTCCAGGTCCGTCATCGCCCCCATGCTGTCCAAACATGGGAAGCTGTGGAGTAACTTCTGGGGCGCTCTGAGTCCAGAGGGGTTCTACTCCCGGTCCGAGGACTACATCGAGATCGTCCAGGGGAAGAGGATGTAAGTTCTGACCCGACTCAGTGACCCGTCTGAGGGGGAACCGCTGATCAGAACCGGTTCTGTTGTGTCCAGAGGCGTGTGGAACGTGCCGTACATCACCCAGGTCTACCTGATCCGGGGCGCCGTCCTGCGCTCCAAACTGGCCCAGGTCAGCATCTTCGTGGACGAGGGGATGGACCCGGACATGGTGTTCTGCAGGAGCTTCAGGGACCAGGTACTGTCCGCCGTTCTGTTGTACTGTCCGCCGTTCTGTAGCACAGCGACCCAGTTCTGATGATACGGACTCACCAGAACCGTGTGTCCGCAGGGCGTCTTCATGTTCGTGTCCAACCGGGACGAGTTCGGCCGCCTAGTGGCGTCCTCCAACTTCAACACGTCCAGACTCTACCCAGACATGTGGCAGATCTTTGACAACCCTCTGGTCAGAACCTAGCCCACGGGTCGCACTGTGTTCTGCTGGAGGACAGGTCCGACTCAGTCTTTGTGTCTCTGTGTCCCTGCAGGACTGGAGGGAGAAGTACATCCATGAGAACTACTCCAAGATCTTCGAGGAGGGGAGCGACGCCGTGGAGCAGGTACCCAGGCTCTGGGCCGGGCCCAGGCAGGAGGTTCTGGTCTGGTTTGGGTTCTGATGTCCTGATTGTTGTCCCCTCAGCCCTGTCCTGATGTCTACTGGTTCCCAGCCTTCAGCGATAAGATGTGTGACCAGCTGGTGGAGACCATGGAGGACCACGGCCAGTGGTCTGGAGGCTCCCACAAGGTACCGGTTAGGGCCCGGCGGGTCGAGCCGCATGGTTCTGCTCGGCGCTCACACAGGTTCTGGTTCTGTTCCATCAGGACGAGCGTCTGGCCGGCGGCTACGAGAACGTCCCGACTGTGGACATCCACATGAACCAGATCGGCTTTGAGAAGGAGTGGCTGAAGTTCCTTAAAGACTACATCGCCCCCGTCACTGAGAAGCTCTACCCAGGATACTACCCCAGGGTAGGAACCAGAACGGGCCTGGACCCGGAGGAGACAGAGGAACAAACCTTTGAGATGTCTGATGATTCTGAGTCTGTGAGGGAAGAAAGGCTCTTTGATGATTTATTTGACTGTTTTTAGGGTTTTTTTATTTATTAGTTCAGACAAATCGTTAATGTGAAGGTCGGTTCTGGTTCTGTTCAGGTCTGAATGAACCAGAACTCAACATAGAACTGAAAGAAGAAAATTCGTTAAGGATTTTTTTCAATCCAAATATTAATTGTTGCAGCTAAATGCTAATATTAGTTTGACCAAATAATTTCTTCTATATGATCGTAATGAATATCACTGGCTGCTGCTGAAGGTTCCATGTTATTAACACGCTACATACTTCATAACCTCAGCAGTGTTTACCATGCTAAAGCTTCATCAGGCTAATGCTGCCTTTAAGTTAGCATGCTAATGTTAGGCTGCTAATACTGCCTTTAAAAATTAGGGAAGTCATATTTAAATGTTAAATTCTGGCTTAAACATGTATATAAATGTACTCCTTATCAGATCATATTGTACCAAAATTTAGAAAAATTCTATAAAAAATTCTATAAAAAAAAGAATCCTGTCTTAAAATCAGTTGTTTTTTCCGTTGGAGTGGAGAGATTTACTCATTACATCGGTTCATGACAGGTTTTTTTAAATCGTAGGGAAATCATATTTAAATGTCAAATCATTCTGGCTTAAACATGTATATAAATGTTCTTTTTATCAGACTATATTATCCTAAAATCTGTGTTTTTTCGTTTTATCTTCTGCAGGCCAGTTAGTTCTACGTCAGCCTGAACACCTAAATTCGGCCAATCATATATCAACGGTCATCTGTCAATCAAATGTTTTGGGTCATAGCATCTTGATTCATATGTCGCAGCTAATATACGCAGCGGTTGAAACCAGAATCCTTTCCTTTCCCATTGAGTTGCGTCCCAGTGTTCACGGGGATGGACGTCTGTGTCTTCGGCAGGCGTAGAGCTAACAGAACTGGCAGCGTTGCGAGGCAAGGGCTCAAACATGTACGGCTGGAAGCCTTCTACACCAAACCAAGCTTCTGCCGCCCTGGCGTCCTCTTCCACAACATCTTCGTCCCCGCTTTCCTCCTCTAAATAAAAAATGGATGACGGAGGAGACTCATCCACGACCTCCGACACTAAACTCTCCTCCTCTTGCATGTTTCCTCTGTCCATAGCGTTCCTTGACAGCGTCGTTTCTAAGTCACCAATTTAGTGCTACTTGGTCCCAATGGAATTTCCCATTGTGAAACCTACTAGCACTACGTTGCTAACTGGTTAGCGAGATGCTTCCTACAAACTGGCCACAACCCAACCTGCTTGCGAACCTTCCGCCACAACAATCCCGCCCCCTTGATAAACGACCAATCAGATTCACTTTATTCACTCGTGTAAAGTCGGGCATCACTGGGAGAATTCAGAAATGCAACGGTTGGAACGGCCGCTTACCTACGACATGCTAATGTTAGGCTGCTAATACTGTGTTTAAGATAACGTGCGAATAATAGCCTGCAAATACTACTTTTTAGTTAGCATGCAAATTTTAGGCTGCTAATACTGCCTTTAATATAGCATGCTAATGTTAGGCTGCTAATACTGTGTTTAAGATAACGTGCGAATAATAGCCTGCAAATACTACTTTTTAGTTAGCATGCTAATGTTAGGCTGCTAATACTGCCTTTAATATAGCATGCTAATGTTAGGCTGCTAATACTGCCTTTAATATAGCATGCTAATGTTAGGCTGCTAATACTGTGTTTAAGATAACGTGCGAATAATAGCCTGCAAATACTACTTTTTAGTTAGCATGCTAATGTTAGGCTGCTAATACTGCCTTTAATATAGCATGCTAATGTTAGGCTGCTAATACTGTGTTAAGATAACATGCTAATAATAAGCTGCTAATACTGCTTTTAAGTTAGCATGCTAATGTTAGGCTGCTAATACTGTCATGCTGAGACCAACTTCAAGGCTGATTTAGGAAGCAGATTATTGTAGCACCTAGATCCTGTTAAATAGATTATGACTCAAATAATCACAACTCTGATGAATATTTGAAGGTTATAAACGTGGGCAAGTCTGAGCGTTAGCCTAGGTCACAGAGAACTGCTAAAGGAAGTATGATAGGAAGCATCCTGCTTCCTCCCGTCTTCCTCACTGGCTACTGATGAAGAATCTGACGGATGTAATGACCAAAGCTAACATGCTAATGCTAGTTTTTATCATGTCTTTTCTCAGTGTTGACATTAACAAAGTTGCCTTTTTAGGATCTTATTAAACGATGCCATCAGCCCAGATATTGGATCATAAACTCGTTTAGCAGCGTGTTTGTAAAGGGAGGTGCCGGGTCAGAAACACGCCTCTATGTCCAGCAGCTGAATCCAACATGGCCGCCTTCTCTAATGGCTTCCTCTGCTCCGCCCTCAGGCCCACTCCATCATGAACTTCGTGGTGCGGTACCGTCCAGACGAGCAGCCGTCTCTGCGACCGCATCACGACTCCTCCACCTTCACCATCAACATCGCCCTGAACAGGAAGGGCATCGACTACCAGGTACCCGCCCCCCCCCCCCACACAGCCCAGAACCAGAACCGCTGACCCAGACGGTTCTAACTGAACCTCTGAACGTGTTTCAGGGCGGAGGCTGCAGGTTCCTGCGCTACGACTGCAAGGTGGAGTCTCCCAGGAAGGGCTGGTCCTTCATGCACCCGGGCCGCCTCACGCACTACCACGAGGGCCTGCCCACCACCCAGGGCACCCGATACATCATGGTGTCCTTCGTGGACCCCTGAGGGCCAATCCCAGCGCGCCTCGTCACATCACTGCGTTCATGGTTTCAGACGGGAACCTGAATGCAGCATCCTTTCAGAATAAGAGCCCCTTCATTGAGTTCTAAAAGAACACGTCACATTTCAGGGTCCTGAAGGCATCGCTGCTGGGCATTTCAAAATAAGAGTCTTTCCTATGGGTTTGTCACCTGCTGCCTTAAATGAGTCTATGCAACTCTGTGTGTGTGTGTGTGTGAGTGAGGACGTTTCTACCAAAGTGAGGACCCTGCTGCTCCTCTTCCAGCAGCTTATGGAGGCTCAGGAGGCTGAAACTTCAAGCTGAGCATCGATTTATGGGAGAAAAAAAATTAAATCTAGAGAAACGGATCTATTTCAGTCTCACTGTGAAAAACAGAACCACAGATTCTAGTTAGAAAATAAGGAACCATGAATCTGAAATGAACAGAGAAACATGCAAACACACCTATAGTTTCCACACCATACAAGCTTACTATTGTATCCGGATACACTGTTTGAGTATCGATACTTTTCAGAGTATTAATACTTTTAATAACCTCTGGTTTACTGTCAGGATTCAGCACACGGTCCTCACTACATATAGCAAGATGAGCATGTGTGATGTACAGAGATTTTTAGATGTAGATTTAGTCCAGCAGGGGGCGTTGCCATGGTAACCTCCCCTGTCTTTAGCATGGACAGCTATGAACCAATCAGGGGTGTAAGCGGGTCGTTAGCGGGTTCTAAAGGGTTCTAACGTTCTGCTGCTTCCAGCTGACGGAGGAGGAAGCTGCTCTCTGCTTTGTACAAACTGCTCTAAATTATTTGTTTCAAAGTGAATGAATAAAGTTTTATTAATAAACTGAACTCTTTCTTTTTTTTACTGGAATCTTACTGGTTCTGAATGGTAATTCACAGTGGAGAGATTTACTCATTACATCGGTTCATGACAGGTTTTTTTAAATCGTAGGGAAATCATATTTAAATGTCAAATCATTCTGGCTTAAACATGTATATAAATGTTCTCTTTATCAGACCATATTATCCTAAAATCTGTGTTTTTTCGTTTTATCTTCTGCAGGCCAGTTAGTTCTACGTCAGCCTGAACACCTAAATTCGGCCAATCATATATCAACGTTCATCTGTCAATCAAATGTTTTCGGTCATAGCATCTTGATTCATGTGTCGCAGCTAATATACGCAACGGTTGAAACCAGAATCCTTTCCTTTCCCATTGAGTTGCGTCCCAGTGTTCACGGGGATGGACGTCTGTGTCTTCGGCAGGCGTAGAGCTAACAGAACTGGCAGCGTTGCGAGGCAAGGGCTCAAACATGTACGGCTGGAAGCCTTCTACACCAAACCAAGCTTCTGCCGCCCTGGCGTCCTCTTCCACAACATCTTCGTCCCCGCTTTCCTCCTCTAAATAAAAAATGGATGACGGAGGAGACTCATCCACGACCTCCGACACTAAACTCTCCTCCTCTTGCATGTTTCCTCTGTCCATAGCGTTCCTTGACAGCGTCGTTTCTAAGTCACCAATTTAGTGCTACTTGGTCCCAATGGAATTTCCCATTGGGAACCTGCTAGCACTAAGATGCTAACTGGTTAGCAGCTTTGTGCAACTTAGATGCTTCCAACAAACCGGCCACAACCAAACCTGCTTGTGAACCTTCCGCCACAACAATCCCGCCCCCTTGATAATCGACCAATCACATTCACTTTATTCACTCGTGTAAAGTCGGGCACCACTGGGAGAATTCAGAAATGCGACAGTTGGAACAGCCGCTTCCCTACGACTTTAAAAAGAAGTCTGGTCAACAAGGAATAACCAATGGATCATTATTTATACCTAAAACTACTACATTTGTGGTGATTTAATGAATTTAACGTTAATCGGTAAGTGCAATAAGAAAGAACAGCTGATTGACAAGTTTAAAGGATTATTTAACTCCAAGGCTCGGCTAACTGCATGCAGCGAGGCTAACGCTGTATTCTACTTTCCCTGCCACCTTTTTCTAACATCTGAGCCAGCATGGATAAAGACAGCTAGGACTGATTTAAGGAAAAGACAGCTCAGCAAGGAATAACCAAGGGATCATTATTTATACCTAAAGCTAAGATGTTTGCGGTGATTTCATGAATTTAGCGTTAATCAGTAGAAAATATAAATAATTTTCATGGCGATTACTGAGTCTGGGAGCGGCCATGTTTGACCAAATACAGTAGCCCCTCCCTCCTGCCATCTTCCAGCAGTGACGTCACGGTGCGGTAAGCCTAGCGCCATTCTCCCCGCTTTCCAAGCTAAATCAATGGGAACTACTAGACACATCTGCAATCAACAACAATTATTGAAGATTTCCAGAGGACTTCACCATTGAAATTCACCAGAGCTGTAGTGAAACTGACAATGCCCACGTGCATGGCAGCTGGATGCTGGAATACATCGGGTAAAAGTGAAAAAAAGAGTTATTCCACCTTTCTGATTCCTGATCCTCCACGGACGGGTTGGTCGTTGGATCGCCAAATTGAAGAGGGAGGATTTGCCATCGAACTTCTGGCCAGAGAAAAAACACGTAATATGTAGCCAACATTTGGAAGAAGAATGTTTTCAAGATGACTTGGATAATAGCGCGTTGTGACAAACACCAGATACAGCACTGGGACTTGATCAACAGCCGATACCGCACCGTGACGTCACTAACCAGTAGGTGGCAGTAGTGTTCTTTGACAAACATGGATGCCTCCAGTAAAGCACATTCACATGGAAATTACTCTGAATTAAAAACACTGATCCCTTTCTCCTCAGCTTATTCAGTCTCTTTCTGTCCCGCTCTGAGCTGCCAGGAGCGCAGCAGACGACAGCGTAGAGGAGGGCTGAGGCCACCGCAGAGTCAGCTGTTAGAACAGCTTATTAACCTGGAGCTCTGGTCAGATGTTCATCCTCACTCTGAGAAGGTGAAGACATGTTGATGACGTCTTTCAGGAACTCCTTATATGGTCAGACTGAGAGTTGTTGTCCAAAGCATTGCAATGATTCAGAGCAAAAGGCTGATGGCAGGAAGAAAAGGAAGCAGCCATGTTTGTTACCTGGAGACAGTAAAGCCACTGCTGATTGGTCCAGACTGAAGCATCAGATTTAATCAATGATGTGAGATGTTTAATGTTGGTACATTTAATTCGCAACCATCGAATTCTGCAGATTAAAATGCTCACAGCTGCAGTTCAGATGGTTCTGATTCTGTTTCTGTCCTTTTTCTCATGTGGAACCAAACTTCCTGGCTGTTAAATGAGGACAATCAGCTTCCAAATGCTGATAAAGTTTATAATAAATCCCCAATAGAGATCCTGCTTTTTAATCAACCACTCTATAAAGTTTCCAAACCTTTAAACTCCAGTAAAACCCATCATAAACTCGGACTTCTGCTGCTTGACCGCCAGAGGGCGATAGAGACTCAACCACACATGAATAAGAGAATCAGATAAAATGATCTAACTTTCTCTGTTCAATCTCAGTGGTTCTGCTAAAAAAATGTTTTAACACTCTAAGTATGTTTAATTGAATTGTTGAAAATAATAAGAAGAATTAAATTATTTCCTTTCTTATGAATCAGTCTGAATTGTTTCTGAGGCCTTCGCGTTTCGTTTAGTTTGAGCTCTGCGGCCACCGTTCAAACAAGATGGTGCTGGAGAAGAAAACCTCCGGTGAGTTTTTCTCTTTTTAGGCTGATTAGTGAATAAAAAGCGACCTCGCTGCTGTAATCAGATGTGTTTTAGAAACATTAATTGGTGGACAGAAGTTACTCCCCTAATAGGTTCTTCTTTGGGGGGTTTCTGTCTGAAAACATCCGCTCTGCTGCGGATTCCACCGAGAAAACAAGCTATTCAAGCCGAACTGCAGTTTTAGAAATAATCCTAATGTATAAAGATACAGATTTTACATCAGAATTATTTTTACTAATCGGTCTATCATTCGGATAGTGTGACAGATTAACTGGTGGTGAGATTACCTGGTTACTGAAGCATAGGTGGCTGTGTTGATGCCTGACGAAAAAACATTCCTAACTTAATGTAACTGTTCGCATACTAATTACATTTCTAATGAATAGATTTCTTTATGTTTCAGATTAGAAAGATGCGGAAAAAAACTTGTTTCCAAAGAAAAGCAGTTAGTGCGAATAATCCCACACAAAGAATAGTGTCGTTCACTAGCGTCCAGAAAAATCCAAACCAAACCTCCCAATGGAGAGTCATTCTCCTGCTGAACCAGAAGCTATAGATCAACCCTGCAGCCTGGAGGAGGCAGGACCTCCCTCTGTGATCTGGGGGGAGTGTGTTTTGGGATTTTGTAAGGTATAAATGTACTGAGGTTGCCTCAGTCAGAGCTCTATCTCTCTGACTAAGAACGTTAAATAAATTTAAACTTTTTTTTTTTGCAACAAATGCCTCTGCCTCAGCTTCCTAACTCCACAGAGGATTCAACTAAACATTGATGAGACATTAAAGGAAGTTAGTCCAGTTAGGAGACTCCTGATACCAGGTTCAATGCTGAATCATTTAGGTTTAATCTGGGTTAGATCTAGCTTTAATCTGGGTTAGATCTAGGTATAATCTGGGTTAGATCTAGGTATAATCTGGGTTAGATATAGGTTGGATCTAGGTTTAATCTGTGTTTGATCTAGGTGTAATTAAGGGTTGATTTAGGTTTGATCTAGGTTTAATCTAGGCTTTATCTGAGTTAGATCTAGCTTTAATCTGGGTTAGATCTAGGTTTAATCTGGGTTTGATCTAGGTGTAAACTGGGTTTGATTTAGGTTTGATCTAGGTTTGATCTAGGCTTTATCTGAGTTAGATCTAGCTTTAATCTGAGTTAGATCTAGCTTTAATCTGGGTTAGATCTAGGTTTAATCTGGGTTTGATCTAGGTGTAAACTGGGTTTGATTTAGGTTTGATCTAGGTTTGATCTAGCTTTAATCTGAGTTAGATCTAGGTATAATCTGGGTTAGATAAAGGTTGGATCTAGGTTTAATCTGTGTTTGATCTAGGTGTAATTAAGGGTTGATTTTGGTTTAATCTAGGCTTAATCTGAGTTAGATCTAGCTTTAATCTGGGTTAGATCTAGGTTTAATCTGGGTTTGATCTAGGTGTAATTAAGGGTTGATTTAGGTTTGATCTAGGTTTAATCTAGGCTTTATCTGAGTTAGATCTAGCTTTAATCTGAGTTAGATCTAGCTTTAATCTGGGTTAGATCTAGGTTTAATCTGGGTTTGATCTAGGTGTAAACTGGGTTTGATTTAGGTTTGATCTAGGTTTGATCTAGCTTTAATCTGAGTTAGATCTAGGTATAATCTGGGTTAGATAAAGGTTGGATCTAGGTTTAATCTGTGTTTGATCTAGGTGTAATTAAGGGTTGATTTTGGTTTAATCTAGGCTTAATCTGAGTTAGATCTAGCTTTAATCTGGGTTAGATCTAGGTTTAATCTGGGTTTGATCTAGGTGTAAACTGGGTTTGATTTAGGTTTGATCTAGCTTTAATCTGCGTTTGATCTAGGTGTAATCTGGGGTTGAGTTAGGTTTGATCTAGGTTTAATCTGGGTTTGATCTAGGTGTATTATGGGGTTGATCTAGGTTTTAACTGTTTGATCTAGGTTTAATCTGGGTTTGATCTAGGTTTATTCTGGGTTTAACCTGGTCAGAAATGGACTGAATGTTCCCCCAGAGGTGTGTTGGAGGCTGGGTTGGACATGGAAACCACATGGATGTGTTTAGACACCAGATTAATATATAAAGTCTGACTGAGTTCTGATCCAGAACCGCATCAGGGCTCTGGGTCATGTAGAAGGAGGGAAGGATATAGCTAAGCTAAGCTAGCACCTCAGTAAAGGTGAAGGTTCAATAACTGAAGTGAAAGGTGTTGCCATGTCCTTCTAACGTGTCTCTGTGTTTCAGCGCGGGTGGAGGCGGGTCAGCGGAGGGTTCTGGATGAGGCGACCCGCCAGAGGAGGCTGACCCGGCAGCTGGAGGCTCTGGAGAAAGATAACTTCCAGGTGGGTGGAGTCCATCGGTAGCCTAGTGAACTAGCCCCACCCACCAGCGAGTGGTCTAACCTGGATCCAAGCCCCAGTTCCTAGAACTGGCGGGCCAATCACAGCGCAGAGATGTTCCTAATGGATGCAAAGTGGGCGGGGTTAAAAAGTTTCACATTTAAGTTCATCAGAAGGAAAAGAGAAGAAAGGAGGTTAGATCAAAGTGGACCTGGATTAGATTGGACTGTCCTCTGTGTCTCTGCGTCTCCAGGACGACCCCCTGTCCTCCCTGCCCCCCCCAGGTCCAACAGCCCGTCTGCCAGCCTTCAGCGAGACAGAAGAACCAGGTGAGTGGATGAAGGTCACTCATCTGTCCCTCTCTGTTGGTCCCTCTGTCCCTCTGACTGGTCTCTGTCCCCTCAGAGAAGAAGCGGAGGAAGACGAGGGGGGACCACTTTAAGCAGCGCTTCAGGAAGAACTTCTCGGCTCTCCTTGAGGAGGAGGTGAGGCTCCGTCTGCTGCTCTCTGATTGGCTGAGCTCAGCTCATCATCATCATCCTCTGTCTCCATCAGAACCTGTCGGAGCGTCCAGAACCAAACTACCTGTCTGCGGCGGCCCCGCCCTCCTCTCTGCCCCCCCGTCACTTCTGCTGCGTCTGCGGCTTCCCGTCTCACTACACCTGCTCCACCTGCGGGGGGCGCTACTGCAGCAGCAGGTGTCTGATCACCCACAGAGAGACCAGGTAGGACCTTCTGCAGGGGCTGAGGGGACTATCTAGAGACGGGTCGGTCTGAGGTTCTGATGGTACCGGAACCTAAAGCAGCTGCTGGGATTAACAAAGGAAGGCTGCAGGGATTAGGCTAGGAAGGCTGCTGGGATTAGGCTAGGAAGGCTGCTGGGATTAGGCTAGGAAGGCTGCTGGGATTAGGCTAGGAAGGCTGCTGGGATTAACAAACTAAGGCTGCTGGGATTAACCAAGGACGGCTGCTAGGATTAGGCTAGGAAGGCTGCTGGGATTAACAAACTAAGGCTGCTGGGATTAACCAAGGAAGGCTGCTGGGATTAGGCTAGGAAGGCTGCTGGGATTAACAAAGGAAGGCTGCTGGGATTAGGCTAGGAAGACTGCTGGGATTAACAAACTAAGGCTGCTGGGATTAGGCTAGGAAGACTACTGAGATTAAGCTAGGAAGGCTGCTAGGATTAGGCTAGGAAGGTTGCTCGGATTAGGCTAGGAAGGCTGCTAGGATTAGGCTAGGAAGGTTGCTGGGATTAGGCTTGGAAGGCTGCTGGGATTAGGCTAGGAAGGCTGCTGGGATTAGGTTAGGAAGGCTGCTAGGATTAGGCTAGGAAGGCTGCTGGGATTAAGCTAGGAAGGCTGCTAGGATTAGGCTAGGAAGGTTGCTGGGATTAGGCTAGGAAGGCTGCTGGGATTAGGCTAGGAAGGTTGCTGGGATTAGGCTAGGAAGGTTGCTCGGATTAGGCTAGGAAGGCTGCTAGGATTAGGCTAGGAAGGTTGCTGGGATTAGGCTAGGAAGGCTGCTGGGATTAGGCTAGGAAGGTTGCTGGGATTAGGCTAGGAAGGCTGCTGAGATTAGGCTAGGAAGGCTGCTGGGATTGACAAAGGAAGGCTGCTGGGAGGCTGCTGGGATTAACAAATAAAGGCTGTTGGGATTAACAAAGGAAGGCTGCTGGAATTAACAAAGGAAGGCTGCTGGGATTAACAAATGAAGGCTGTTGGGATTAACAAATGAAGGCTGTTGGGATTAACAAAGGAAGGCTGCTGGGATTAGGCTAGGAACGCTGCGTTATAGCTAGAGCTAGGGTTAAAATCAGACTTAAAGTTAGAGCGAAGGTTAATGTTAGTCAGGTTTAAAGTTATGGTTAGGGTTAATGTTATCGTTAAAGCTACAAGTGGGCTTAAAGTTAAAGCCAGGACAGGGACCTGGCTTTAATTTAGGGCAGTCTTGGAGGGAAAGAGAGACCGACAGACAGTCAGGGTTAAATTAAAGTCAGGCTTAGGGTTAGAGTCAGGGTTGGCAGTTAGGATTAAAGTTAAAGTCAGGCTTAAAGGTTAAGTCAGGATTAAACTGGTACTCTCTGTTTTTTGGGCGTTTCATCCAGTTGAGTTTAAATCCCTTACAGTCTGATAATGTCACTAAATGAGGTCTATAATCTGAGGGAAGAAACGGGATGAACCTTGGATTATTTCACTAAATAATCTAACTAAGCTTCCATTTTTATCATTCATTAGTTTGAAACCAAGAATTAAAAGCTATTTTTATAATGTTTCTTTGATCATCATAAACTAGATCCGCCTGTTAAACTCTGGCAGCTGGAGCTAATCTGTCTGCTCTTTAATCCCATCAGTTTAATCGTTTAGTCAATAATAAAATGTTTAATCCTTCCTTTAGATTAAACTAGTTAGATTATTCAGCTCATCAATGATGATTACAGGAGCAGCAGAAGGTCTGTTTCTCTGGATTAGAAGTTCTGCAGAACCAGAACCAGAACCTTCCAGGATCCGCTTCCCTCTGGGACGCCATCATAGTTCGCTGTTTGCTAAATAAAACCCACTAAATGTTTTAAAATCCTCACTTTAATGTTTCTGTTGCTACGGTTACCATAGAGCTGACCCGATGGAACCGTTAGAACCACAGAACCTGGTCCAGACTTCCTGACCTCTGTGTCTCTGCAGGTGTCTGAAGTGGACCCTCTGAGGACGCGTCGGACCGCGGATCAGAACCGGCTCTGGTTCTGCTGCCATCCTGTTGGACTCGCTGCTGATGATCCTCCTTAAAGGACCGGTTCTGGTGTCCCTGAGGTTTGGACCCGTCCTCCTGGTCCCAGAGGGAGGAGGATCCAGTTCTGGTTCCATCTGCTCTAGAACCCTGGAGATGTTCTGAATCAGTGAGGTCCAGACTTTCCTCTGTGTGTTTATGCCTAAAGCAGAACCAGAACCTCTAAACCAGAACCAGGCGGTTCTGCTCCTCTGAACAGAACCAGGCGGTTCTGCTCCTGATGGGTCCACAAGGAGCCGTCATTAATCCACTGAATAAAGATCCTGTTTCAGAACAAACGGGTCCACTGTGGTTCTGTGGTTCTGTTGGGTCCAGTTCCTCCTGAAATTTGGAATCTTCTCACCAGCAGGTGGTGCTGCTGCATCCCTCAGACTGAAACAATCCATTTAAAAGGTTCTGTTTGGGTTCTGGCTCGGTTCTGATCTACGTGGCGGGTTTCCTTCCAGGAAGTGATGCGGCTCATGTTTCATTTAGAAGGTGGATGTTCTGACACCTGATGACGCCTCCAGAACCGGGTCGCTGCAGAACCATCAGAACCTCTGAGTGAAAATCAGATGGAAGGAGAAACGATTCCTGGAAGAAGAAAGGTTCCAGAGGGAGGGATTAATAATCTGAGATTAGGATGGGAGGGAAACGGACCTGCAGCGCCGCATGTTCTAGAAGGTCGGAGATGAAATATTTAAGAACAGTTAAACCCGATAGATTAATGAACTAATGGGAAAAATCTACATTTAAAACCACAGATTTTACATCTAATCTGAGATTAAACCTTCATCTAACTGGTGTTTCTGGGCTGTGGGAGGAAGCTGGAGTACCCAGAGAGAACCACAGAGAGGCCGCAGGTTTGTGCAAGGCAGCAGCGCTCCACACTCTGCAGACCTCTGATCAGATAAAGTTAGTCGATATTAACGACGGTATCGCTAAATAATCCACCTCAGGGATTTAAACATTATGACTGAAATTATTCCAGAATAATAAAAATATCATTAAACATTAAAATTAATTTATAAATGTATTTAGGATTATTAATTTAATTAAACACATTTAAATCTTCCAAATAGAACTATTGACCCTTTTTCAAGGATCAAATTAATGTTGTTTATGGCTTTCCGTACTAAGTCCACTCCTTCCAGTTTACAGGCTGCTGCTGGTCTGTTTGGGTCTGGATCGCCATCAGGTTCCTTTGGTGTCCTCGTGAAAATGTTGGTGAACCATAGAAACAGAGTGTTTTATCATAAACATTTTCTCACATCTTTATTCGCTGTATACCTTTCGTTGGCTGTTCCACCTCTGATAAACGGCGTGTTTATTATCCGTCTTGACCGGAGGACATTTTTTACAGGTTTATCCTTCGCAGCAACATATTTCATAAAAACTGAGCTATTGATCATTTTATTTTAATCATCATGATGTTTCTGTGCTAATGGGCTAACTGGTCTGCGATCAGACCGCGGCCCACTGACCCAGTTACACAGGATAATAGACCACCGTCTGTCTGCTGCCAGCCAGGCTCACAGAATCAAGTGTAACACCGGTGATCATTTAAAGGCCATAACCCCAATAATTAATATCAATTAGAAGGATAGAATCACAATATTACGATGGGCTTAAAGTCCACAGCATAAAGATAAACTTGGAAACGCAACAAAGATGATCATCAATGTGATGTCATCAACAAACATGGAGGTGAAGTGAAAAATCTAGCATAAAACTTCAAATAAAAGACAGAAATATCAAAGGTTCATTGTTATGGTCAAAGTTATTAATGAAACTTAAAAACATGAAACGTGAAGTTAATCTGAAATATTAGAGGAGCTCTAAGATAATAAGGAAAGAAGTTAAAGCTGGAAAAGATGGAGGATTATTTCCACAAAGAGACTAAAACATCCCAACATTCCCAGTATCCATCAAAACTGAACTATACTGGGCTCCATGGTTCCACAATAAATGCATTTAATTCTTTGTCCAACAGATGGCGCTGACAGTAAACTGTCAGTGTGCCCCAGAGCAGCAGTGGATAGAGGTGATCCAGCTGCAGGCTGATCGATCAATAAGATCGTTTTCATCGATAAACTGGAGTGGATTCTATGATGCTCTGATCTACGGAAAACTTTAACACATTTAAAGCAGCACTTTGGCCTCTGATTGGTTAAAAAACTGAAACAATAAACCTCAGTTTCAGATTTTTATCGACCATTAGGAACAAAAATTAATAAAATAATGGGAATGAATTGCCTGGTAACCATGGAAACGGCCCTTGGCCCTTGGAGTCAGAGGACCTTTGGGGTTCTGATCAGAATGGGTTTGGACCCTGCTTTTATAGTCCAGCTATGCCTGCTGCTCTTTTCCTCAGAGAAGAAGCGGAGGAAGACGAGGGGGGACCACTTTAAGCAGCGCTTCAGGAAGAACTTCTCGGCTCTCCTTGAGGAGGAGGTGAGGCTCCGTCTGCTGCTCTCTGATTGGCTGAGCTCAGCTCATCATCATCATCCTCTGTCTCCATCAGAACCTGTCGGAGCGTCCAGAACCAAACTACCTGTCTGCGGCGGCCCCGCCCTCCTCTCTGCCCCCCCGTCACTTCTGCTGCGTCTGCGGCTTCCCGTCTCACTACACCTGCTCCACCTGCGGGGGGCGCTACTGCAGCAGCAGGTGTCTGATCACCCACAGAGAGACCAGGTAGGACCTTCTGCAGGGGCTGAGGGGACTATCTAGAGACGGGTCGGTCTGAGGTTCTGATGGTACCGGAACGTAAAGCAGCTGCTGGGATTAACAAAGGAAGGCTGCAGGGATTAGGCTAGGAAGGCTGCTGGGATTAGGCTAGGAAGGCTGCTGGGATTAGGCTAGGAAGGCTGCTGGGATTAACAAACTAAGGCTGCTGGGATTAACCAAGGACGGCTGCTAGGATTAGGCTAGGAAGGCTGCTGGGATTAACAAACTAAGGCTGCTGGGATTAACCAAGGAAGGCTGCTGGGATTAGGCTAGGAAGGCTGCTGGGATTAACAAAGGAAGGCTGCTGGGATTAGGCTAGGAAGACTGCTGGGATTAACAAACTAAGGCTGCTGGGATTAGGCTAGGAAGACTACTGAGATTAAGCTAGGAAGGCTGCTAGGATTAGGCTAGGAAGGTTGCTCGGATTAGGCTAGGAAGGCTGCTAGGATTAGGCTAGGAAGGTTGCTGGGATTAGGCTTGGAAGGCTGCTGGGATTAGGCTAGGAAGGCTGCTGGGATTAGGTTAGGAAGGCTGCTAGGATTAGGCTAGGAAGGCTGCTGGGATTAAGCTAGGAAGGCTGCTAGGATTAGGCTAGGAAGGTTGCTGGGATTAGGCTAGGAAGGCTGCTGGGATTAGGCTAGGAAGGTTGCTGGGATTAGGCTAGGAAGGTTGCTCGGATTAGGCTAGGAAGGCTGCTAGGATTAGGCTAGGAAGGTTGCTGGGATTAGGCTAGGAAGGCTGCTGGGATTAGGCTAGGAAGGTTGCTGGGATTAGGCTAGGAAGGCTGCTGAGATTAGGCTAGGAAGGCTGCTGGGATTGACAAAGGAAGGCTGCTGGGAGGCTGCTGGGATTAACAAATAAAGGCTGTTGGGATTAACAAAGGAAGGCTGCTGGAATTAACAAAGGAAGGCTGCTGGGATTAACAAATAAAGGCTGCTGGGATTAACAAAGGAAGGCTGATGGGATTAACAAAGGAAGGCTGCTGGGATTAACAAATGAAGGCTGTTGGGATTAACAAATGAAGGCTGTTGGGATTAACAAAGGAAGGCTGCTGGGATTAGGCTAGGAACGCTGCGTTATAGCTAGAGCTAGGGTTAAAATCAGACTTAAAGTTAGAGCGAAGGTTAATGTTAGTCAGGTTTAAAGTTATGGTTAGGGTTAATGTTATCGTTAAAGCTACAAGTGGGCTTAAAGTTAAAGCCAGGACAGGGACCTGGCTTTAATTTAGGGCAGTCTTGGAGGGAAAGAGAGACCGACAGACAGTCAGGGTTAAATTAAAGTCAGGCTTAGGGTTAGAGTCAGGGTTGGCAGTTAGGATTAAAGTTAAAGTCAGGCTTAAAGGTTAAGTCAGGATTAAACTGGTACTCTCTGTTTTTTGGGCGTTTCATCCAGTTGAGTTTAAATCCCTTACAGTCTGATAATGTCACTAAATGAGGTCTATAATCTGAGGGAAGAAACGGGATGAACCTTGGATTATTTCACTAAATAATCTAACTAAGCTTCCATTTTTATCATTCATTAGTTTGAAACCAAGAATTAAAAGCTATTTTTATAATGTTTCTTTGATCATCATAAACTAGATCCGCCTGTTAAACTCTGGCAGCTGGAGCTAATCTGTCTGCTCTTTAATCCCATCAGTTTAATCGTTTAGTCAATAATAAAATGTTTAATCCTTCCTTTAGATTAAACTAGTTAGATTATTCAGCTCATCAATGATGATTACAGGAGCAGCAGAAGGTCTGTTTCTCTGGATTAGAAGTTCTGCAGAACCAGAACCAGAACCTTCCAGGATCCGCTTCCCTCTGGGACGCCATCATAGTTCGCTGTTTGCTAAATAAAACCCACTAAATGTTTTAAAATCCTCACTTTAATGTTTCTGTTGCTACGGTTACCATAGAGCTGACCCGATGGAACCGTTAGAACCACAGAACCTGGTCCAGACTTCCTGACCTCTGTGTCTCTGCAGGTGTCTGAAGTGGACCCTCTGAGGACGCGTCGGACCGCGGATCAGAACCGGCTCTGGTTCTGCTGCCATCCTGTTGGACTCGCTGGATACACAGGATAATAGACCACCGTCTGTCTGCTGCCAGCCAGGCTCACAGAATCAAGTGTAACACCGGTGATCATTTAAAGGCCATAACCCCAATAATTAATATCAATTAGAAGGATAGAATCACAATATTACGATGGGCTTAAAGTCCACAGCATAAAGATAAACTTGGAAACGCAACAAAGATGATCATCAATGTGATGTCATCAACAAACATGGAGGTGAAGTGAAAAATCTAGCATAAAACTTCAAATAAAAGACAGAAATATCAAAGGTTCATTGTTATGGTCAAAGTTATTAATGAAACTTAAAAACATGAAACGTGAAGTTAATCTGAAATATTAGAGGAGCTCTAAGATAATAAGGAAAGAAGTTAAAGCTGGAAAAGATGGAGGATTATTTCCACAAAGAGACTAAAACATCCCAACATTCCCAGTATCCATCAAAACTGAACTATACTGGGCTCCATGGTTCCACAATAAATGCATTTAATTCTTTGTCCAACAGATGGCGCTGACAGTAAACTGTCAGTGTGCCCCAGAGCAGCAGTGGATAGAGGTGATCCAGCTGCAGGCTGATCGATCAATAAGATCGTTTTCATCGATAAACTGGAGTGGATTCTATGATGCTCTGATCTACGGAAAACTTTAACACATTTAAAGCAGCACTTTGGCCTCTGATTGGTTAAAAAACTGAAACAATAAACCTCAGTTTCAGATTTTTATCGACCATTAGGAACAAAAATTAATAAAATAATGGGAATGAATTGCCTGGTAACCATGGAAACGGCCCTTGGCCCTTGGAGTCAGAGGACCTTTGGGGTTCTGATCAGAATGGGTTTGGACCCTGCTTTTATAGTCCAGCTATGCCTGCTGCTCTTTTCCTCAGAGAAGAAGCGGAGGAAGACGAGGGGGGACCACTTCAAGCAGCGCTTCAGGAAGAACTTCTCGGCTCTCCTTGAGGAGGAGGTGAGGCTCCGTCTGCTGCTCTCTGATTGGCTGAGCTCAGCTCATCATCATCATCCTCTGTCTCCATCAGAACCTGTCGGAGCGTCCAGAACCAAACTACCTGTCTGCGGCGGCCCCGCCCTCCTCTCTGCCCCCCCGTCACTTCTGCTGCGTCTGCGGCTTCCCGTCTCACTACACCTGCTCCACCTGCGGGGGGCGCTACTGCAGCAGCAGGTGTCTGATCACCCACAGAGAGACCAGGTAGGACCTTCTGCAGGGGCTGAGGGGACTATCTAGAGACGGGTCGGTCTGAGGTTCTGATGGTACCGGAACGTAAAGCAGCTGCTGGGATTAACAAAGGAAGGCTGCAGGGATTAGGCTAGGAAGGCTGCTGGGATTAGGCTAGGAAGGCTGCTGGGATTAGGCTAGGAAGGCTGCTGGGATTAACAAACTAAGGCTGCTGGGATTAACCAAGGACGGCTGCTAGGATTAGGCTAGGAAGGCTGCTGGGATTAACAAACTAAGGCTGCTGGGATTAACCAAGGAAGGCTGCTGGGATTAGGCTAGGAAGGCTGCTGGGATTAACAAAGGAAGGCTGCTGGGATTAGGCTAGGAAGACTGCTGGGATTAACAAACTAAGGCTGCTGGGATTAGGCTAGGAAGACTACTGAGATTAAGCTAGGAAGGCTGCTAGGATTAGGCTAGGAAGGTTGCTCGGATTAGGCTAGGAAGGCTGCTAGGATTAGGCTAGGAAGGTTGCTCGGATTAGGCTAGGAAGGCTGCTAGGATTAGGCTAGGAAGGTTGCTGGGATTAGGCTTGGAAGGCTGCTGGGATTAGGCTAGGAAGGCTGCTGGGATTAGGTTAGGAAGGCTGCTAGGATTAGGCTAGGAAGGCTGCTGGGATTAAGCTAGGAAGGCTGCTAGGATTAGGCTAGGAAGGTTGCTGGGATTAGGCTAGGAAGGCTGCTGGGATTAGGCTAGGAAGGTTGCTGGGATTAGGCTAGGAAGGTTGCTCGGATTAGGCTAGGAAGGCTGCTAGGATTAGGCTAGGAAGGTTGCTGGGATTAGGCTAGGAAGGCTGCTGGGATTAGGCTAGGAAGGTTGCTGGGATTAGGCTAGGAAGGCTGCTGAGATTAGGCTAGGAAGGCTGCTGGGATTGACAAAGGAAGGCTGCTGGGAGGCTGCTGGGATTAACAAATAAAGGCTGTTGGGATTAACAAAGGAAGGCTGCTGGAATTAACAAAGGAAGGCTGCTGGGATTAACAAATAAAGGCTGCTGGGATTAACAAAGGAAGGCTGATGGGATTAACAAAGGAAGGCTGCTGGGATTAACAAATGAAGGCTGTTGGGATTAACAAATGAAGGCTGTTGGGATTAACAAAGGAAGGCTGCTGGGATTAGGCTAGGAACGCTGCGTTATAGCTAGAGCTAGGGTTAAAATCAGACTTAAAGTTAGAGCGAAGGTTAATGTTAGTCAGGTTTAAAGTTATGGTTAGGGTTAATGTTATCGTTAAAGCTACAAGTGGGCTTAAAGTTAAAGCCAGGACAGGGACCTGGCTTTAATTTAGGGCAGTCTTGGAGGGAAAGAGAGACCGACAGACAGTCAGGGTTAAATTAAAGTCAGGCTTAGGGTTAGAGTCAGGGTTGGCAGTTAGGATTAAAGTTAAAGTCAGGCTTAAAGGTTAAGTCAGGATTAAACTGGTACTCTCTGTTTTTTGGGCGTTTCATCCAGTTGAGTTTAAATCCCTTACAGTCTGATAATGTCACTAAATGAGGTCTATAATCTGAGGGAAGAAACGGGATGAACCTTGGATTATTTCACTAAATAATCTAACTAAGCTTCCATTTTTATCATTCATTAGTTTGAAACCAAGAATTAAAAGCTATTTTTATAATGTTTCTTTGATCATCATAAACTAGATCCGCCTGTTAAACTCTGGCAGCTGGAGCTAATCTGTCTGCTCTTTAATCCCATCAGTTTAATCGTTTAGTCAATAATAAAATGTTTAATCCTTCCTTTAGATTAAACTAGTTAGATTATTCAGCTCATCAATGATGATTACAGGAGCAGCAGAAGGTCTGTTTCTCTGGATTAGAAGTTCTGCAGAACCAGAACCTTCCAGGATCCGCTTCCCTCTGGGACGCCATCATAGTTCGCTGTTTGCTAAATAAAACCCACTAAATGTTTTAAAATCCTCACTTTAATGTTTCTGTTGCTACGGTTACCATAGAGCTGACCCGATGGAACCGTTAGAACCACAGAACCTGGTCCAGACTTCCTGACCTCTGTGTCTCTGCAGGTGTCTGAAGTGGACCCTCTGAGGACGCGTCGGACCGCGGATCAGAACCGGCTCTGGTTCTGCTGCCATCCTGTTGGACTCGCTGGATACACAGGATAATAGACCACCGTCTGTCTGCTGCCAGCCAGGCTCACAGAATCAAGTGTAACACCGGTGATCATTTAAAGGCCATAACCCCAATAATTAATATCAATTAGAAGGATAGAATCACAATATTACGATGGGCTTAAAGTCCACAGCATAAAGATAAACTTGGAAACGCAACAAAGATGATCATCAATGTGATGTCATCAACAAACATGGAGGTGAAGTGAAAAATCTAGCATAAAACTTCAAATAAAAGACAGAAATATCAAAGGTTCATTGTTATGGTCAAAGTTATTAATGAAACTTAAAAACATGAAACGTGAAGTTAATCTGAAATATTAGAGGAGCTCTAAGATAATAAGGAAAGAAGTTAAAGCTGGAAAAGATGGAGGATTATTTCCACAAAGAGACTAAAACATCCCAACATTCCCAGTATCCATCAAAACTGAACTATACTGGGCTCCATGGTTCCACAATAAATGCATTTAATTCTTTGTCCAACAGATGGCGCTGACAGTAAACTGTCAGTGTGCCCCAGAGCAGCAGTGGATAGAGGTGATCCAGCTGCAGGCTGATCGATCAATAAGATCGTTTTCATCGATAAACTGGAGTGGATTCTATGATGCTCTGATCTACGGAAAACTTTAACACATTTAAAGCAGCACTTTGGCCTCTGATTGGTTAAAAAACTGAAACAATAAACCTCAGTTTCAGATTTTTATCGACCATTAGGAACAAAAATTAATAGAATAATGGGAATGAATTGAAAATGTTCATTTTCTGAATCAGAAAATGAACATTTTAATTTAACATTTAATCAAATAATTCACATTTTGGTCAAATAGACAATAAAATTCTGAAAAGCATTTTATTCTTCTCTGTTTTACTCCTTTTCTTTCTGATGGCCGTGGCACAGAGTCCGGTTCTGGTCGGGTTTCTGTCCCGGTCCGACTGGTTCAGTGTGAATAGATCCTGTTTGGACCAAACATGATGGTTTGATCACTGTAGGACGGTTACTGCTGCTGATCCCAGGTCAGAGGAAAGGTTTAGTTTAATAAAACCATTAATGAAGGAGGACGCAGCTGCAGGATGAGGATTAAAGGAGGACGATAAGAAGTAAAGCTCCATCTGGATGGTTTTAGATCTGATGAGGTCCTTTAGTTTGGATTCCCACTGGTAGAATAAGATGTTTGGTTCAACTTCATGGTTTGAATGTTCAGGAAAACGATTCTGTTTCTCCTTTTGGCTTCATTTGATCAAAGTTAATTTAGAAAAAGTGACGGCAGGTTTTAAAAACCGGGATCAGCGGGAAGTTCTGACACCTTTCCAGAAACAGGAACGTCTCATTGGCCCCCTCCTGGGGACATCGGCCCTCAGACCTTCCTGGAGCATCTCCATCTCCAGCCTGGTAACCATGGAAACGGCCCTTGGAGTCAGAGGACCTATGGGGTTCTGATCAGAACTGGTTTGGACCCTGCTTTTATAGTCCAGCTATGCCTGCTGCTCTTTTCCTTCCTATTCTCCATGGAAACGGTCCATAAAAACCAGTCAATAATTAAAGTGGACTTTTGATCAGAGGGACGGCCGCTTTATAAATAGCAGCGCAGACTTTGGCCCGCTTAATGAAGCTGTTTCTGTGGCCCATTGAGGAGCCGCCGCCTCGCACCAGTCAGTGAGTACAAACTGGGAGAACTGGGAGGGCTGAACTGGTTGGTTAAAGTGGATCTGATGTGCTGGTTCTGGTCTGGCTGGTGGAGAGCAGCTTTGATAAAATGGAGGTCAGAACAAACGGGTCAGGTTCACTAACCTTGACGCAGGCACAGCTGGTTCTGGTTCTGAAGGCAGGTTAGGTTCAAATCATGTTCTGCTGTTCAGCTGTTGGTGTGCAGAGAGCAGAGGGGAACCGCTGCTGATGGTTCTGGACTCAGAAACACGTTTTCCCAGCTTCCCCTGCTGCTTCCTGTCTGTCAAAAAGTTTGTGAAGTAGGTGGATGAGGGTGGGCTATGGTGGGTGACGGCGGATGACGGGGGGTAACGGAGGGTGTTGGCGGATGACGGTGGATGACGGTGGATGACGGTGGATGACGGTGGATGAGGGTGGGTGACAGTGGATGAGGGTGGGTGACGGTGGATGAGGGTGGGTGACGGTGGATGAGGGTGGATGATGGTGGATGATGGGGGATGAGGGTGGGTGACGGTGGATGATGGGGGGGTGACAGTGGATGAGGGTGGATGATGGTGGGTGACGGTGGATGACGGTGGATGACGGTGGATGAGGGTGGATGACGGTGGGTGAGGGTGGATGACGGTGGGTGACGGTGGGTGAGGGTGGATGAGGGTGGGTGACGGTGGATGAGGGTGGATGACGGTGGGTGACAGTGGATGAGGGTGGGTGACGGTGGATGAGGGTGGGTGACATTGGGTGACAGTGGATGAGGGTGGGTGACGTGGATGAGGGGGGATGACGGTGGATGACGGTGGATGAGGGTGGGTGACGGTGGGTGACGTTGGGTGACAGTGGATGACGGTGGGTGAGGGTGGATGAGGGTGGGTGACGGTGGATGACGGTGGGTGACAGTGGATGAGGGTGGATGACGTTGGGTGACAGTGGATGAGGGTGGGTGAGGGTGGATGACAGGGGATGAGGGTGGGTGATGGTGGGTGACAGTGGATGAGGGTGGGTGACGGTGGGTGACAGTGGATGAGGGTGGGTGACGGTGGATGAGGGTGGATGATGTGGGTGACAGTGGATGAGGGTGGGTGACGGTGGATGACGGTGGATGACGGTGGGTGACGGTGGATGACGGTGGGTGAGGGTGGGTGACGGGGGGTGACGGTGGATGAGGGTGGATGACGGTGGGTGACAGTGGATGAGGGTGGATGACGGTGGGTGACGGTGGATGACGTTGGGTGACAGTGGATGAGGGTAGGTGACGTTGGGTGACGGTGGATGAGGGTGGGTGAGGGTGGATGACGGTGGGTGACAGTGGATGAGGGTGGGTGACGGTGGGTGACGGTGGATGAGGGTGGGTGACGGTGGATGAGGGTGGATGACGTGGATGATGGGGGGTGAGGGTGGATGACGGTGGGTGACAGTGGATGAGGGCAGATGACGTTGGGTGACGGTGGGTGACAGTGGGTGATGGTGGATGACGGTGGATGAGGGCAGATGACGTTGGATGAGGGCAGATGACGTTGGATGACGGTGGATGAGGGCAGATGACGTTGGATGACGGTGGATGAGGGCAGATGACGGTGGATGACGGTGGGTGACGGTGGGTGACGGTGGGTGACGGTGGATGAGGGCAGATGACGTCGGGTGACTGTGGATGACGGTGGGTGACGGTGGATGAGGGCAGATGACGTCGGGTGACTGTGGATGACGGTGGATGTGGGCGGGTGACGGTGGATGAGGGCGGATGACGTCGGGTGACGGTGGATGAGGGTGGGTGAGTTCAAATAACTGTAGATCACAGAGAAACCGGATCAGAACCCAGCTGTTCCTGCAGAACCATGACACCATCTGACATGGAGGTTCTGCTCCTGATCAGGGAAAAGGTCCAGATGTTCTCCTAGATCCACCTGGAGATTCTATTCTATTCAGTTTATTTCTATTGCTCCATCATCTCATCGCAGGTCACTTTATAGAAATGGTTCACCAGATCATCCAGTCAGATTGATTCAAAGTTTTCTATCTAAGGAAAACCAGCTGATTGCATCGACTCATTGACTCTTCAGCAATCCCTCACACTAAGCATGCTTGTAGCGACAGTGGAGAGGAAAAACTCCCTTTGAACAGGAAGAAACCTCCAGCAGAACCAGGCTCAGTGTGAGCGGCCATCTGCTGAGGCCGACTGGGGTTCAAGGAGATCAGATCATCTCAGTCGAAGCTTCACAGAAACCGGAATAAAGCTGAAGGTTTATTGGTTCTTATTGAACATGTTTTGGTTTACCGGCTGATAAACAGGAAGTAGTTTTCTGTGTTTCCTGTCCTGGATCAAAACAAACGGCGCCGACTGTTTTACCTGCAGGAGCTCCAGCAGTAAACAGGCCGTCGGACTTCAGCCTCTGCTTATCGGCTCCTTCTGATCAATTATAAAGATAAATCTCCATAAACATTCAATCTTCTCCACGTTTTCATTTCTTAAATGATCTAATTAAACATTTCCTCTCATGTATTCATGGTTTGGGTCAGCTGGTTGCCGTGGTTCTGGTTCTGGTTCTGGTCAGAGTGACCTTCTGCTGATCATATTTATTGGACCCAGAACAACCAGATGGACCATTAATGTCTGATAGAAGCCAGCAGGAAACCACCAGCTATAAGCATGTGGACCAGAACCAGAACTAGAACCAGGACCAGGACCTGGATCCAACCCTGAAGCTCTGATGGTGTCTGAGGACCTTCCTGGATGTAAACCTGCAGAGCATCTAGAGGTTTGATGACGTAGATTAGAGCAGAGTAGATCCAGAGTTCTGAAGGGAGGGACGAGGTCTGATCGGAACATCTGTTTGATTTGATTCTATAATGTGCAGACCTGCAGACAGATGGATGTAGATCCTGTTTCTAGAGGTTCTCGCAGCAGAACCAGGTCAATGTCTCCCTCCTCATGGAGGAGCTGCAGCTGAGCTCCTTCATGGACACACTGCTGCCCCCTAGGGGCCACTGAGCAGCGCTGTCACAGCAGGTCCTTAGAACACAGTTTATTTTCTATGGAGGTCAAAACTGGTTTTCTTTTTCTATTCTATATCGTTCTATTCTACATTGCTCTATTCTATATTGTTCCATTCTATTCTACATATTTGTATTCTATTCTATATTGTTCTGTTCTACTCTATATTATTCTATTCTATATGGCTCTATTCTATATTGTTGTTGTTTTCATTCTATTCTATATTGTTGTATTCTATTCCGTTCTATTCTATATAGTTCTGTTATATTCTATATTGTTCTATTCTATTTTGTTCCATTCTATCCTATTCTACATATTTGTATTCTATTCTATATTGTTCTGTTCTACTCTATATTATTCTATTCTATATGGCTCTATTCTATATTGTTGTTTTCATTCTATTCTATATTGTTGTACTCTATTGCGTTCTATTCTATATAGTTCTGTTATATTATATTCTATATTGTTCTATTCTACATTGCTCTATTCTATTTTGTTACATTCTCTCCTATTCTACATATTTGTATTCTATATTGTTATGTTCTACTCTATATTATTCTAATCTATATTGTTCTATTTTATATGGCTCTAATTCTATATTGTTGTTTTCATTCCATTCTATATTGTTCTATTCATTCTATTCTATATTGTATTCTATTTTGTTCTATTCTATATTGTACTAATCTATATTGTTCTATTCTGTGTATTTCTTTTCTACTCTATATTGTTCTATTCTACTTGTTCCATTCTACTCTATATTTTTCTGATCTATATTGTTCTATTCTATTCTATATTGTTCTAGTCTTTTTAGTTTTTACGGCACTAGTGGCTCGTTTTTCTGGCAGTAGGCTGACAGGAGAGGTGGAGACAGGCGGGAAAGGACCACAGGTCGGATTCAAACCCAGGTCGGCCGCGTCGAGGACTAAGGCCTCCGTACATGGGTCGAGCGCACTAACCACTGTACCACCTGCATGCCTTATTGTTCTACTCAATATAATTCTATTCTATATTGTTCTGTTCTATATTGTTCTATCTATTCCCTTTAATGGTGGCAGCTGGCGGTTGTTCAGGTTCTGATGATGTCATCTTTTCCAGACCATCATGAAGTCTCTCTCTGGAGCGTCTCCCTCCTCTTCCTCACCTGAACCTCCCCAGCGGTTCTTCTCCCTCCAGAGTCCAGAGGTCCAGGAGGAGTTCCGAAAAGGTGAGAACCTGAACCAGAACCATCAAGACCAGAACCTGGGGCGGCAGAGCGCTCTGACTGATCTTCATCTTCTTCCTTTTAGAACGTCTGAGAAGGCTGAAGTCTCGCAGTGACACAGATGGGACCTCTTCCACCTCCTCATCCTCACAGGCCTCCCCCCTCAGGCCCTCCTCTCCCCAGGCCTCCCCCCTCAGGCCCTCCTCCCCCCAGGCCTCCCCCCTGAACTCCCCCTTCAGCCTCTCCCCCTCCGTGTCTCCCTCCAGCCCCTGGAAGTCCTCCCCCAGGCATTCTGACAGCTCCCCAGGTGAGTTCAAAGGTCAGCCAGGTGAGGCTGCTGCTCCTCCTGCTGGACGGTACCAGTCGCTGTGTCTGACAGAACCAGAACTTTCTGCTGGACGGTACCCGTCGCTGCCTCTGACAGAACCAGAACTTTCTGCTGGACGGTACCAGTCGCTGTGTCTGACAGAACCAGAACTTTCCGCTGGACGGTACCAGTCGCTGTCTCTGACAGAACCAGAACTTTCCGCTGGACGGTACCAGTCGCTGTCTTTGACAGAACCAGAACTTTCCGCTGAATGGTACCAGTCGCTGTGTCTGACAGAACCAGAACTTTCGGTTGAACGGTACTAGTTGCTTTCTCTGACAGAACCAGAACTTTCCGCTGGACGGTACCAGTCGCTGTCTCTGACAGAACCTGAACTTTCCACTGGAAGGTACCAGTCGCTGTCTCTGACAGAACCAGAACTTTCTGCTGGTCGGTACCAGTCGCTGTGTCTGACAGAACCAGAACTTTCGGTTGAACGGTACCAGTCGCTGTCTCTGACAGAACCAGAACTTTCGGTTGAACGGTACCAGTCGCTTTCTCTGACAGAACCAGAACTTTCCGCTGGACAGTACCAGTCGCATTCTCTGACAGAACCAGAACTTTCCGCTGGACGGTACCAGTCGCTTTCTCTGACAGAACCAGAACTTTCCGCTGGACGGTACCAGTCGCTTTCTCTGAGAGAACCAGAACTTTCCGCTGGACAGTACCAGTCGCTGTCTCTGACAGAACTAGAACTTTCCACTGGACGTTATCAGTCGCTTTCTCTGACAGAACCAGAACTTTCCACTGGACGGTACCAGTCGCTGTCTTTGACAGAACCAGAACTTTCCGCTGGACGGTACCAGTCGCTTTCTCTGAGAGAACCAGAACTCTCCACTGGACGGTACCAGTCGCTGTCTCTGACAGAACCAGAACTTTCCACTGGACGGTACCAGTCGCTGTCTCTGAGAGAACCAGAACTTTCCGCTGGACGGTACCAGTCGCTGTCTTTGACAGAACCAGAACTTTCCGCTGAATGGTACCAGTCGCTGTGTCTGACAGAACCAGAACTTTCGGTTGAACGGTACTAGTTGCTTTCTCTGACAGAACCAGAACTTTCCGCTGGAAGGTACCAGTCGCTGTCTCTGACAGAACCAGAACTTTCTGCTGGTCGGTACCAGTCGCTGTGTCTGACAGAACCAGAACTTTCGGTTGAACGGTACCAGTCGCTGTGTCTGACAGAACCAGAACTTTCGGTTGAACGGTACCAGTCGCTTTCTCTGACAGAACCAGAACTTTCCGCTGGACAGTACCAGTCGCTTTCTCTGACAGAACCAGAACTTTCCGCTGGACGGTACCAGTCGCTTTCTCTGACAGAACCAGAACTTTCCGCTGGACGGTACCAGTCGCTTTCTCTGAGAGAACCAGAACTTTCCGCTGGACAGTACCAGTCGCTGTCTCTGACAGAACTAGAACTTTCCACTGGACGTTACCAGTCGCTTTCTCTGACAGAACCAGAACTTTCCGCTGGACGGTACCAGTCGCTGTCTCTGACAGAACCAGAACTTTCCGCTGGACGTTACCAGTCGCTTTCTCTGACAGAACCAGAACTTTCCGCTGGACGGTACCAGTCGCTGTCTCTGACAGAACCAGAACTTTCTGCTGGGCCGCCTCTTTGGTTGCAACATTTAATGTTGGAGCATCAGTTTGTCTCATTTTAAAGGTTTCTGAAGAAGTAGGTCCAACGTTTCCACGGGTTCCTTCACTTCGTGTAATAATTCAACTAGAAGCTGATCATTTATTATTAGTCAATAGAAGAACCTTCAGCCTGTCATCTCGTCCAGGTAGAACTGGATCATGGTGACCTGGTTTGTTTTCAGAAGATGCTAAGGGCCCCCAATGTGGTCCTTAAGGGCCCATTGGTGCCCCAAAGCACTGCGTTGGTGACCCCTGCCCTAGTCCCTCCTCATTTTGGTCTGTCTAGTCCTTCTAGTCTCACTGGTCCTTCTAGTCTTTCTGGTTCCTCAAATCTTCCTGTACCCTCTAGTCTGCCTGGTCCCTCCAGTCCCTCCGATCCCTTTGGTCTTCCTGGGCCCTCTAGTCTTCCTCGTCCCTCAAGTCCCCCTGGTCTCTCAACTCTCTCTGGTCCTTCTAGTCTTCCTGGTCCCTCTGTCTTCCTTTACCCTCTTGTCTTCCTGGTCCCTCCAATCCCTCTGATCCCTCTGGTCTTCCTGGTCCGTATAGTCCTTTCTGGTCACTCAACTCTCCCTGGTCCTTCTAGTCTTTCTGGTCCCTCTAGTCTTTCTGGTCACTCAACTCTCCCTGGTCCCTCTAGGAGTTCTGGTCCGTCAAGTCTTCCTGGTCCCTCTGATTCCTCTAGTCTCCCTGGTCCCTCTAGTCTTTCTGGTCCCTCTAGTCTTCCTGATCCCTCTGATTCCTGTAGTCTTCCTGATCCCTCCAGTCTTACTGGTCCCTCTGATTTATCTAGTCTTCCTGATACCTCTAGTCTTTCTGGTCCCTCTAATCTTCCAGGTCCCTCTTGTCCCCCTGGTACCTCTAGTCCCTCAGGTCTTCCAGGTCCTCCTGGTCCTGCAGGTCTTCCAGGTCCTCCTGGTCCCGTAGGTCTTCCAGGTCATCCTGGTCCCTCTTGTCCCCCTAGTACCTGTAGTCCCTGAGGTCTTCCAGGTCCTCCTGGTCCTGCAGGTCTTCCAGGTCCTCCTGGTCCCATAGGTCTTCCAGGTCATTCTGGTCCCTCTTGTCCCCCTAGTACCTGTAGTCCCTCAGGTCTTCCAGGTCCTCCTGGTCCAGCAGTCTTCTGTATGGTCTTGATCATGGTTCTGTCTGCTCCTCTTCTATGATGACCCGGTCAGTGAGAACGGGTCGACCAATCAGAGCAGAGCTGCTCTAACCAATAGCTGCTCAGGGTTTCCTTCCTTTTTATTGGCCAAATGTCGTTCATCCTCCTGTTTATGACACCGTCGCCCTGAAATTTCCCGCTGTGGGAAACAACTCGTTATCTATAAAAGCATCAGAAGCTTTTTCAGCAATAAAGGATGAATTGTTCCCGCGTCCATCACTGTGGCTCCTGCTTCATACTGATCGACCTCTGACCTCTGACCTCCTCTGGATGTAGATGTGTGACTTTCCTCTGGTGTCCAGGTCTGTCTCTGTCCAGCCCGGAGCTGATCTCAGAGATGAAGGGCAGGGCGCAGCCTCTGAGACACGTCCCCCAGAGGAAAGGACTGACCACCGTCTTTTCTGGACGAGGACGACAGGTCAGTTTGATCAGCCACTTCTACGTCTTTGCTCTCTGTCTGCCGTCCTCTTTCACTCTCCATGTCCTCTCCACTCCTCCAGGTCCCTGGCTCCTCCCCCTAAGCCTGACCAGCCAATAGGAAGGCTGAGCAGAACCTCACCTGAACCACTCCAGCTCTGATTCTACCTCCACAACCTGAACAAGATGAGCCATGAACTGAATGTCTGATACCAGCTAAATAAGCCCCGCCCCCCTGGTCTGCAGAGGTTTAATTTCACACAATCATTTGATTTTAGATCAACTTTGCTTTTAAAGAAGTTTATAGCGATATTTAAAAAGATGAAATAAAGTTTGAAAACATGACTTTTTGTTTGTTTTGTTTAGTTGAAGCATAAAGAGTGCGGTCAGGTGCAGCGGTGTCTAAAATTCACACATTAGTTACTTAAGTAGAAGTATAGATCCTGCAGTTTAAAAACACTCTGGTAAAAGTTGAAGTATCAACTTGACCTCTTTACTCAAGTTAAAGTGAAAAAGTATGCGCTCCAGAAACTACTTAAAGTATAAATGTATAAAGTAACCTTTAATAAAAAAAGCCAGATGCCGCTAGATGAACTGAAAGCTCTATTTCTATGTGTCCGACCTTTCAGACATTTCAGCATCTTTTTCTGAATCCCACATCGTAGCATGGCATAGACAATTCAAGTTAGCAGTTTGAAGAACACCTGCTTGCTTCTGATGGTTTCCTTTAGCTAACCAATGAGTGTTTGCGTTCTCTGACTCATCCAATCACACTAGTTTCACTAGATGTGGGCGGAGCCAATGAGAAACATTAAACCAGGGGAACCAATTAAAAATCAGCGGGTCTGAATAAAGAAAATGAACAAGTAAAGGTCTGCAGACATTTTTAATGATCTGTTACTTTAAATTCATGTTATACACTGAATTTTTAAATAAAAAAATAATATAGATTACCATAAATAGCATCCCATGCTATCTCAGAGGAGTTGACACTATGACTGTATTCTGTATATCCATCAGTAGTTAAAGGTCAAGGGTCAGCAGATGCTAATTCTGCCTGTAAAACAATAACAGCATAATTATTGCTTTATGATCTGAAGCCTCATTTGGAGCTTTTAAACAGGCTTTGGAAAAACTTTATTTGCTGCTGTAATATTATGGATTTTTTAGAATAAAAAGCTAGCAGATGTGCATAATTAAAAAATAAAAAAATAACAGAAATACAATTATAGAGCATTCAGTTTTATAAGACAGCCCACAATGTTTCTGAATAAATACATTATTGTATGAGTTAAGTTCCATTTGTGCCTCTTTCCTTGCAAGTGTGAAATGTCCCATGCTCCTGAATGCACCATAGCGATCTGACGCTCGTGAATGCATCACACTGGTCTGTGAACGCTGTGCTGTGTTGATGCACGTTTGATTTTCAGCTGAAGTCAAAGCTTTGCAGTTTCCAAACTCCCGTCAGCATCACTGTTTATTGCTGTGAGTGAAAAACAAGAGACTAGAACAAATAAATCAGCCGAACCTCAGACACAATCCCTGGATTAAATGTTCATAACACCTGTACTGGGGATGCATGTCTTGGCAGGGATGCACTTTTCCGCATAACACCGGTCTGCCAATCCGGGACCTCTGCATTAAACCGAAGCCAACATTTAAAAAGTAAAGTTGTTTTATAACCGTAAAGGGAAAAAGAAAACAGACACTTTTT